AGACACGTCTAACATTGTGTACCATTTGTTATCTAAGATAGGGTTGTCGAATTCCATGCTAACATCTTCAGTTTCATTTGGAAGAAACAATGCACTGTCCAACCATTTTTCCATCTGCTCTTTATGGTCGTCGGCAAGTAAACGCAGATATTGTTGCTTCTGACGGGTGCACCGTTTGAGTGCATCCTGCCTCTGTTGTCGGCGGTCAATTGAGTTTGCGTGGTCCTGATGACATTCTAATGTAAACCACTCTTCCCAAACCTTGCGCAGAGCATTCATATCCTTATCAAGGACACTCACAAGTCCATTTGTGACACAATTGAGCTGCTGAGCACTCATCTGAATGAGTTCATCCAAGCTTGTCTTGATCAAGTCGTACTCTCTCTTGGAAATATGGAGTGAGTACCAGATGGTTGTCAAACTGGAAGCAATGCAGTCAGTGTCTGCGAAGCGGACCAACATGAAGAGAAACAGCACATTCCTTGCCATAATGGAGTCATCGAGCGGGCAACCTAGGGTGATATGAAGTTTTCCCTTGTACTTATCAGGCAAAGAAGCAACAGTCAGTACCGTGCTGCGCAAATCGTCACAGTCAACAGATAAGATATGGAAGTCCCTTGTCAGCTCCTTTTCGTCGGGACCTTCTTCCGACCATTCATTGTGTGCAAGTTTTAGAAAGTCTTTTGGGATGTTCTTACCAAAGCAGTCGGGATAGTGGTCCCAACCCAACGACCATATTCCATCAAGTTCCGTTGCCAGTGACTTTATAGTAGCCACGACTTCTTTGCACGATATCTTATGCGTCGGCCAGTCACGTCGTTGACACCTTTTATCACAGTACCATGCATTATTACATTGTGCACACTAGGAAAAAGGAGAAAAAGAGATGCAATTTCAGAAAGGTCCTAATTTTAGGAACTTACAAGCATAGATTATGATTGAATAATGAACGAAAACACTTCTGGCATTTCAAATGTAAAATATTTTACAAATAACAGCACCTATACTTTATTACTCTGTTGCTTTCACTTTCATTTGTGGTCTACGTTCATTCGTCATTTTCTGCGTTCGTGGACTTTACAATAAATCTGTGTTTTTAATAGCTGTAGGCTTAGTTGTGTACATGCTGTTTTAAATAAGACAGAGCAATCTTTATACACATACCTCGCCCATTTTTGCTGCGATTTCCCCACACGAGTTACACGTTCTTCGTCCAAAGATCTTGCACTCGACAACGCCATGCCTCACCCTGTCTCTGAAAGCGCAATCCAAATTGCAGTACGCAGCCATCGGACACCTTATGCAAGGGAAGGGGCGCTGAGGGAGAACTTTCTCACAACGCCAGCAATGTCCAGGCTGTATATCCATGCTGATGAAGAGTCTGATAAAATCTGTAAAGGACACACCAAAATAAATAAATGACCAAGGTTCTGGTTTCGTGTTAAATTTCCAGCAAGTACATTCCAGAGGGCGTGAGGTTGGAGTGGACCGTTTGCATGTGTTGGTGGCTTGCTCAGATGAAAACATAATCAAAAGCAATCCAGCATAATGACCATAAAACAAACACCTGTGTTTTTAGATGTATGTGAGAAATATTTGACGCTAGTTTCAGTATTTTAGTATATTTGCAACATATGCTTGTACGTTTGTAACAATACTACATTGCTATACCCATAGGACTTTTCTGGTAACTGTCCAATGTTCTGTGGTAGGCCTGCTTGTTAAAATGTAAAATACACTATAGTTTCCTCAACACTCACCTTATTTAGGCCTTACTCTAAATCCACAGCAAAGTATGTTGTTTCCCTGTAGTCAAAACCGAAGAAATTCAGCGCAGAAATTGTATTTAAATACCAATCGAAAGAAAACTACATGTAAATCACAAACCGTTATTAAGGATTTATATGAATGTTTGTGTGTGTATAGGCCTACAAAACCATGTTTTTGTTAAAGTGCGTCACAGATTCATTTGTATTCTAAGTTGCGCCCATGCAAAACATGTAGTTTATGCAGACTTTGTGAGGTCAACAGGAAATTTCTCATGTATGAATTTGCTTGGGTACCCTCTCATTCGGTCTAACCTACAAATGCAAACATGAAATGAAAAGCTTGACACCACACGTATATGTGTGGTGAACAACGTCGACATGGTGCTGTTAAATATGAATATTGATTTGCCTTGGGGCTTCAACTTTTTACAGAAGGGGAATCGAAAACGAAAGATACGAACTTAAACATTGCCAGTGTGGTTGTAAGTTTAACCATAACAGATTGTTGTTTTTCAGCTTTTTACTAATGAACTACTTGAATCCATGCAATAATGCATGACTCCTTAACATCAGTGATTAAAAAAACCCTCACATTTCAAGTGTTTTACAGTGTACTTCTATCTTTAATGGGGATGAAGCTTTTCTTTAAATAAACTTCTTTTCGATATTATGTTACCTTATTAACGTTTTACACATAGGAAACCTGTTTGGAAAATCGAACGAGTATAGGAAAGATATTAAAAATTAACAGTTATAGTCAGATATAATAAGCGGAAAAGGGACACATGCATCATAAATACTAGTTCTGACTCTTGTGTACGTGAACTGTATTACTTGACATAAATAACTAGCATGCAGCATAACAATGGACTGGCAATAAAGGATATTGTAAAACCTGCAATATAGTGCATGTAATCATGTAATGAAAGGATCGGCTGGTACTCAAGGGGAGTTTCCCTCAGCTGGATGAGCAATATGATGATGTCATTGCGGAATTGGCTCATCGATATGCATACGCTAGCCTGCCAGTATTTGCATTCTGGTGGAGAAAATCTCGACAAGGAAAAAAAAACACTACATACGGATGCGTACTGAGAGCAGGTTAGGTGAGCTGAATGTTCAGCCGATGAATTATTACAGGTTTTCCAAACACAAATCCTCTGTAAAGAAGCGCGGAATTGCAGCTGTTTTCAAAAACCTTCTAAATCTGGACTCTGCGTAAATTAAAGATTAACTTGCATCAAGTCGGCTGTTGTACTCACTGCACTGATATCATACACCAGAAAATGTTCATTGTCTGAAAATTGCTATATGAGATTTATTCTGTTCAAAAGTGAAATCCCTTTTAAAAATATGTTCTATGCATACTGTTTAATTAATAGTGTAATCATTAAGTCAGCTAACAACACTGCATGCAATTGAGTACAGGTCTTCACAAAAGAACGTTATAAGTTGGCAATATTCATCGATTTTGTTTTATATAATGGTTCAAATCACAGCTCAAAAAAAGCACTAAGTTTTTGTAATTAAATTCACCTCCAATTTCTCAAAATCTGCAGATCAAAGGAGCAATTAGGTAATGATTTTTAATGGATTGAAATTATGTCCACGAATTGCTTTTGGCCAGAAATCACATTTTTTAAGCCGGTGATCCTTGGATAAATGTTGCTTGTTGTCTCTGCCCACACGATTTAGTTTCGCTAAAGGAAACAGTTATTCAGGCTTCATACGACAGTCTAAGATGTTATGTAGTATTTTATCTGCATGTTTTAGGTTCATCTTCCAACTTCAATAATAACTCAATATCCAAGAAAGTCAACAAAATGTCGAAATGGGTTTCCACATAAACGATAAATCCCTTGCTGACACTAATAAATGATAAAAGCAAAATAAAGTCTTTCTAATTTGATTCTGAAACGTACTATCCGAGTTCAAATTATTCAGTAAATTTCAGTTTTAAAACAATTTTGATTGAACATTTTCTCCTACGAAAATACACTGTATATATACACGAATCGTCACATTAATAGTAAACACAGATATCAGTGCCGCTGCGAAAAACTTCTGGAGAAATTCAAAATTTCAAATAATAATGTTTAAACACTTAGGTACAAAATACCATTCAGCAGTTGTTAAAGAAGATCTCTTTTTTTTGTCCAAATGTAATCGTAATTATTCTGTATTTTCAAACAATCCACATTGTACAATCATCAAAAGAGAGCAAATGGTACATTTCTAGCTTATAGCTTTAAAGAAAAACCTCTGACCTAACATTTGAAGTTACACTATCTTCAACGATGCTCTAAAAGATCTTCATTAGGTGATACATGGAGGTACGTCCATTAAAGCTTTTCTCAAAATCGAATTTGCCTTCAGCTTTGTCTTACTGATTTAAGGTCCCTTCAATTTCTTAATTCCGGCTCAAAATAGGCCCCTTTTCTGGTTCAGCAACTGACATTACATAAAACAAAGGCAAAGTTGGAAGTTTACCCATGCCTGTGATTTGCAGTCAAAGCTAGAGCCAAACCTACGTTTGAAAAAGGACATATGTGCAAATAATCTCTTCATTATAAGGGCCAAAATTATCAAAAAAAATAAAATAATAATAATAAATAAAAAACATAGGGATCGAGTACATGTTATTGACAAGTATCGGTGAATTTTTTCACGTAATTTGCATACTCCCAAATAATGTATATTTTAATAATAAAAATCGCCTTCAATACTACAGATAAAAAGAGTCGACTTGTTCCTCATATTCAAAACACAGAATCTGACAGTAACATAATGTTTCATTCTTGACTCAAATTATTAAAATCTCATTACATTTTGTACATTAAACTACCTGTGTGTAATCTGTAATTATCACTCAGCTCAATAGCTTCCAATGGAATTTTATGGGCAGCTATAAAATAGGTCCTTTTGGTAAAACATGCATAACGCCTGATAGCCAGATTTGTTTTGTCATTTCTACTTTTCAGCCATTTTGATACTTTGAATTATTGTAATTATCTTAGATGTAGTCGAACAGTTTAAGTTTGAATTTTGTTTGCTTCCAAACAGAACACGCTCTCTAGATCATCTGTTGAGCTCTTTTTCTTGAACAGAACTCAAACTACATGTACTCTCCCACTTACTCAGAGAAATTGACTTTCTTTGAAAAGTAACATAGAAATAATCATGACCAAAAAAGGTTTTTTTTTTTATATATGAAACTTCAAAGCTGGAAGTTTTTCAATAATAAAGCCACCAACCTATTCTCAAACTACATAAATAAACATTTCCTATAATGTTAAATTAAACCTCTGAAAACAATGATAGATGGTAATAAAAGAACACTCTGACTGCAAGCAGTCAGGACTCATCGCTGGACACACCCACTCACGTTAAGAGTGTGAAATTTGAGGCACCTTACCTTTTCTCTGCTAATCTGCTAACTGAATATGTGACTTTGGGGCAAAACTGAATGACGGGGCAGCTATAACACTCAAATGGACAAACAGGGGCTGCACATCTAAACTGAACGCTGCACAATTAAACAAAATAGCCAAATTAGTTGTATGGACAGCATATGTAGTTGCTGCAAGGTATCACCGCTTGTGTAGGCCTTTAGTATTTTGTCTAAACTTTGGGCAGGCACCACTCTACGGCTCTGTGACACGTGTTCAGCGCATTGAGGTCTCGTTTATTAAATAGGTACTGGAATGGTACAAGCTTGTTCAGTCCCTTCCTGAAGTCACGCATTTCCATGCCGTGATATTTCTTGACATTCTCAAATGATGGGATTTTCTTGAGTGCTGGAATGCCAAACGCCCCGGCCATGATATCTGCTCGGAGATATTGGAGAAAGTGAGAGGTGTTGTTGAAGTAGTCAAACATGCAGTTATGTTGTATTTGTGGTATTCCAGTCGTACCGTCAAGGCAGTAATTGATTATTTTTTCATGCTGGATGTCTGAAAGATCATCAGCATCAGGGCTAGCTCCAGGAACTTTCGAGAACCAATTAATAGTCTCAGTAACAATAGCCGAGTAGCTGTTGTTGGCATTAAGCAGTGGCTTAAATGTGTGGAGAAGCCTTGGAATGCCAAGAAAATCAGCAAGGTTGGAGGTGAAGATTCGGTCATAGTTGGGCATGTTCAAGGTTTGATGGTGATTAGGAAAGTCCAGACAGTCGGCCACGGAGACATGGATAAGGAGCCTTCCTTGGAGGATGAGACTCTTGACTTTCTGGAGGAGGTTTGTCACGTACTTGTGGTACATCACCATCGGAGAGGAGTGGGATCCAGGGGTGTGCTCTCTTACTCTCAAACAGTCCCATGCTTCAAAGGGAATCAGAATTGGCTGAATGCAATACACAAATGTGGCAAATTCTTGTGATATTGCTTGCACATCGTTTAGGAGAAGAAATAAGCGTGCATTCTCACTTTTCATTGTTTTACTTGCCTTTGGGGCAGTTAGTGTTGGGTTGTCAAATGCCATATTGTCCTTTTCCTTCGCTTCATGAGGAAAAAATAGCCCATGATCCAACCACTCTTTAATCATTCTTCTATCTTTTTCGTTGATACGACTTAGATACAGAGTGCGGTTCACCTTAGGAAAGGGGCCCTTATCGAATAGATCCTTTCTTTGTTGTCTGAGATTTATTGCGGTTTTCTTGTCTCGCTGACATTCCAACGCTCGCCACTTTCCCCAAACAGATTTCAGATAACTGAGGTCTTCATCCAGGAGAGTTACCAGTCCTTTGGTGGCATCGTGGAGTTGCTTAGCACTCATCTGAATGAGTTCATCCAAGCTTGTCTTGATCAAGTCGTACTCTCTCTTGGAAATATGGAGAGAGTACCAGATAGTTGTCAAACTGGAAGCAATGGAGTCAGTGTCTGCGAAGCGAACCAACATGAAAAGAAACAGGACATTCCTTGCCATGACGAAAGGGTCGTTGTCATGGAGGGTGATGTGAAGTTTTCCCTGGTAACTGTCAGGCAAGGAAGCAGCTGTCAACACTGTGTTGCGTAAGTTTCCACAACCAGCAGAGAGGACATGATATTCCCTGGTCAGTTGTTCCTTTTCCACATTGTCTGTGGACAATTCGTTGTTTTCAAGTTGAAGGAAGTCTTTAGCCATGGTGTTCCCAATATAGTAGGGGAAATCACCATGCGTTAGGATGTGCAGTTTCAGTGACAGTTGTTTGATAAAAGCCATAATTTCCTTACACTTTGCTTTGTGAAATGGCCAGCCATGCCGTTGGCAGTCTGTATCACAATACCAAGCATCGTTGCATCCTGAACACTAGAATAAGAGAAGAAAGGAAGTCGTCTATGAGCAAATTAGTTAAAGATTTCCTGTTGTCTTGTCTATGTTTTGGTTTTTGAATTATGGTCCTGAAAATATCATATATCTGAAAAGGGAATCCATATCATCGTACAATTAGAATACGTTATACTTTGAATGTGGTCAAGTTGGAATAGCGGTTCTTTCCTCGCCTCACCGCTAGCTGTCACCCGGAATCGAATCCTACCCGGGCCTGGGTTTTCAGTCCCTGCCTGATTCCACAGGGTTCCCCCAGCATATTCTTCTGGGGTGTTTCTCCCACTTCTAAAACTGTAATTTCTTCTCATTGTCTCCCCTCTGCATGTTTCAACACGGCTTGCGAGCTACAGTTTTCATTTACCAGGAAACAATTAATAATAAAATGAAATAAATAATAATATCATATATTGATTCGGCCTTTAATTTTTCTTATATTCTTGTAGTAATTAAAAATATTTTCATAACCTTGGTGCTATCATGAATTTTCTCTTTTAAATCAATGATTGCACTGATCACTGAAGTGCAAGTTCACAAAGCCCCCCCCCCCCTCCTTACCTCAAGTGTTTTGCCACGTCTTCCGCAAGTGCTGCACTTTTTTGCCTGAAATATCTCACACTCAACAGCACCGTGCCTGACTTTGTCTCTGTCCCGGCATGATGTGGTGCAGTAGACAGCAACAGGGCATCCGTCGCAAGGCAAAGTTCTCTGTGGGAGACGTTTCTCACAAAACCAGCAATGTCCAGGCTGTACATCCATGGTGGCCGCACACTGGTCACTGCATTATGTAGATTATTAACGACACTCACTCTCTCAGTGACAATCTGTAGAGAGTAATAACCCTATCAGTTATTTATCAGGCTATATAATTATTAACAAGTCTGTAAACTTGCCTCATATTGGTACACTTGACAGGTTGAAATGGCTGATACTCAAGCTGTACCAGTATTAATGGTCAACCAATTTCAAACCACTTAAACGGGCTGAGGCAGTTACAAGGTGTAATCCGTACGGATCATGCTAGTAGGTGGTGACCAGCCTGTACCCCGAGAGAGGTCAGTGGTTATATGTTTTTTGATAGTTTGGGATAGTTAGGAGGGCTAACTCTTCGGATACAGTCTGTTGTTGATCATTCCTTCCTCCAAAACATGTGTAGTTATTCCTTATCAACGTTAGATTGACAATCTTGTAATTCATTATTGGGAACACATATCTGCAGAAATTGGCCTGATAACTTACCTCAATACGTGTTGCTCCTTTGGTGTCAAGTTGTTCACTGCCAGCCTGTGGCAGGCTGTGTTGGATGGGCGACGTCAATGCTGATTCATGATGGCGTCATCATATTGCACATCTAGCTGTGGGAATTCACCCACTAAGTACCAGACAAACATAATAGGCCTATTTCAAACCTGTTTCACCACCCTTTCTTATCAGCGAGCCTACGATTTTGTTGAATGCTACGATATTGTGCAGTGCACCCACAAATATTACAAGCATTGTCCATGCAGGCTTTGTGAGTTCACCAGGAAATTTCTCGTGAATGAATTACTCTCATTCAGTGTAACCTAAATATGCAAAACAAGAAATGAAAAGCTCACCACTACACGACGGTGAACAACGTGAACATGGGTTCTGACTGATTCAAATAATGCGTTGCCTTCAGGCATCAACTTTTTACGAGGGGAAAGGGGAGAGGTCGAAAACGAAAGTTATTAACTTACCACTGGAAGTTAAAAGATGTTTTTGAGCCCCTCAATGATGAATTAGTTGCATCCCTGCAATGATGGACGACTCCTTAACACCAGTGATTAAAAAACAACCCAGTTCCATTGTTTTACAGTGAACTTGCATCTTTAATGGGTATGAGGCTTAATTGTCTTTGGATACACTTATTTCCGATGTTAGGCCTATGTTACTTTACACATTAAAACTGGAATATCGAACGAGGGCAGAGGAAAGATATAAACTAGAATTGAAATTTATAGTCAAGTGGAGAAAATATTTTCCAAGAATGTCCAATTTTGATTCAAAATATTTTGAGTTATTTTTTTCTAACGTCAAAATAACGAATGAATTTAACAAAGCTTAAATTTGAACAATGTGATTGTCCTACTGATCGTTTACGAGACATGGTAGCCCGGCCATACTGAAACCGAGAGTAAATATATACATCTGCGGCAGGAAAATAAACTATCCTCCGTGTTTTATGTTCTTATAAATATATGGCTATAACCAGGAATGTAAGAAGACTATTATATAATAGTGAATTAATTGTATTACTAGCTGAGCTGTGAACTCTGCGTGAAGCATATGGAGATTCTGGGAAATTCCCAGCCCGGTAACCTTTGAACTGTATTTACATATGACATTTTGACCCACACGTGCTGAATTACAAAACGTTTCAACGATAACAATCCCGTCGGCCGGAAGTGGATTACATTGTATACATTTGTATACATTGCGCAAGCAAAGCCTGTTTGATGTGATGGCTCATTGTGGAACAACGTACGTAGCTATCTGACGGTTCTGATATTTTAGGCCAACTTGAAGACGTCATGGTAAGACTAAATGTTAATTCATACGATTATTATATTTTCTTGCTGATCAAAGTCTTGCTTTCTGCTGTATACATATTCATTATAGTCTTTCAACGTGTGAAATGTACACGCTGCGGAGAACTCAAAATATTATTTTTCGGTTTCTTTGTGGTTTATTTCATGTTTCTTTTATATGTGATCTGACTGGATTTGATTGCTATAATAAATCACAATTTAAGAGCAAATCAAGGAGAAGTGTCCAAAGTCCGATGATTGTCGCGTTTAGTGCGCCTAGGCTCATTAACTGGCGGACAGAGATCTCCACTCCCCCCCCCCCCGACTAATACAACAGTGCCAACCAGTAAATTTGGAATATGATCAACAATTTTGTGCAATATCAATTTGCATTTCGCTGGGGAGTAATTTTATAGGGAAGGAGATATAAAGGGTTCATGCGATGAATTTTTCTGAGGAACACGTTTTGTGCAACTTTTTATAATTTCCTCATAAATGAAAACTATTTGACATCCATTTTAGCTCAATTGTATTGGAAAGTGTACTTCTTTAAACATTAAACAAGAGATGCTTTTCCGGACAACTGAGAGTGTTGTTGCTGTGATGTCATTGCAGGGGGACACTGTTCGGTTTAGGGGTTTTCTGTTTAAATTGTGAACCTAAACTTTGATCATTATTTGGTGAGAAAGAGTTGCTCATTGGCTTTAATTATTGCCATGTACTTACACAACACGAATCACCAAATTAAAACAAAAATATGAAGGCAAAATATCCAAAACTTGTATTAACTTTTTTTGCTGAAATAGCTATAACATTGAGGTTTCTGCCCGGAATGACATCACATTTTTTGCCGTGAATATGGAAATTTGCATTAGCATAAAATCCCAAACGGCACCAAAATACTCTTCAAAATGGAAAACCAAAAGTTAAAGAAAAAAAGGTTACAATGGGACACAAAGGTGCATTATCAAGGAAAGCATTCAAACAATTACCTAGCATGGAGCTTTAAATCCATGTGCATGTAAATTATGTGTCTCCTGGATCCCTTTAAGCTTCTCGAACGAGCGTCAAAGAGTTGTAGAATATCAAGCTCTGTGAAAAACATGGAGGAATAAAGTAATTCCCTCCGTACGATATGACTAGAAACAGCAGAATAAAGAATGATTCGAACTCCAGAAAAAGTTGATTGTCTTATAACTCCTTTTTGAGATTTATTCTCCAAAAATGAATTTCCTTTAAAAATAGTTTCTATGCATACTGTTTAATTAATAGCGTAATCATTATATCTGCTAACAACACTGGCTACAATCGAGTACAGGTCTTTACAAAAGCAGTATCAGTAAGTGGCAATATTCATCGATTTTGTTTTATAACATTGTTCAAACTAAAACTTTAAAAGCACTAACTATGTTTTAATTCACTGCATACAATTGAGTACAATTCTTCACAAAAACATGGTATGAGTTGCAAATATTAAGCGAATGTTATAAAATTGTTCGAATAACAATCTAAAATGCAGTAACTATGTTTTTATCATTTAAATTCACCTTCAATTTAACAAGATAACAATTTGGTTGCTTGACATTAAGTTCACAATTTGCTTTTGGTAAGAAATCACATTTTAAAGCCAGGGATCCTTGGATGGATGTTGCTTGTCTCTGCCCAAAACGTTTTGTTTCGCTAAACAAACAATTCTGCAGGCTTCATTCGACATTCTAAGCTGTTCAATGATATTGTCTGCATGGAAGTCTTTCTAATTTGATTCTGAAAAGTATCATCTGTGTTGAAAACTATTCAGTAAACTTCACTGATATTTGATTGGACTTTTTCTACAAGGAAAAACAACACACTGTATATACATGTATACACATACATCTTTACATTAATGGTAAACATAGTTCAGTGCCGCTTCGAAAGAAATCTTGAGAATTTCAAAGTTTCAAATAATAATGTTTACGTTAATCATTTAAGTACAAAATGGCATAAATCTGTGCCGGCGAGTTGGGGGATGGGGGATGACCAAAATCAAAAAATTGCCCGGCCGTGGAAATTCGAAAGGGGGGGGGGCAGACACCACATGACAATAGCAGGTGCTTTTCAGGATTTCAGGATAGAGATGTATATCAACATGTACACTCGCGCTTACACCAAAACAGCGCATTTTAAAAGCTTTTGTACTTTGTTTCTCCACTTTTCAGTGCTATTGAATACATTTGGGTTGTTTGGATTTTCGAAAAATACCACAACATCCGCATTTTGTTTTTCTCATCACGAAAAAGTGGGGGGGGGGAAGGAGATGATTCAATAACTTCTGATAGCATGAACCAATTTGAGTAATTCTTTTTTTCCAGATGAGTGGAAGAACATTTTCTTTTAAGACATACTTAAATTTGATTGCTTTAAAAAAATCATTAATCCAGGTCAATTTCTTTTTGACTCACTCTGAAAGGTATTGCAATGTTTGCATTTTTTTGTAAATGGCAAATATAGTTGATTTGCCTACTCTTATTTTTAATTTTGTGTAGATTTTTCATTTCTGCTGTTAAGCCATGTTTATACTTTAAATTGGTGTAATAATATTACATATTGTCGAACAGTTGAAGTGTGTGTATTAGTGCTACGCAGAACCATATTTTGTCTTTGAAGTTTGAATTTTGTTTTTGTTTTCAAAACAGAACACGCTGTCTAGATCATGTGTTGAGGCTTCCTGAACAGTAACTTTTAATTTACTGTTTAAAAAAAGCTACAATCTCCTACGTACTAATACTTTCATTACAAATACAAATAACATAATAAGGGTGATTAAAACAATAAACTGCTGAAAAAAAAAAAACAGAGTTCAAATCCAAAATAAGTAAAATCTGAAACTTTAGAGCTGGAAGTTTTTCAATGATACAGCTACCAACCTAATTTAACCCATACTCAAAACTACATAAAGACATTTTCCACAAATATTTAGTTAAACTCTTATTAAAATAATATTATGAGACACCAAATAACGACAGTAGCCAGGACTCAACGCAGGACACACCACTCACGTTAAGAGGGTGCAATTTGAGGCACATGTAATCTGGAGCTAATCTGACAAAATTTGTCAGTTCGGGGCAAAACAGAATGATGGGAGAGTTATATACAATTAAGTGAAAAAACAGGGGACCGCATATCCAAACTCAAAACACTCTGTATGGACTATGCAGTTGCTGAAAGGTCTCACATCTGTTTTACCGGTAGAGCATTTTGTCTAACCTCTGGGTAGGCACCACTCTACTGCCCTTTCACGTGCATTATTCATATTAAGGTCTCGTTTAGTAAGTGTGTACTGGAATGGTACAAGCTTGTTCAGTCCCTCCCTGAAGTCACGCATTTCCATGCCGTGGTATTTCTTGACACTCCCAAATGATGGGATTGTCTCGAGTGCTGGAATGTCAAGTCCCCCCGCCATGATATCTGCTCGGAGATATTGGAGAAATTGGGAGGTGTTGTTGAAGTACTCTGACATCAATGTATGTTGTATTTGTGGTATTCCTGTCGTACTATCTCTGAAGTAACTGATAATCTTTGCACGCTGTTTGTCTGGAAGTTCCTCAATGTCAGGTTTAGATCCAGGAACTGTTGCGAACCACTTCATACTCTCAGTGACAATAGCCGAGTTAATATTTCTGGCATTAACCAGTGGCTTAAATGTGCGGAGAAGTCTAGGAATGCCAACATAGTCAGCAATGTTGGAGGTGAAGATTCGGTCATAGTTGGGCATGTTCAGTGATTGATGGCGATTAGGAAAGTCCAGACAATTGACCAAGGAGACATGGATAAGGAGCCTTCCTTGAAGGATGAGACTCTTGACTTTCTGGAGGAGGTTTGTCACATACTTGTGGTACATCACCATCGGAGAGGAGTGGGATCCAGGGGTGTGCTCTCTTACTCTCAAGCAGTCCCATTCTTCAAAGGGAATAATAACTGGCCGAATACAATACACAAATGTGGCATCTTCTACTTGCATTAGTTTGTTTAGGAGAAGAAATACGCTTACATCCTTACCTGACATTGTTTTACTTGCCTTTGGGGCAGTTAGTGTTGGGTTGTCAAATGGCATGTCCTTTTCCTTCGCCTCAAAGGGAACAAAAAGCCCATGTTCCAAACACCCTTCAATCGGTTTTCTATCGTTTTCGTTGATACGACTTAGATAGTTAGGGTGGATCACCTTAGCAAGTGGGCAGTTATCAAACAGAATCTTTCTTTGTTGTCTGAGATTGATTGAGGTTTTCTTGTCTCGTTGACATTCCAACACTCGCCAATTTTCCCAAACAAGATTCATATAACCGAGGTCGTCATCCAGGACACTCACAAGTCCTTTTGAGGCGTCGTGGAGTTGCTGAACACTCATCTGAAGGAGTTCATCCAAGCTTGTCTTGATCAAGTCGTAGTCTCTCTTGGAAATATGGAGTGAGTACCAGATGGTTGTCAAACTGGAAGCAATGTAGTCAGTGTCTGCGAAGCGAACCAACATGAAGAGAAACAGCACATTCCTTGCCATGACAAAAGGGTCATGGTCATTGAGGGTGATGTGAAGTTTTCCCTGGTACTTGTCAGGCAAGGAAGCAGCTGTCAACACTGTGTTACGCAGATTTCCACAACCAGCAGAGAGAACATGATAGTCCATGGTCAGGTGTTCCTTGTCCACTCCATCTGTGGACGATTCGTTGTTTTCAAGTTGAAGGAAGTCTTTAGCCATGGTGTTCCCAATATAGTAGGGGAAGTCGTCATGTGTTGGTCTACATATTTGTAGTGATACTTGTTTGACAACAGCCATAATATTCTTACACTTCGCTTTGTGGAATGGCCAGCCACGTCGTTGACAGCCTGTATCACAGTACCATGCGTCATTGCATCCTGAACACTGAAATAAGAGAATAAAAGAAGTGTATGAGTGAAACAGTCGCATATTTTCCTGTTGTCTTTTTGTATGTTATGGTTGTCTTTTTGTATGCTTTGGTTTTCTGAATATGGTGCTGAAAATATTTCACACCTGAAAAGGAAACCTATATACATTATTATTATTATTATTATTATTATATTATCGTACAACTACAATACGTTAATAGCTTTGCATGAGATTCAGTTTGGCGTAACGGTTCTTTCCTTGCCGAGCTCCACCGCTATGACCCGGGTTCGAATCCCCCCTGGGCCGGGTTTCCCCAAGAATATTCTTGTGGAGTTTTCAGCACACCTCTAAAACTCTTCTCATTGTATTCTCCCTACGGGTTTCTTCAGGCTTCAGTGCCTAGAGCGCATTTGAGTAATCCTTGGTTTCATTTACTAGATATAAGTAATAACAAAAGAATATTCTTAAGTTTTGATTCGGCCTTGTATTTTGTTGTGAAATAATTGAAAACATTTTCATAACCCTTGTCATGTCATGATATTTTATTTTCAAATCAATAATTGCGCTGATCACTGTATTACAGTTCCACAAGCCCTTACCTCAAGTGTTTTGCCACGTTTTCCGCAAGCGCTGCACTTTTTTGGCTGAAATATCTCACACTCGACAGCACCGTGTCTGACTTTGTCTCTGTCCCGGCATGATGTGGTACAGTAGACAGCAACAGGGCACCTGTCGCAAGGCACAGTCCTCTGTGGGAGACGTTTCTCACAAGACCAGCAATGTCCAGGCTGTACATCCATGGTGGCCGCACACTGGTCACTGCACATACATGTAGAATATGAACGACACTTTAACTCTGTGGACAATATCTGATACAGTCTGTTTCAGATTGTGGCTGAACTTCATCATTCTGTTGACACAGTATAGCTTTTGCAAATTTCACCACAAACATGTATGCTGATATGTAGTTTCAGTGATAAATTATGCATTTAAAATCACTTCTATGGAAGTTAAGTTCACTTTAATTCAAGTAGACAATTTATGTCCGTACATTCAAATCGTGATAAATACAAACGTAAAACGTATATTGAATTAAATAGTATACAATAAAAACAGTCAGGGAAAGTATATGTTATGTACTAAATTACTCGATCAGAATTGAAAGCATGAAGGCATTGTCAAGTATAGAAATGTCTCCCAAATCACAGGGGAAAAACTTACAAGGATAGACGATAAGGCCGGGGAGAGAAGAAAATAGACTGATCAACACAAACATGACAGGGAACAAAAACACGGTACAGCACAAGGAGACAGAAAAGAAAACAAAATAATACAAATTTAATTTCTGGCAATTGTACAGAGAAATCAGCGTTAGATTGAAAGTCTTGTAACTGGGAGCACATATCTGCAGAAATTGGCCTTATAACTTACCTCTGTACGTGTTGCTCCTTTGGTGTTGTTCATATGTTTTAAATATAATGCAAAATCATGTGCACTGGCAGGCTCTATTTGGTGGGCAAAGTCAATGTTGATTCATGACGACGTCAACATATTGCACATCCAGCTGAGGGAATTCACCCCCTGAGTAACAGACAAATGGACTTGAAATCAAGTTGGTTATTGGTTAGGCTTTGCATGGTGGAGTATCGAGTATAGTTTCGGTGTGCAGTAACACAATGTGGTAATAATATACAAATAATGAATGTTTGTGAGTGCAATGGAAAGAATAATTTCATGAGGTGACAGATGAAATGTTCCATTTCACGTGGCGAAGCCGAGTGGAATAGAACATTTCATCTGTCACGAACGTAAAACATTTATTATTTGTTTTATATAACACCTGAATAAATCCTCGTCATCTGATTGGTTGACTTTTAATAGCCAATTTATTCAGGTTAAAAATTGTTTACAAGTTTGACAAGTTCAGAGCTTTCATATTATGCAAACTGTTCAACAGGTTGAGAACTATAATATTCAATTTATCTCACCTTAAAACTTTTCCATAAGTTTAGAACTCAAAACAGTTCAATAAGTTCAGAACTTTTATTGCCTATTTAAACACCACAGCGCCACCATCGGCAACATGTGCAGTGACAGTGCAATGGTACTTCTAATCACAGTGCAATAGTACTACCATTGCACTGCGCGTTGCGCGCCGTGCATTGGTACGAATAATTCAAGACATGTGATCAACGATCCACCAATAAGATGACGGGGATTTATTCAGGTGTTGTATAATAGTTATTACCACACGGTGTTACAGCTAACCGAAACTATATGGTTGGTTTTACGTACCTATGCAAGAGCTTGCCCCGAATTAGGTGATTAGCAACAGAGTCATTGGTCTAGAGAATTCAAAGTTAAAATGTGCCAAGCATTCTGAGCAAGTCAGTGTACCAGATGTTTTTCGAATTTAAATCCCAAAGGGTATAGGTCACATGCAAATAGCTTATTATGCATGTCGAGGCCAGCAATTAATAAACACGATTGTGTGCGCCGTGCATGTACATGTTGGGGGCGCCGACAGACAAAACACGACTGAAGCGACTTGTCTTCAAGTCTACAGACAAACCTATTTCAAAACTGTTTCAACACCCTTTGTAAATAGCATCACGATACGTTGTTTACATTGCATTCATTTCCTGAAGATCTTGTGGATCAAACCACGATTAATCATCAGTGACATACCAGCGATGTTTATTTTTTTAGTGATAGGAAAGGCCGTGTTTTTTTTTTTTTTTCATTTTTATAATGAACTCTCCATGGAGACTGTAGAACACAAAGCTGTCTTCGTAGATCATTTATGGTATAGATCCCTGTAATAAATAATATGTTGAAAAACTAACCTGTCAAAAAGACAAGATGAATAGCAACAAATGCACTACAATTAGTACAACAATGCGAATTCTGACGAAATCTGTAATTACATTCCAGGGAAGACTTTTTAACAAGGAAGGCTGCTAGTTTCGTTTTCCTGACAAAGGTCAATGTTCATACCATGTGAAATTTCACTAGTGAGAATGTGTCACTTATTTAAACGTAATGCATCCTGTACATCTTAATGATGATTGTATTGCTTTTATCAAAAGTTGAATGGTCCAATGAAGCTTTTCTGGGGGATGCCTGTTGTCAAAACTGAAGAATTTCAGCGCAGAAATGGTGTTGGAATGAACTATCGAAAGAAAACTACATGTATATGACCAACTGTTATGAAAGGTTTATCTGAAGTGTTTGTGTGTGTGCAAAACCATGTGCGCCACAGATTTATTTGCATTCTACGTTGCGCCATTGCAAAACATACAGTTCATATAGGCTTTGTGAGTTCACCAGGAATTTCTGAAGTGTGAATTTAGTTTTTGTACCCTCTCGTTCGGTCCAACCTACAAATGCAAACAAGAAATGAAAAGCTGCAGACAAGGCCTTCATGGAATATTATGTCTGGTGGTCCGTGGCGTAGCCACGGGGGAGGGGGGGGGCGTGGGGGGAGCCCCCCATGAAACCTTGTCGCCCCCCCAGTCGCCCCCCCCCCCAACTGAGATTTGGGGTTTCTAAAAAAATTATCATTGATCTACATGACGCCCCCCCCCCCCCCCCCCCCCCCACTGAAAAATTCCTGGCTACGCCACTGCTGGTGGTCAACATCGACATTGTGCTGTTAAATACAAATATTGATTTTCCTTCAGGATTCTTCAACTTTATACATGAGGGGAATCGAAAACGAAAGATACGAACTTAAAACCCTGCCAGTGTGGTTGTTAGTTTAATCATAAACGATTATATTTTTTTTTAGCTTTCTACTAATGAATTACTCGCATCCATGCAATGATGCATGCCTCCTTAACATCAGCGTAGGAAAAATCCTCACATTTCAAGTGTACAATGTACTTCCATCTTTAATGGGTATGAAGGCTTTCTTTTGATAAAGTTATTTTCGATATTATGTTACTTTATTCTTAAACGTTTAAAAATTGAAAACCTGAGTGGAAAATCGAACGAGGGTGTAGGAAAGATACACCAGAATTGGAAATTATAGTCAAATATATAAACAAGCGGAAAAGGGACACATACATCATAAATACTAATACTTATAGGACATTAATAACTTGCATGCAACATAACAATGGGCTGGCAATACAGGATATTGTGAAGCCTGCAATATAATGCATGTAATCATGTAATGTCAGTATTGCATTCTGGTGGAGAAAATCTCGACAAGGAATACAACAAAAACACCACATACAGATGTGTACTGAGAGCACTGAGGTAAAGGGAGCTGAATATTCTGCCGATGGATTATTACAGGTTTTCCAAACACAAATCCTCTGTAAAGAAGCGCGGAACTACAGCTGTTTTCCACAACCTTCTAAATGTAGACTCGGCGTATATTAAAGATTAACATGCATCAAGTCGGTTGTTGTACTCACTGCACTGATAATATGCAGGCTAGGGCAGAATAAAGAATGATTCGAACACCAGAAAATGTTGATTGTCTGAAAATTGCTATATGAGATTTATTCTCCCCAAGAATGAAATCCCATTAAAACAAATTTCTTTGCACTGTTTAATTAATAGCGTAATCATTATATCAGCCAACAACACAGCATACAATCGAATACATGTGTTTACAGTAGCACGTTATTAATTGCAACTTATTAAAAGATTTGATTTATAACAATGGTTCAAATCACAGCTTAAAAAAAGCACAAACTACGTTTTATAATAAAATTCACTTCCAATTTTTCAAAAGCTGCAGATTGCATGAGGAAGGTAATGATTTTGATGGATTGAAATTGTGTTCACAAATTGCTTTTGGTCAGAAATCACGTTTTAAAGCCGGTGATTCTTGGGTAAATGTTGCTTGTTGTCTCTTCCCAAAACGTTTTGATTCGCTAAACAACCAGTGTTTCAGGCTTCATACGACATTCTAAGATATAGAATAATATTGTCTCTGAATTTGTGTTCATCTTCTGACTTTAATAATATATCAATATTTAAGAAAGTGAACGAAATGTTGTATATGGGATTCCATAGAAACGATCTAATTTAATTCTGAATCGTGTCATCCGAGTTTCAACTATTCGGCAAATTTCAATATTTTGAAGATATGTGATTGGACTTTTTACGAAAAAAAACACACTGTTTACACATGAATAGTCACAATAATAGTAAACATAGATATCAGTGCCCTTGTCACATGAAAATCCGACTCCTATGAAAATCGGACCCCTTTTCCCTATTATTGGTTAATCCTTCTCACGTGACCGGTCACTTTCCTAATTACCATACTTACGCATGCGCGTTATTACCAATGAGTCCGAATTTCATAAAAACGTAAATTCACGCTACACCGTTGCGTAAGAATTCTTGAGTATTTCAAAGTTTCAAATAATAATTTGTAATCATTTGGGTACAAAAAACATTCAGCAATTGTTTAAGACGATTCTTTCATGGCCACATGTAATCGTAATTATTCTGTATTTTCAAAACCATGCACAATGTACAATCATCATAAGAGAGCAAACGGTACATTGCTAGCTTAGGCTTAAAAAAAAACCCTCTGACCTATTTGTTCAAGAAACTAGTGTTACATCAACATTAACGATACTCTAAAAGATCTTTATCAGGTGCGTCCATTAAAGCTTTTCTCAAACATCGAATTTGCCGTCAGCTTTGGCTTACTGATTAGGTCCCTTCAAATTCTGAATTTCGGCTGGAAATAGGCATCTTTTCTGGTTCAACAAATGAATCAGATAAAACAAAGGCAATGTTTGGAGTTTTACCCATTGGAATAATATATTAAATGCCTGTAACTTGCAGTCGAAACTGGAGCCAAACCGACGTTTGATTATTTTATTAACATGTAAAGAATCTCTTCATTATAAGGACCAAAACTTATTTTAAAAAATCAGGGATAAACTACATGTTATTGACTAGTAACTTTGAACCATGAATATTTCAGAAAAATAGTCGACTTGCTCCTTATATTCAAAACACAAAATCTAACAGTTAAAATAATATGTAATCTCATTTTTACTTGAATGCCTGTGTGTAATATGTAATACAATAACTCGGCTTTTAAGCTGCTTCCATATAATGCTAAGGCAGCTTAATAGCTTAAAATTGCATTCCATAGGTTCTTTCGGTAAAGCATGCATAACTTCTGATAGCATGAATCAATTTTGGTAATTCTTTTTTTCTTTAGATGAGTGGAAGAACATTTTCTTTTAAGACATACTTAAATTTGATTGCTTTTTAAGAAAAAATCTTTTTGACTCACTCTGACTGTATGGTATTGCGTTGTTTGCATTTGTTCTAAATGGCAATATGCGTTGGTTTTTTTTTTTTAATTTGGTGTACATTTGTCATTTCTGCTGTTTAAACCATGTTTATACTTTGAATTGTTGTAATAATCTTCGATGTTGTCAAACAGTGGAAGTTTGTGTATATGTGATACGCAGCATCCAATTTTGTCTTTGAAGTTTAAATACTGTTTACTTCAAACAGAACACGCTCCCTAGATCATGTGTTGAGCCCTTTGTTCTGAACAGTAACTACTCTTAAATTTCAAAATAAGTAAAATCTAAGTTTTTCAATGATACAGTCACCAACCTATTCTTCATAAATAAACTTTCCAAAAATATTAAATTGAACCACTGAAAATAATTATATAGGGGCATAATGGTAAAAAGAACAATGTTATGATACACCAAATAACGCCAGCAGTTAGGACTCGAGCAGGACGCACCACGCAAGTAAGGAAGGCACGTGCACCAACGATCTCTGCTGATCTGCTAACTGAATATGTGACTTTTTTTTGGGGGGGGAAACTTAACGACAGAGAGCTAGTATTTAAACGAACAATCAGTGGCCGCACAAGTAAATGTAACGCGGCTATATTTCCAGGGGAAAATTTCTACATACATGTATTTCACAAAACAGCATATTTTGTTCTGCCACACACGTGCACATTGTATGGACAGCATATGTAGATGCTGAAAGGTATCACATCTTTTTTACCGGTAAGGTATTTTGTCTAACTTTTTGGCAGGCACCACTCTACTGCTCTGTCCAATGAGTTATTCACATTAAGGTCTCGTTTATTAACCAGGTACTGGAATGGTACAAGCTTGTTCAGTCCCTTCCTGAAGTCACGCATTTCCATGCCGTGGTATTTCTTGACATTCTGAAACGATGGAATTTTCTTGAGTGCTGGTATGCCACGTCCTCCTGCCATGATATCTGCCCGGAGATACTGGAGAAAGTGAGAGGTGTTGTTGAAGTAGTCATACATCCATGTATGTTGTATTTGTGGTATTCCTGTCATACTATTACTGCAGTAATAGTTTATTTTCGCAAGCTGGATGTCAGAAAGATCATAAGGGGCAGGTTTAGATCCAGGAACTGCTTCGAACCAGTTCATAGTCTCGGTGACAATAGCTGAGTAGCTGTTGCTGGAATTAAGCAGTGGCTTAAATGTCTGTAGGAGTTTAGCGAATCCAACATAGTCAGCAAGGTTGGAGGTGAAGATTCGGTCATAGTTGGGCATGTTCAAGGTTTGATGATGATTAGGAAAGTCCAGACTGTCAGCCAAGGAGACATGGATAAGAAGCCTTCCTTGAAGGATGAGGCTCTTGACTTTCTGGAGGAGGTTTGTCACGTACTTGTGGTACATCACCATCGGAGAGGAGTGGGATCCAGGGGTGTGCTCTCTTACTCTCAAACAGTCCCATTCTTCAAAGGGAATAATAGCTGGCCGAATGCAGTATTCAAATGTGGCATCTTCTTGTGATACTGCTTGCGTATTGTTTAGGAGAAGAAATAAGCGTGCATCCTCACCTGCAATGGTTTTACTGGCTTTTGGGGCAGTTAGTGTTGGGTTGCCAAATGGCATGTTCTTTTCCTTTGCCTCGTAGGGGAAAAATAGCCCGTGCTCGAACCACTCTTCAACCATTTTTCTATCTTTCTCGTTGATACGAATTAGATATAGAGGATGGTTTACCTTAGCAAAGTGGCAGTTATCAAACAGAACCTTCCTTTGTTGTTTGAGGTTGATTGAGGTTTTTTTGTCTCGGTGGCATTGCAACGCTCGCCACTTTCCCCAAACAAATTTCAGATAACTGAGGTTTTCATCCAGGACAGTCACCAGTCCTTTGGTGGCATCGTGGAGTTGCTGAGCACTCATCTGAATGAGTTCATCCAAGCTTGTCTTGATCAAGTCGAACTCTCTCTTGGAAATGTAGAGTGAGTACCAGATGGTTGTCAAACTGGAAGCAATGTAGTCAGTGTCTGCGAAGCGGACCAATATGAAGAGAAACAGCACATTCCTTGCCGTGACAAAAGGGTTGTAGTCATTGAGGGTGATGTAAAGTTTTCCCTGGTACTCATCAGGCAAGGAAGCAGCAGTCAATACGGTGTTACGCAGATTTCCACAACCAGCAGAGAGGACATGATAGTCCCTAGTCAGCTCTTCCTTGTCCACTCTATCTGTGGACAATTCGTTGTTTTCAAGTTGAAGGAAGTCTTTAGCCATGGTATTGCCAATATAGAAGGGGAAATCACCATGTCTTGATGTATTCAGTTTCAGTGACACTTGTTTGACAAAAGCCATAATTTCCTTACATTTTGCTTTGTGAAATGGCCAGCCATGCAGTTGACAGTCTGTATCACAGTACCATGCGTCATTGCATCCTGAACACTGGAAGAAGAGAATAAAAGAAGTACATGTAGCCTATAAGCAAAATTGTCGATAATGTTCCTGTTGTCTTGTGTATGTTTTGGTTTTCTCAATATAGTGCTGAAAATACCATACCCTGAATATGTTAATAACTTTGCATCTCAAATTTTGATTAGGCCTTAAATTTCTTTTTGTCTGTTTTAAATATTGTCACAGTTAAACAGATCTTCAAAATCTTTTTCGTGTCGTTTTTACTTTTTTAACCAATAATTGCACTAATCACTGTAGTGCAATATCATAGTTCATACCTACCTCAAGTGTTTTGCCAAGTTTGCCACAAGCGCTGCACTTCTTTGCCTGAAATATTTCACACTCGACAGCACCGTGTCTGACTGTGTCTCTGTCCCGGCATGATGAGGCACAGTAGACAGCAACAGGGCATCGGCTGCAAGACACAGTTCTCTGTGGGAGAGGTTTCTCACAAAACCAGCAATGTCCAGGCTGTACATCCATGGTGGCCGCACACTGGTCACTGCACATACATGTAAAATATGAATGACACTCCCCATTAACTCCGTATAGACATTATTAATACGATCTGTTGCAGATTGTGGCTGAAGTACATATCTGTTGGTACGGTATTTAAATAGCTTTTGCATGTATGCTTATATTTAGTTTCACTGTTTTAGTGATAAATTATGCATTTACAATCACTTCTATAGAAGTTCAGTTCACTTGAATTCGATTCAATTCAATTCAAGAAGACATGTTATTTCCGTACTTTTAAATTATGATTACAAACGTATATTTGTATTACGTACGTTTTGAATATAGTAGTAATATTAAATTAAATAAATATACAATTAAACAACTGTCAGAGAAAACTATGTGTTTGGGTACAAAAATCACTCAGAATTCGAAAGCATTGGAGGCATTTTCAAGAATCCGAGTTTATATAGAAATGCCTCCCAGATCACAGGGAAAAAAACGTTCCAGGATACATGATCAGGGGAAAAAAGAAGAAAACATACCGGTCAACACAAACATGACAGGAAACAAAAACAGGACAGCACAAAGAGACAGGAAAAAAAAGAACAAACTAATATATTTTCTGGCAACTGTGCAGAAAAATCAGCTGTTAGATTGACAGTTTTGTAACTGGGAACAGATATCTGCAGGCATTGGCCTGTTAACTTACCTCAGAACGTGTTTCTCCGTTGGTGTTGTTCATACGTTTCAATCATAATGCAAAATATGTGCCTTGCCAGGCTTAATTTCAGTGGGCGATGTTAATGCGGAGTCATGATGACATCATCATATTGCACATCCAGCTGAGGGAAAGCACCCACCGAGTATCCGACATAGACTTGAAATCAAGTCGGTTTATACGATTTTAAGCTTTGCATGGTGGGGTATCGATATGGTTTCGGTTTGCGTTATAACACCATGTGGTAATAACTACTGTCGCTTAGTAGATGTAGTAGAACTACTGTCGCTTAGTAGATAAGAACAGTCCCGCTTAGTTCTAAAAAGAACTCGTCCTGCTTATTATTTACTTTCATTAGGGCCTATTAGTAGGTTGGAAGACGGTCTTCTCGCAATTATCTTCACTGAGGCTGAGTGAGATCAGTTTGATTGAGATGTGCTAGACGACAGTAGTTATTACCACACTGTGCTACAGCAAACCGAAACTATATGGTTGGCTTTAGTTCGCCGGCCGTGCTCGTACACCCACCGCGCGGCGTGGACAGATACAGCATACCGTGCTATATACGTGCAACGTGCGGTATATGCCACTTGCGGGGACGATGTACATCCTCGGCCCCAATATACGTGTAGGTCGATACCAATAAGCCATTTGCGAGTTAAATTTGAATAAAATCTGGAACGCCGACTTAATCCAATACTTTGCACGTTTAAATTTGCATTCTCAAGACCAAAGAGACTGTTACTATATCACGTGATTCAGGGCAAGCCTTTATACGCTAGCAACCCCCAGCTCCGGCATGGTCTGGTGTCTTTGTGCCATTCTCGCCCATTATGAACAATGTATTGGTGATGAGCGTCTCTTACGTACCTATGCAAGAGCTTGCCCCGAATCATGTGATTAGCAACAGTGTCTTTGGTCTGGAGAATTCAAAGTTAAAATGTGCCAAGGATTCTGAGCAAGTCAGTGTACCAGATTTGTTTTTCAAATTTAAATCCCAAAGGGTATAGGTCACTTGCAAATGGGTTATTTTACATTTCGAGGTCAGCAATTGTGTGCGCCGTGCAAGTGAATGTTGAGGGCGCCAACAGACGAAACACGACTGTCTAGCGACTTGTCCTCAAGTCTACAGACAAACCTATTTCAAAGCTGTTTAAACACCCTAGGTAAGAAGCATCATGATACGTTGTTTACATTGCATTCGTTTCCTAGGGATCTTGTAGATCAAACCACGATCAATCATTAATGACATACCACCGATGTTTGTTTTGTAGTGTCAGGAAAGGGCGTGTTTTTTTCTCCACATTTTTATTATGAACTCTCCATGGAGACTATAACACAAAGCTATTTTCATAGATCATTCATGGTATAGAGCCCTATAATAAATAATATGTTGAAAAACTAACCTGTCTAAAAGGCAACCTTAAGATGAATAGCAACAAATGCACTACAGTGCGAATTCTGACAAAATCTGTAGTTACATTTCAGGGAAAACTTTTTAACAAGGAAGGCTACTAGTTTCGTTCTCCTGTCAGGTCTACATTCGCTTTCAGTTTAAATTTCCATACCATATGAAATTTCACTAGTGAGAATGTGTCACTTATTTAGAAAGTAATTCATCCTGTACATCTTAATGGGGATGTATTACTTTTATCAAAAGTTAAATGCCAATGGAGCTTTTCTAGGGCATTAACCTCCTGTATGGGGCATTATGAGACATCATTTCTTGCTACCGATTAATTACACTTTTGTGAGTATACAAAATAATTAGATAGTGTTTCCACCTTTGTTGAATTCAAACAGTTAAAACACATTATCTTTTTTTGTTTCTTAAAATACTGTAAGTTCATCAAAATAAAAGATGAAACATTTTGAAAATCATTTTTGTCTCAGTTCACATGGTCTGTCCCCTCCTCTTGGAGTATTAAAGTTTACACATAATGTTGCATTTGGATGATTTTTGCAAGCAAGGTTTTATAGTCATCCAGACCTGTCTTACACAGTACGGTGTTCCCCACTGAAGATAGGTTTTGTCAGGGAAGTTCGTTGACAATGAAAGTGCACCGTCGAGTGTACTAGGCTCTTTTGGTAAAACATGCATAACTTCTGATACATGTACTACGAATCGTTTCCAGTAATTTGTTTTTTTCTCCAGATGAGTGGAAGAACATACTCTTTTAAGACATACATAAATTTGATTGCTTTTTAAGGACAAAATTCATTAATCCAGGTCACTTTCTTTGTTACTATGTATGGTATTGCAATGTTTGCATTTGTTCTAGGCTAATGGCAATATGCAGTTGGTTTTTCCAACTCTATTTCTTAATTTTAGAAAATGTGTAGATAGTTCATTTCTACTGTTAAACCATGTTTATACTTTGAATAACTGTAATAATCTTCGATGTTGTCGAACAGTTGAGATTTGTGTAAAAGTGCTACGCAGCACCCCATTTTGTCTTTGAAGTTTTGTCTTTGAATTTTATTTGCTTCAATACAGAATACTCTCTCCATATCAGGCGTTAAGCCCTTTGTTCTGAACAGTAACTTATAAACTTCTCTTCTACTTAATCAGAAACCGTCTTTCATTACAAAATAATAACATAGAAATAATTATGATAAAAACAACAAACTAAAAAGAAACAGAGTTAATTTCCAAAATAAGTAAAATCTGAAAGCTCAAGCTTCAAGTTTTCAATGATACAGCCACAATCTGCTCAAACTACATAAACAAACTTTTCAAAAAGATATAAAAATTAAACTCCTGAAAATAATTATATATGGCAAAAAAAGAAAATTCTTGTGAGAAATAACTCCAGCAGTCAGTACTCAACGCGGGACAAACTACCCAGACTAAGAGGGTGAAATTTGACAAACGTGTACATTTTCTCTGTTCATCTGCTAAATGAATATGTGACTTTGGGGCAAAACTGTATGGCGGGGACAGTAGACCACTTAAATGAACAAACATAGGCCGCACAGCTAAACACGGCTAAATTTCCGGGGGGACCCTATTTAACAAGATAGCCGAAGAAGCAATACTTGGCTCTGTCATACACTGTATGGACAGCATAATATGTAGTTGCTGAAAGGTATCACATCGTTTGTACCGATATAGTATTTTGTCTAACGTTTGGGCAGGCACCACTCTACAGCTCTGTCACGTGCACTTTTCACATTAAGGTCTCGTTTAGTTACTAGGTACTGGAATGGTACAAGCTTGTTCAGTCCCTTCCTGAAGTCACGCATTTCCATGCCGTGATAGTTCTTGACGCTCTTAAATGATGGTACTTCCTTGAGTGATGGTATGCCTAGCCCCCCTGCCATGATATCTGCTCGGAGATATTGGAGAAAGTGAGAGGTGTTGTTGAAGTAGTCTGAGAAGCAGGTAGGTTGTATTTCTGGTATTCCTGTCGTGCTAGCAAAACAGTGACGGATTTTTTCAAGCTGGATGTCTGAAAGGTCATCAATGTCAGGTTTAGCTCCAGGTACTTTCTCGTACCAGCTCAAAGTCTCAGTGACAATAGCTGAGTAGCTGTTGCTGGCATTAAGCAGTGGCTTGAATGTATGTAGGAGTTTAGCGAATCCAACATAGTCAGCAAGGTTGGAGGTGAAGATTCGGTCGTAGTTGGGCATGCTCAAGGTTTGATGATGATTTGGGAAGTCCAGAGAATTTGCCAAGGAGACATAGATAAGGAGCCTTCCATGAAGGATGAGACTCTTGACTTTCTGGAGGAGGTTTGTCACGTACTTGTGGTACATCACCATCGGAGAGGAGTGAGATCCAGGAGTGTTCTCTCTTACCTTCAAACAGTCCCATTCTTCAAAGGGAGTAGAAGCTGGAGAAATGCAATACACAAATGTGGCATCTTCTTGTGATTCTGCTTGAGCATTGTTTTGGAGAGAAAATAAGCGTGCATCTTCACCTGCATGAGCCTCACTTGCCTTTGGGGCAGTTAGTGTTGGGTTGTCAAATGACATGTCCTTCTCGTTAGCCTCATAGGGACAAAAAAGCCCGTGTCCAAACCACTCTTCGATCATTTTTCTATCTTTTTCGTAGATATGTTCTAGATAGATAGTGTGGTTCATCATAGTATCGGGCCATTCATCAAACAGAATCTGTCTTTGTTGTCTTAGTTTGATTGAGGTTTTCTTGTCTCGTTGACATTCCAACGCTCGCCACTTTTCCCAAACGGGTTTCAGATAACTGAGGTCCTCATCCAGGAGCCTCACCAGTCCTTGGGTGGCATCATGGAGTTGCTGAGCACTCATCTGAATGAGTTCATCCAAGCTTGTCTTGATCAAGTCGTACTCTCTCTTAGAAATATGGAGTGAGTACCAGATGGTTGTCAGACTGGAAGCAATGTTGTCAGTGTCTGCGAAGCGGACCAACATGAAGAGAAACAGCACATTCCTTGCCATGACAAAAGGGTCGTTGTCATTGAGGGTGATGTGAAGTTTTCCCAGGTACCTGCCAGGCAAGGAACCAGCTGTCAACACTGTGTTACACAGATTTCCACAACCAGCAGAGAGGACATGATATCCCCTAGTCAGCCTTTCCTTGTCCACTCTATCGGTGGACAATTCGTTAATTTCAAGTTGAAGGAAGTCTTTAGCCATGGTGCTTCCAATATAGAAGGGGAAATCAAAATGTGTGGGTCTGTGCAGTAATTCCAGTGACACTTGTTTGACATAAGCCATAATTTCCTTACACTTTGCTTTGTGAAATGGCCAGCCATGCCGTTGGCAGTCTGTATCACAATACCATGCATCGTTGCATCCTGAACACTATAATAAGAAAAGAAAAGAAGTAGTGTATGAGCAAAATAGTCAAAGATTTTCCTGTTGTCTTGTGTATGTTTTTGGTTTCTGAATTATGGTCCTGAAAATATTGTATACCTGAAAACGGAATCCCTATCAGCGTACAGTTAGAATACGTAAATAAGTGTGCATGGGAGTCGGGTTGGCGTAGTGGTTCTTTCCTCGCCTCACCGCTGCGGCCGGGAATCCTGCCTGGGCGAACATGTGGATTGGGTTTTCAGTCCCTGCCTTGTTGCACAGGGTTTTCCCCAGAATATTCTTCTGGGGTTTTCCTCCCACCTCTAAAACTGTAATTTCTTCACATTGTCTTCTCCCTACGGTTTTCACCACGGCTGCGAGCTACAGTTTTCATAATTAATAAATAATAAATTAATAATGAATAATGTCAAATTTTGACTCGGCCATGAATTTTTCCTATATTTTTGTAATAATTGAAAAGACCTTCATAATAATGTGATGTCATGATCTCTCTTCTTTTAATCAATAATTGCAGTGATCACTGTAGTGCAATTTCACAAAGTTCCCTACCTACCTCAAATGTTTTGCCACGTTTACCGCAAGCACTGCACTTGTTTGCCTGAAATATCTCACACTCGAGAGTGCTGTGTCTGACTTTGTCTCTGTCCCGGCATGATGTGGTACAGTAGACAGCAACAGGGCATCCGTCGCAAGGCACAGTCGTCTGGGGGTGAGGTTTCTCACAACACCAGCAATGTCCAGGCTGTACATCCATGGTGGCCGGCCGCACTGGTCACTGGACAAATATGAATGACGCTCACCATTAATTGTGAAGTGTGTTGCAGATAATTCCTTCCTCTGTGGATAAACTACATAGCTATTTCTTATCAGCATTAGACTGACAATCTTGTAATTCATTATTAGGAACATAATTATGATATCTTCATATATTATTGGCCAGATACTTACCTTACTACGTGTTTTCCCCAACAGTGTTGTTCATATGTTTTAATCATGCAAAATATGTGCACTGACATGCTCTATTTGGTGGGTGATGCCAATGCTGATTCATAACAACGTCATCGTATTGCACATCCAGCTGAGGGAATTCACCCACTGAGTACCAGACAAACTAGCCTTGAAATCAAGTCGGTATTATTGGTCTGGTTTAGTTCGGCCGCATCGCACGTCAACCACCGCGCGGCGTAGATATGGCATAATGTGTAATGTGCGGTATGGCACTTGCGGGGACCATTGTGCATCCTCGGCCCGTCGGCCGCAATATACGTCTAGGTCGATATACATGTACATATGTACCAATTACACGCTGAGGCCAGCAATGATGAATAAGGGTGCAGCAGATCTGTAAATAGGCCCAGACTTGCCTACGCGGGCCAAATCACAATTCGTATGCCCTCCAATTCTGAGGTAGATATAAGACCATTTTGATGGCTGTGTGCTTGAGGATTTGTAAAAAGAAAAAAAAATGGAAGTCGTGCAGAGGACTGCGATCTCGTATTTATTTGACATTTTGATATAATTAGGCCCAAAAATTGCTCTATTTTGCAATGGAGCATAGGCGTCCATTTTCAAAATGCTTCAGGACTGCTTTTAGGGGTGATCATTTTTGGGTGGAATTTTCTCCCAAAAGTTATCAGTTAAACCCCGCCCGCCCCCCCCCCCCAAATGAACAACTTGTCCTCAAGTCCACAGACAAACCTATTTCAAACCTATTTCAACATTCATTTTCCCAACCCTGACCTGACAATGCCACCCTGACGTCTATACATTGTAGGTCAGGCAGCCGACTCCGGGCTAAAAAATAAATATGATGGCCTTTTTTCAAAGCTGGTCTTCGTTTCCGCCTTGGCTATCATTAAAAGCTTTTCATGTTCCGATCATTGACAAATAAAAAAAACCGAATTGTTTCATATATCATTCAGTTTGATAATTCTGTAAGAAAACATTGTAATGTTCAGTTGGAATATTAAAGTAAGGGACTCAAATGGCCGGGCGAAGCCGAAATGGAGACGACGTCGAGTTTTGGAATACACCTAGGTTACCGTCGTCAGATTAAAAATAGTACGATTCTAGTGCATACTTGATGCACAAAGTCGTCGTTGAATATCGAGGTTTTTCTTAAATGCAAGCAATGAATATTAATTATCAAGTCATGTCAATTTCTTTTAATAAGCATGACAGGTAAATATAACCTATTTTTTCCCCGGAAATACCCGGGCGATATCAGAGAGTGTCAACGAAATGCATATGGCAAACTTTGGACATTTGCGGAAACTGAGGTATTCCACCCGATTTGGTCACGTGCCGTGCGGCTGCCTGAGCCTAGATTCATCAGAAATAATCCGAATATTTTGGTCTGGTAACCATAATACCAAAACCACGATCTATCGTTAATGACATCACTGATGTTTATTTTTTAGTGTTGGGAAAGGCCAATTTTTAAAAACATTATTATAATGAACTCTCCATGGAGACTGAAGAACACAAAGCTATTTCACATGAATTTAATAGATCATTTAGGGTATAGGGCCCTTTTAAATAATGTGTTGAAAAACTAATCTGTCTAACAGGCCAACCAACTTAAGATGAATAGTAACACTTTATCGCACTGCAACAAGTCGAATTGTGACGAAATCTGTATTTACATTCCAGGGAAAACTGTTTAACAAGGAAGGCCCCTAGTTTCGTTTTCCTGTCAAAGGTCTTCATTCGCTCTTAGTTAAAATGTCCATGCCATATGAAATTTCACTAGTGAGAATGTGTCACTTATGTAGAAAGTAATTCACCCTGTACATATATATATCAGAAAGTATTGCTTTTATCAAAAGTTTAATTCCGATGGAGCTTCTCTGTGAGATAAACCTCCTTTATGAGGCATTAAGAGACATAAAAAGAGTTAAAACACATTTTCTTTTTTTCTTCTTAAAATACTGTAGGTTCATCAAAATAAAAGATGAAAGATTTTGAAAACGGTTACCATTCATGTCTCAACTCACATTGTGTGTCCCCTCCTCTTGGAATATTAAGGTTTACACATGATGCTGAATTTGGATGACTTATGCAATCAAGGTTTTCAAGTCACCCACGTCTGTCTTAGAGAATAAATACCACTTGTACGATGTGCCCTCACTGAGGACTGGGGCCAATGGAGCTGCTAAGCACACAAAAATTGCTTAGCACAAAAAAAGTCTGGCTTAGTAAAAGTAGGTATATTACTTATAAGACAAAACAAACCATTAATCAAGGTCATTTTTTTTACTCACTCCGTATGGTATTGCAATGTTTGCATTTGTTCTAAATGGCAATTGGCCTATGCAGTAGGTTTTGCCAACTGTAATTTTTAATTTTAAAGAATGTGTAGATTGTCTATTTCTTCTGTTAAACCATGTTTAAACTTTAAACTATTGTAATAATCTTAGATGTTGTCAAACAGTTGAAGTTTGTATATAAGTGCTACGCAGCACCCCATTTTGTCATTGAAGTTTGAAATTACGTTTGACTTTGAAATAGAACATGCTCTCGAGATCTTACGTTATGCCCTTTGTCCTGAACAGTAATTTAGAAACTACTCTTCTACTTAATCAGAAACTGGCTTCCATTTCAAAATAATAACACAATAAAAATGATAAAAACAACAATGATAAAAAACAAACTGAAGTTAAATTGCAAAATATGTTAAATCTGCAGCCTCAAAGCTTGAAGTTTTCAGAAATACAGCCACCAACCTATGCTCAAACTACATAAACCAATCTTTCCCAAAATATTAAATTAAATCCCATGGTCAAAAGAACAATCTTATGAGACACCAATAACTCGAGTAGTCAGGACTTAACGCAGAACACATCACTCAAGTTAAGAGCGTGAAAGTTGAGGCTATCTGAATATGTGACTTTGTGGCAAAATTCGGTAAATTAAATTTGATTTTTAAGAAAAAATCATTAATGCAGGTCACTTTCTTTTTGACTCACCCTGTAAAGTATTTCAATGGTTGCATTGTTTTTAAATGGCAATATACAGTTGGTTTTGCCAACTCAAATTCTTAATTAAAAAAATATGTAAATTGTTCATTTCACTATCTTAATTTGAGTGGTGTGGCCGCGGGACACACCACGGCTAATTTCCGGGGGAACATAGCCTTGGTCAAGGCGTTCGTCATTATCCGTCCGTGCCGTATTCGGTAGTCTATGTAATAGACTATGGCGAAAGCCATGGTCTATCATGCGTGAACAGATTCGCTGATAAATTAGGCAAGACCCCGCCTCTTGACCTCCTAGATTTTGTCCAATCAGCGGGAGCTTTCTATATCGGGTCTTTGGTCATTCACCCGTTGCACGTCATAGACAATGGATTAATACAAAATTGTCACGCGCTCTGTATCGTGTTACGCGAATGCACGCCTGGCTGTTGTTGCATCCAAATTGACCAATCACAGTTTTAGTCCTGATTTTGGAATGAAATGACGTCACGATTTAGTAAAGTCGACTCCGATTGGCTGGCGCCCGGCTTGCATACATCTGCATGTCTGGACATAGACGTTATACAGGGTTTCTCTCCGTGGAAAACGGGTGATACTCAGACTAGGTGTTCGGCGGCATATCCTCACTATGAAGCGCATGTAAAAATACAGTGCGAACAGCGACCGCATGCGGCTACTATTTATGCAATCATTTGGATTCGATCGAACACCTTGGTCCAATCGTCGGCGAAAACTTATGTTTTTCTTTATTTTGCGCTAGATTTCTAGCGCACGACCTCATCATGCGAATACAATTAAGTGTAGGCGGGGCTAATATGCGGAGTGTCCAATCGCAACTTGGTAAATCTCGACGTCGTCAAAGTACTTGCAACTAACTATTCGCCTTTTGCGGACGAGTCAGAAACCAAATTTTTGTGCATTGGCTGTGTGTGAGACACACAACGTGCGTGTGTGCCTGTATTATGTACGGTACATGTCACACGTTATCGTTTATAGGCCTTTCTTTTGTTTGTAATCATTGGCGCCATTTTGTATGGGCTGCTGTAAGCGCATAAATTGAAGCCGTGGTTGGCAACATATTTTTCCAAAAAAGTCCCCATAACGCCATGAACACATAGTAAAAAGGCATATTTAGGAATTATTTTGTAGCTTTGATGAAAATATTGTATTTTCAAGAATCAAATAATATTTTGGTGATCTGTAATAACTCTTCTTCACTTTTGGACCTTCCATAGTTTTGCAGGCCGTGGTTGGCAAAAATGCAGTTTGCCAACCAAGCGCAGAAAGCTCTATATGCAACGATCGACCAATAGAAAAACGAAGTATAAGGCCCCCCCAAAAAAATATTCGGTCTCTGGTCAGACCAAAGTTCCGGAATTGACGCGGCCACGCGGCTTTTTTTTTTTTTTTTTGCTTTTTTTTTTTTTTCTTCAAGCTTGGATTGTACAGACAAGGTAGGTACTATTTTGCTTTTTTGGTGTCCTCATGTACATTGGTGTCCTCCATAATTTGCCTTGGTGCTTTCGATCATTTGCCTTGGTGCAATTTCCAATTCCTTGGTGCTCTTTGGTTAAAAAAAATTGAGGAGGTGCGGGAATAGAGGGCGCTGTTGGAGCTACCGCGGAACATTTTGGAAAAAAAAAGATCGACGCGCATGATTAAAATCGACGCGCGCGCTGACCAGAGACCGACTTATTTTTTTCGTTTGGCCTAAGGTAAGCTGAGGCTATTAGCATAATGAGCACTACCCCAAAAACCTCACGTGAACGATTGGATCAAGGCGTTAGTCTAGACCCAAATGATTTCCATATATAAATAGTGGCCGTATGAGGTCGCTGTGCGATCAGTCAGCGCGCGGCAGCCTTGATATGCCGCCGAATACCTCACGGACGAATAATGACGAACGCCTTGACCAAGGCTAGGGGGAACAGTAATATATCCTTAGTAAACAATAAAGCCAAAGAAGTAATATTTGGCTCTGCCACACATTGTATGGACAGTATGTAGTTGCTGAAAGGCATCACATCAGAGTATTGTGTCTAAGCTTTAGGCAGGTACCACTCTACAGCTCTGTCAGTTCCGTTATTAATATTAAGGTCTCGTTTATTACGTAGGTACCGGAATGGTACAAGCTTGTTCAGTCCCTTCCTGAAGTCACGCATTTCCATGCCGTGATATTTCTTGACACTCTCAAATGACGGTACGTCCTTGAGTGATGGTATGCCAAGCCCCCCTGCCATGATGTCAGCTCGGAGATACTGGAGAAAGTGGGAGGTGTCATTGAAGTAGTCTGACACCCATGTATGTTGTTTTAGTGGTATTCCTGTCATACGATCATTTATTAAGTAACTCTTTAGTTTTGCACGCTGGATTTCTGAAGGATTCTCAAGTTTAGCTCCAGGAACTTTATCGGCCCAGTGTACAATCTCAGTGATAATAGCCGAGTAGCTGTTGTTGGCGTTAAGCAGTGGCTTCATTGTCTGCAGGAGTTTAGCTAATCCCACAAAGTCAGCAAGGTTGGAGGTGAAGATTCGGTCGTAGTTGGGCATGCTCAAGGTTTGATGATGATTTGGGAAGTCCAGAGAGTTTGCCAAGGAGACACGGATAAGCAGTCTTCCTTGAAGGATGAGACTCTTGACTTTCTGGAGGAGGTTTGTCACGTACTTGTGGTACATCACCATCGGAGAGGAGTGTGATCCAGGGGTGTTCTCTCTTACTCTCAAACAGTCCCATACTTCAAAGGGAATGGCAAGTGGATAAATACAATACACAAAATGTGTAGCATCTTCTTGTGGTTCTGCTTGAGCATTGTTTAGGAGAAGAAATAAGCGCGCATCTTCACCTGCAACAGTTTCGCTTGCCTTTGGGGCAGTTAGTGTTGGGTTGTCAAATGACATGTCTTTTTCCTTCGCCTCATAGGGAAAAAATAGCCCATGTCCCAACCACTCTTCCATCATTTTTCTATCTTTTTCATTGATACGATTTAGATACAAAAGATGGTTCAACTTAGCATTCGGGTCGTTTTCAAACATAATCTTTCGTTGTTGTTTAAGATTGATGGAGGCTTTCTTGTCTCGCTGACATTCCAACGCTCGCCACTGTTCCCAAACAGGTTTCAGATAATTGAGGTCTTCATCCAGGACACTCACCAGTCCTTTGGTGGCACCATGGAGTTGCTGAGCACTCATCTGAATGAGTTCATCCAAGCTTGTCTTGATCAAGTCGTACTCTCTCTCGGAAATATGGAGTGAGTACCAGATGGTCGTCAAACTGGAGGCAATGCAGTCAGTGTCTGCGAAGCGGACCAACATGAAGAGAAACAGCACATTCCTTGCCATGACAAAAGGGTCGTTGTCATTTAGGGTAATGTGAAGTTTTCCCTGGTACTTGTCAGGCAAGGAACCAGCTGTCAATACCGTGTTACGCAGATTTCCACAACCAGCAGAGAGGACATGATATTCCTGAGTCAGCTGTTCATTTTCCACTCTATCTGAGGACAATTCGTTGTTTTCAAGTTGAAGGAAGTCTTTAGCCGTTTCGCGCCCAATATATGAGGGAAAATCAAAATATGTTGGGTAACGCAGTTCCAGTGACAGTTGTTTGACAGAAGCCATAATTTCCTTACACTTTGCTTTGTGAGATTGCCATCCATGCCGTTGACAGTCTGTATCGCAATACCATGCATCGTTGCATCCTTGACACTAGTATAAGATACGAAGAGAAATAGTCTATGAGCAACATAGTCAAACATTTTCCTTTTGTGTTGGGTATGTTTTGGTTCTGAATTATGGTCCTGAAATTTTTACATATCTGCAAAAGGAGTCTATATCATCATACATTAAGAATAAGTTAATAACCTTGAATGTGATTCAAGTACGAATGGCGGTTCTAATCCTGCCTGGGCGAACATCTGGATTGTGTTTTCATTCCCTGCCTGGTTCCACAGGGTTTTCTCCCAGAATATTCTTCTAGGTGTTTTCTCCCACCTCTAAAACTTTAATTTCATCTCATTGTCTTCTCTCTGCATGTTTCATAACGGCTTGCAAGGTACAGTTTTCATTTACCAGAAACAATTAATAATAAAATAATAATGAATAATAGTGTCCCATTTTTATTTATTTATTCGGCTTAGAATATTTCTGATATTTTTTGTAATGTAATAAATAAAAAGATCCTCATAACCTTTATGCTATCATGATTTCTCTCTTTCAAATCAATAACTGCACTGATCACTGCAGTTCATTTACCGCATTTACCTCGAGTGTTTTGCCACGTTTTCCGCAAGTGCTGCACTTTTTTGCCTGAAATATTTCACACTCGACAGCACCGTGCCTGACTTTGTCTCTGTCCCGGCATGATGTGGTACAGTAGACAGCAACAGGGCATCCGTCGCAAGGCACAGTCCTCTGTTGGAGACGTTTCTCACAAAACCAGCAATGTCCAGGCTGTACATCCATGGTGGCCGCACACTGGTCACTGCATGCACATACAAAATAAAAGAATATGAATGACACTCCAACATTAACTCTGCGTACAATATTCTGTCTGTTGTATAGCAATTGACACAGTATTTACATAGCCTTTGCAAAATAATATTGTATGCTTCTATACATGTATGAGTGATAAATTATGCATTTTAAAATCGTTTCTAAACATGAAAATCGTAAAAGTGGTCTGTCTATTGAACCCTGCCTTAAAAATCACCATTTTTTCTTCCATTACAAAAACAAACTCTGAAATTTAGTGTTTCTGGCAACCGTACAAAAAACAAATCGGCCTCAGATAAACAATCTTAAATGAGTTTTGAGACTTTGTATGGTTGTAGTGTTAGTGAGGGTTTGCGGTAACATCATGTGAAATAGTCTTTTTTGAGAGTTATGTGTGGTTCCGAAAAGAACCGTTTGGTTGTGAAACTCAACGTTCCGATCATTATACACTCTGAAAGTTTTCTGGAGAACAGACGATCAGAGCATACCGAAGACGATTAGAGCATGCTGATCGCAACGTCGAGTTTCACAACCAACCAGTTCTTTTCGGAACCACACATCTTCTGAAAAGAGATTCTTCCAAATGGTGTTACTGCAAACCCTCACAAAGAAACAATCTTTTAATTAATTATTTGGAAAATATTTTACGATAGCCTATCTGCAGAATTTGGCCTGATAACTTACCTTGGTACGTGTTTTTCCTTTGGCGTTGTTCGTATGCTGAATGATAGTGTAACATATGTGCACTGGCAGGCTGTAGTTGGTGGACGATGTCAATGCTGATTCATGATGACGTCATCATATTGCACATCTAGCTGTGGGAATTCACCCACAAAGTACCAGATAAACCTGTTTTAACAGCCTTTGTTATCGGCACGCCTTCGATTCAGTTGAATGCTATGAAATTCGCGCAGTGCGCCCACATATAACATAATATGCAGGCTTTGTGAGTTCGCCAGGACATTTCTCATGCATGAATTTGCTTTTTGTACCCTTTTATTTGGTCTAACCTGATATGCAAATAAAAAAAATGGAAAGCTTCAGACTACATGTACGTGTCTGGTGAACAAAATCAACATGGTGCTGACGAATACAAATATTGCTTCGCCTTCAGGCATCAATTTTATGCGGGGACCGGGGGGGGGGGGGTCGAAAACGAAAGTTACGAACTTTAACACTGCCAGTGTGGTTGTTAGTGCCATCTTAAAATATTGTTTTAGCCAATTACTTGTATCCCTGCATTGATGGAAGACTCCTAAACATCAGTCATAAAAATAATAAACATGAACAACATTTTTTTAAAATCATTTCCAGCGTTATACATGCAGTGTACCTATATCTTTAACGGGTATGAAGTTTTTCTTTGGATACACTTATTTCCGATATTTTTTGTGACTAACTTTATTCTTAAACGTTTAACATATGGAAAATGTAAGTGGAAAATCTAACAAGGGAGGCGGAAGGGTAAACCCGAATTGTAAGCTTTAATCAGATATAAACCAGTGGAGAAGGGAATCGTACACCACAAAATACTAGTACAAACTCTTGTGTACGTCAACTGTGCAGGAAATTTATAAATGACAATAAACGATATTGTAAAGCCTGAATTTTGTTTAGTACAATACATGCATGCGTGTCAAAGTTTGGCCGGTACAGAACGGAGATTTTCCCTCAGCTGGATGAGCAATATAATGATGTCATTGCGGAATTGGCTATAGTCAGGATCGATATCGTATACGCTAGCCTGCCAGTATTTGCATTCTGGTGAAGAAACTCACGACAAGGAATACAACAAAAACACCACATACGGATGTGTACCGAGAGCAGGTAAGTGAGCTGAATATTCTGCCGATGAATTACAGTGTTTTTCAAACAAAAATCCTACGTTATTAAAGGAGTGGAACTGCAGCTGTTTTCCACTATCCACGACCTTCAAAATAGTCTTTCCTTTTTAAGGGGCGGTGTGCGGAAGTGTTTCCCTGCCTGTGGTCCAGAATGAACTTCAGTGTCTCGGACCATATTTGAAAACATTAAGTAGAGGCGATATGCGAGTTAAAATAAGTTTTAATCAGGCATAGGCCTAGTAATACAGTCTTCTCTTAAGCAGTTTTTACTAGCATGAGAACTTAATCTAAAACTTGTAATTCTCTCTAAGTAAGCAAAGTGTTCACAAGATGGAATTTGCGTCTGGGTGATGTAAATTCAATATTGTTTTTTTACCCAGTTTGGTTGCGGTATATACAGTACCAGTATACAGTGTTTATAAAAAGAAACGTCGCTAAAGGACTGTAACGGACAGTCTATGCAGTACTTTTAATGTCATTGCTTTCTAGCACCAGTGCTCCGGCGGAGGGGCTCCGGCGGCGCGCACCTGACCTGGTTTTGGGTCAGGCAAGCGCGCTCCGGAAATAGGCTCTTTAAATAGGTTGCATAAGTGGGTTTCTTTTGTTGGGGGACGCGGGAAAGGTTTGGCAAGATGCCGGGGTCATTGCAAGTTGTTACAATTGTATACATTTGTTCAGACTGTGTGTATTTCTATGCTGGGAATCAGCAGTCGTGGTACTGGTAGCAGTGTGGCAGGTTGACTACCGAGTTGTTGTGCTGAATAAATAACAGTTTCTTCAGAAGTTGGAAATCCTGTGTGTTTGTCCCCTTTTCTTGCGTTTGGCCGGACTCGGAGGACAAGAACCCAATAAGTTCACGTTACAGGACAAAACCCATTATTGAATATGGAAATAGCGTATTACTGTTTACTTGATTATTAGTTGATATTTTCGCAAAAATGCAAAAAGTTAAAAATTTTATTTTTTTGTGCATGTGACGTTCATGCAGAATCTGCAATAGGCTATGGGCCTTATGCATAAGTTGGCCATTTTGGTCGTGTTCCCTGAATGTACTCGTAAATTGTGAACTGTTGAATGGGATGGTGCCAGACTATTTATTCACTATAGCCTCACTTTCATTATTTTTTTTTTTAAATGTGGCTTAAAACAGAGTATATTTACTCACAAATTTTAAATTAGTCATCACAGCAGACTGGTATGAATTTGTAACGTCATTGCTTTTATTGAGATAGGTTAGTTTAATAACGGTCATAATTCTGTCCACATGCAGAGGCCACCATGGATGTACAGCCTGGACATTGCTGGTGTTGTGAGAAACATCTCCCACAGAGGACTGTGTCTTGCAGCCGGTGCCCTGTTGCTGTCTACTGTACCACATCATGCCGGGACAGAGACAAAGTCAGGCACGGTGCTGTCGAGTGTGAGATATTTCAGGCAAAAAAGTGCAGCGCTTGTGGAAAACTAGGCAAAACACTTGAGGTAGGGTGTCCATCACATCATGCACGTACAGTTTCAAAATAGGATTAGAAAGATATGATGGCAAGAGTTTTGAAGAAGAGTTACTTGCACTTTATGGAAATTCAAAAGGACGGGATAAAACAATTACAAGTTGACAAATGCCGAATGCATTTTCTAATTGTACGACTAGGATTCCTAACCCATCCATACTGAGCGCGACTTTATCACGACCAACTTTTTTTTAACAACCGAAACATGAACCAGACACTAAGAAACTCATGTTAGGCCTATTCGCTTATATTATATATTTTTGTTCTATTTTCTTGCTTTAGTGTTCAGGGTGCAACGGTGCATGGTATTGCAATACAGACTGCCAACGGAGTGCCTGGTCTGGTCACAAAACACAGTGTAAGGAAATTATGAGTTCTGTCAAACAACTGTCGCTGAAACTGCGTAATCCGACAAAGTTATATGGGGATTTCCCCTACTATATTGGAAACATTATGGCTATAGACTTCCTTCAACTTGAAAACAACGAATTGTCCACAGATAGAGTGGAAAAGGAACAGCTGACTAGGGAATATCATGTCCTCTCTGCTGGTTGTGGAAATCTGCGTAACACATTGTTGACAGCTGCTTCCTTGCCTGACAAGTACAAGGGAAAACTTAATATAACTCTTGACGATTTTGACCCTTATGTCATGGCAAGGAATGTGCTGTTTCTCTTCATGTTGGTCCGCTTCGCAGACACTGACTACATTGCTTCCAGTTTGACAACCATCTGGTACTCACTCCATATTTCTAAGAGAGAGTACGACTTGATCAAGACAAGCTTGGATGAACTCATTCAGATGAGTGCTCAGCAACTCCACGATGCCACCAAAGGACTTGTGAGGCTCCTGGATGAAAACCTCAATTATCTGAATCTCGTTTGGGGAAAGTGGCGAGCGTTGGAATGTCAGCGAGACAAGAAAACCTCAATAAATCTCAGACAACAAAGAAAGGTTCTGTTTGAAAATAGCAACCAAAATATAAAGGAGGATCGTCCTTTATATCTAAATCGTGTTAATGCAAAAGATAAAAAAGAAATGGAAAAGTGGTTTGAGCATGGGCTGTTTCTTCCCCACGAGACAAAAGTAAGAGACATTGCATTTGACAACCCAACACTAACTGCCCCAAAGGCAAGCGAAAACACGGCAGGAAATGATGTACATTCGTTACTGGTCCCAGGAAACGATGGAGCATCATCACAAGATACCACATTTGTGTACTGCATTCAGGCACAATTGATTCCCTTCTTAGATTGGGACTGTTTGAGAGTAAGAGAGAACACCCCTGGATCCCACTCCTCTCCGATGGTGATGTACCACAAGTACGTGACAAACCTCTTTCAAAAAGTCAAGAGTCTCATCCTTCAAGGAAGGCTCCTGATCCATGTCTCCTTGGCCAACTGTTTTGACTTTCCTAATCACCATCAAGCCTTGAACATGCCCAACTATGACCGAATCTTCACCTCCAACATTGCTGACTATGACGGCATTCCTAGGCTTCTCCACACATTCAAGCCACTGCTCAATACAAATAACGGCTTCTCAGTGATTGTCACTGAGACTATGAACTGGTACCTGAATATTCCAGCAGCTAACACGCGATATCATCAAGACAGCCAGCTCGTTAAACTAGTACACGATTTCTGCCTCGATAGGACTGCTCCACAGGTGAAAGGATTGACAGCACAACAAAATAAGTGCCTCATAGAATATTACAACAACTGCTCCTACTTTCTCCAGTATCTCCGAGCAGAAATCATGGTAGGGGGGCTAGGCATTCCAATACTCAAGGAAGTACCATCATTTGAGAGTGTCAAGAAATATCACGGCCTCCAAATGCGTGACTTCAGGAAGGGACTGAACAAACTTGTTCCATTCCAGTATCGAGTGAATAAGCGAGACCTTAACGTGCTGAATGGATATGACAGAGCTGTGGAGTGGTACCTACCCAATAGTAACAGACAAAATCCCGTCATGTAGATATGCCATGGTTTCCTTGGGGGGGGGGAGAGGCGAGGGGCCTGGTCCCAGTCGGGCCTTCCTCTTTGCACATGACTGACTCACTGATTGACTACTCACGGATTGATTACCACTTTTAGACTTGGTTAAGTCTCTCACTATCACTTGTGAATGAAACTGGGTGTCTGTCTTACTGACTGTCACCAATGAATAGACCCGTCATAATGACGTCACGCTTTGCTTACATGTGCGCTTGCTATCCCACCTGGCTCTCAGAGGAAAGCGCACACGTAAACAAAGAGTGACGTCATCATCTCACTCATTGACAAAGACCCTTGTGAATTAGATTGCTAAAGTCTCTTGCTGTCAGACTGTCACTCTTGTATTAGACTGGTTACCTATCGCAGTGCCAGCCTGTCATTATGGTATTCAACTGGTTACTTATCTCACCAACTGACCGTCGCTTGTGGCGTTAGTTGATGTGGGATCATTTACACCATATTATATGCATTAGTCGTGCGCAGCCTGTGACTACCTAGCTTGTCGGGAAAACAAATTGCATCGACAAATTGCGACGGGATTACGGGCGAAGGGCCCCGATTTCATTTTCCCCCGATTTCATTCTAAGTCTCTTTGTTAATAATGTTTTATTCCTCTAAGACGAAGTTAAGTAAATATGATGTAAAATTATTTGCTTTTTCAAAATTTGTATATATTTTTTCGAACTTCAAACCTGCAAAGTTTCAAGGATAAATTTTCGAAAGCAGAAATTCATTGTCCCGATTCAGGGCCACCTTTATTGCTAGCCAGTTTGAAACACTTCTCAGCGGTGTTTAAACAGCGGTTTAAAACCACCCACGTGACGTGCGCTCGACCAATAGGAACAGTCTGAGGTATTTATGAATACAAATTCATACCATATCAAGGATAAATATCCAAGTGCCATTTATTCATTTCCCTTGAATTCGTACAGTCGTACACAAGCACAGATTATTAAAGTGAAATATGAAAGTGTTTTCAAGAGAGATATGAATAGATTTTCAAAGTGTCACTAAAATAAAACCCTACAAATCTTATGCATACAGTGTATTTTACAGATCAATTTAGCACTATGTTATTTAGCCCAGATTGTGAACGATTCTATTGTAAATATTTTTCATCACATTCAATTTTTGTTCCATTTGTAAAAGGATGCAAAAATAATAATCTAAGATCATGTAAACGGTTGAAATTTGTTGGAAATTTGCGCATGGCACCCGAGGTGAAGCCGAGTGTGCTATTCGCCCCGAGGGTGTTCAAAACGTCATATCCCACATCACAGCGGTCAACAATTGTGTTGTTATACCTCTGTCTTGGATTTTTTGGATTTTGATGTAATAATCACGAAAACAAACTGCAGTAAACACAATCATGACAACCGAATGTCAACTCACATGCATGTCGCGTGCTCGAAACAGCTGATCGTCTGCTAGTTCGCTGCTCCCATGGTGAAAATAGCGTGCCAACAATACGTTTCACACCGTAGGCCTTCGTACCGTACGTGCAAAGTCATGGCACACTCCCTGTGGGAAATCGTACAAGATCCCACAGTGGGTGTGCCATGACTTTTTATAAACCTAACACGTGATCGTTCTAGGCCAATGAAAATACAGTATTCAACACAGATGTATAGCAATTATGTATGTAATATAAGTAGACCATTAAAATAAGTGCACTGTATTACATGTGTAGCTGATCTGTGAAACATTTGCACTTGCAGCTTATATGATCAACCATTCTGTGCAGTACATAAGAGCATTTAGTTTAAGGGGATGTTATAGGGAAGGAGATAAAATCCATGTGCGTGTAAATGATGTGTCTCTTCAAGCTTCTTGTAAATACGAACATCATAGAACTAGAAAATATCAAACTCTATGATGAACATGAAGGAATAAAATAATTTCTTCCTCTATGATATGACTAGAAACGACAGAATAAAGAATGATTCGAACACTAGAAAATGTTGATTGTCTGAAAATTGCTATATGAGATTTATTCTTTCAAAAAAAATGAAATCCCTTAAAATATCTTCTATTCTAGTGTAATAGTGTAATCATTATATTAGCTAACAACACAGAATACAATTGAAAACAGGTTTTCACAAAAGCACGTTATGAGTTGTCAATATTAATCGATTAAATTTTTATAGAATTTTGCAAATTACAACCTTATACACTAACTATGTCTATAATTAAATTCACCTTAATTTTGCAAACTCTCTGATGACATGAGCACGATAGTAATTTTGATTGCTTGACATTAAGTGCACAATTTGCTTTTGGTAAACAATCACATTTTAAAACCAATGATCCTTGAATAAATGTTGCTTGTTGTCTCTGCCCCCAAAAATAGTTTCGCTAAAGGAAACAGTTCCTCAGGCTTCATACGACAGTCTAAGCTGTTAAGTAGTATTTTATCTGCATTTTTTTGGGTTCATCTTCCACTATGATAATAACTCAATACTGTATACAAGAAAGCGACCAAAATTTCGAATATGGGTTTCTACAGAAACGATAAATCCCTTGCTAACATTAATAAATGATAAAAGCAAAATAAAGTCTTTCTAATTTGATTCTGAAACGTATCATTTGAGTTCAAATTATTCAGTAAATTTCACTGTTTTGAAAAATATTTGATTGGACCTTTTCTCCTATGAAAATACACTGTATATATACATGAATCGACACGCACGTCAATGGTAAACAGAGATATCAGTGCCGCTGCAAAAAGAATTTTTTAGAATTTCAAAATTTCAAATAATAATTTTTAATCATTTTAGGTAAAACAAATACCATTCAGTAATTGTTAAAGACGATCCTTTTGTTACCAAATGTAATCGTAATTTTTCTGGGTTTTTTTCAAACAGTGCAATCATCAAAAGAGAGCAAATGGTACATTTTTTAGCTTAGACTTATAGAAAAACCTTAGAGAATTGTTCACGAAACTAGTTCAACATCAAAATTAACCACACTCTAAAGGTGATGCATGAAGGTACATAGATTAAGGCTTTTCTGTAACATGGGCTTTGTTTTCAAGTTTGGCTTACTCATTTTAGTTCGCTTTTATTTTGAAAATTTCGGAAGGTCCTTTTCGGTTTGCAGCAATGTAACATCTGATAAGACAAAGGCAACATTTGTAATTTTTCATTTTGTGTGAAGATTAACAGTCTGTACAATTGATTTGAAGACTAAGCTGGAGCAAAAACCGATGTTTGAGAAAAGGACGCGGATTAACATCTAAACAGTCTCATCATTACAAGGACCAAAATTTACTAATTTGAGTCAAAATTGTCCAGCTTTTTTTTCCAGATTCAACATACCAGGACTTTACCAGAGCGAGTACAGCGTACTAAGTATCATTGTCACCAAGATGGCGACCAGACTAGGAGCTGTCCTCTGCCCACTGCTTGTAGACAATTCGAAGGTGTATTCCACCGGTGCGGTCTTGCTCATCATCCAAGCTTTGCCCGCTTCCGAGAGCATGGAATGATCCCCGATTTTATCGCGTACCATCTTGTTGTAGGTGTTGTAATACTCCAGCTGCATGGCAAGTAATTGAATGAGCAAAGTGGATTTATCTAACATGTATTCAAGTTAACAGTATAGACTTTTTTCATGTTGCGGCCATCTTGATTTTTTTCCCATCAAAATAACGTAACCAAAGCGAGGCTTAAAGGAAAAAAAATACTTTGGTTCCTTTTTACACAAATTATCATTCAGTACTGTTACAGGATACAGGGAACATGACTGAAATGGTGGCAGCATGATAAAGGTCTATTAATGTATGGGCTTTGTGCATAATACGCAATGAAAATGCAACAAATTACTGTTATTTTAATGTTATTTAATTGTGATACAGGACTTGATGGCATAAATCAGTGCATGTACGAGGAGTGTCCTTTCTTGCATAAATCAGTGTGGGTGCATAATGTGCACAATTTATTATCTCACATGAGAAGGCCGCACAACATCATCTATGGGCTCCGTGCTCCAACGAAGAGGACGCCCTTTTACCTAGCAACGACATTTCGCTGGTTGACGCGCACCGGTCCTTGTGTACGTGTGTGAGGCACGTACACCAGGGGATTCAGTTGTACTACGCGCAGTGCTAGTGGTGGCCGCGCGACGCGGCAAATTTGCAGTCAGGCAAGATGGCGTCGGTGGGTCACACCCAACTGTACTTTCTTTGCCTGTGAGGGGGTACTTGTGAACGGAGCGGATAGTTCCCCTTTGCAGGATGTCCCAAAACAGGTAACCCACATAAGGGAAAACATGTTGGGGTAAAAGATTGAGAGCGCATCCACACATAGGGCAAATAGGGTCAAGGGATATGTCTGGTTGTGCTTGCACTGTTTTACCCCAAACTTTCCTGAGAGGGTTTTTAAATATCCTTCTTAAAACAATGGAACTTTATGATAAATTCATAATAATGATCATTAAGTTCATAGTTTGATCATATTATCACTTTGTTTTGGGGTTACCCCCTTTTTTTGGGGGGGGGGGCACCCTGTATATGTGTATAGCCTCTTGACTACTGTATACAATTATTCTTGGAACTGTTGGTATGAGATTCGATCTGTATACATTTTACTAACCTGCTTATTGTTGAACATGCCGAAGTCAATCAAACTGGGCTCATAGGGAACCAGGGAAATCATCTTAAATGTCATGTACTGGTACCCCTCAAATTGATGCTGAAAAACAAAAGTAACTAGAAGATTAGAGCGAATGAACAATTACCTGTTTGGGATGAAGTTGTGAATAAATCAGCTTTTAACTGGCCAGATGACGTTGGGGTGCATTGCACAATAAAATCTATGTTTAGCAGTTAAACACAATCTTGCTATTACTTTGTACACATGTTTAGACGCTAAACATTGTGTTCAATTCCTGAACATCAGTGTTCAATTGCTAAACACTATCCATCCTTACTCTAAACATGTTAAGTACTTGAACATGTTGACATGCTGATAGCGAAAAAGTGTTTAGAGAAAAGGATTTAATTGCTAAAGACAGTTGATGGAATAGGGTAATGAATCTGTACTAGTAAGCAGGAGGTCGTGGGTTCGAGTCCCCACCCCAGCAAGCCTGTGAGTATTTTCTCTTGGAATGCACCGAGTGTACAGAAACAAAAGTGAAGAGCAAAACACATTCGAAAGAGTAGAATGTTACATTATCAAGTCCAAAAAATACCTTTTTGTGTACATTAACAATTGAATGGCTTAATGTATCAAATGGAGAAGGAAAAAAACAATTGAAAGAGTGAGCTCTCACCGCGACATCAGCAGGAACAGTCCTGACCACATTCTCAATGCGGATACCAAAGGAGCCATCCTCATAATAGCCGGGTTCTAACATTTCAGTAAAAATTACAATTAAAATCCATGATTTTCACATCGTATTGATATTTAATATGCAGTGTTATCAAAATACCTTTGTTTTTTAAATGTTGACCACAACAGAGTATTTGATTTCAAGTGGTTGTTTTCTTAAACATTTCTTTTTTCAATAGCACTTGCACGCTGTGACATTCACCAGATACTCCACAATTTTTTTCTTCAAAAAATCGGGAGGTGAATTAAAATAAACATTAAATATAATCACATATTCTTGTGCTGATTTTTTTTTATCAGTTTCATCAATCTATCTGCCAGATTTTGGGCAGCTGTCAGCGCAATTTTCTGGGCAAATTGTTCATTTATTTGGAATGACGAACACTGTAATGGGTTTGATATTTACATCATGTGAAATGCTTATTTTCCCTTTTTTTTTCTAGGGATTGAGTAGCATTCAACGTTTCATTCATCACGCTGTGATCATCATTAGGAGGACCCTAAGATGACTTGGAAGGTTCCAGGTATGTATGGCAAATGTTGGTATGTTTTGGAATGCCTCGTCACACTGTCTTCTTGCTCTACCACTTTCACCATGGAGCTTTTAAAGTTGGTGTATACGTGCTTTTTGTGTGAGGCACATTGAAAAATAGATTTTCAAATTGAATTGATAATGTTCTAGCATTACATTAATTATGGGCTTTCCAATGAGGCATCGCACACAAAAAATCTGCCCATGACAAGACTTAGTAATTAATTAATTAATTTCAACTTTTCAATTAAGAGCGGGACGCACGTATGTACCAACCTTAAGGCATAGCATCATTTGCTATACCCCAAAAGTATAACATATCGAATTATTAAACCCAAAAAAGCCTACTTGGATAAAAAAAAATGTTCTTTTACTAAACACCCCGTGCCCGTGGAATTATTCCGTGGGGATCGCTGTCATTTAGTAGAAATCAAGAAATGTTGTTGAATTTCCACGATCAGTCACTGACCTATTTTTGAAATAAAGAGTGAAAATGACGATTTCGTGTTTCGCGATCAAAAGGTTCTGCATGGTTAAATAACTGTTTTCTCTAAAGTGTGGTATCCACTGAGCTGAAACTTCAAAGTTAATTTTTGAACATTCTGCTTTGGATTTTGAGTAGTGTTATTGGAAACGATCGAAATGCATGAACAGCAAATGATCCTAGGTATTTTTCAAAAGGATAGCTCCACGGTGTCAATATATCCCAACTAACATGTCTATCCCAAGACTCCCGATCGTACGTATTCCTGTCAATGACAGGTGCACTGGTCAATTCCAAGTAACAACTCGCCAGTGTCATGCCTAACGAACTCCTATCTCCAAAGTGGACCAATTCGGATGTAATCATCACAAACCCATCACAGTGTTATTTTATTCTGAATCATAACAAAATTCACATCTTTATATAAAAATGACAACTGTTCATGTTGTGCAAAGCGTTAATGCAACTACATGGATGGAAAAGGAAGTGCAAAATGTGATGGTCTTTTTTATCAGTAAAAAAAAAACGGTACATGATTTATGCTTGAAGGCTTTGAAAGGGAGGAAATTTGATTTGATGACAATATTGATGAACTTTTGACACACACTTTAAAGGGGCTCTCACCACTTTATTTGGCTATGTTTGAATGAGGAAATTGCGAAATATGAATTTCTTTTGATCTACAAATTTCGAAGTAATTAAAAAATTACGTAACTGGCAAAATTGGGCAAGATCCTCCCTTAAGAAGCACTCAAGCCAGAGATATGTTAGGCATGTTTATAGGGAACAAATTATTAAGTGAGCTAATACATTTATATTTTCATTGTGATAGAAATGAAGATGATTAAATATACATACCTCGATTGATGGATTTGTTGCGAATTTGGGAAGGAGGATATTTATTATACTCCAGAGTTAAATGGGTAAAAATACTCCAATGACATCCTTTAAAAAGATCTGGTACCATTAATCATCTCCCGGCATTTTTACCAAAAATTGTCAGTGGACTCTACAAATACAGATGGATCGTTTTTCTCTTAGTTGCCTTTGAGCTAATTTTCTGGTTCTTTACTGATGATTGATGTTTGATTTGATTCTACTTACCTGTAGAAATTGGAGGTTGACAAGTTCTTACGTGTTTCAATTAATGTTTTGCGAAAGCGATAAAGTTGACATGTTAACAATGGTTGCTGTAACAATGAAAATGAACGTGTGTTTAACAACTTTAGACAATTTCATTATTTAATACGGTTGTCTTCTGCCTTCTTACCAATTGATTGTACGAAGTTTGAGCGATAGCTTGACAGGGCTATATAAAAGTAGGTTTTGCACGCAGGAAAAAAGAAGAAAAAGAAGAGAGAAACACGGGAAAATCAGATTAAAGAAGTTGACGAGCTTTGAGTGGTTGATCCTCGATGCCAGATGCAAACTGGTAACACTGATCACATCATTGTTACTCCCTTCGTGATGTGGCATCTGTTGCTGGTCATCATCCTGTAATTTCTATTATAGTAAAAACTCACCTTTTTGAAGTTTATGGAACTCTTGTTTGGTTGAGACATTCGGTGTATGTGATGTATTAGGATGTGTTGATGATGATGGTTTTGTGTTTGTGGGTGATGTGTGATAAGAGGACATATTGGCTCAAGAAAGAACTGAAAAGAAGTCTGAGATCAGCAGACATAGCGCCGTGCTTTTAGTTGTTAGATCAGGGCACACGTGAGATGTTGTTAAGTGCACGAAGACAAGCACGACCACATTGCAGCCATATTGGTCTTATACCTTGAAGCCATTGCACTGAAGTGATTGGACATGAGCACTACACTATAGGTCTCTATCTATATTTTCAGTCGTCCAGGAGAAACATGAGTGACTTTGATTCAAGTACAGGGTAAGGCAGCTAAAAGAATGTTTTTGTAGAATTTCACACAGTAGAATTGTTCACGTCACCTACCGTCTGACAAGAAGACATTAGTGCGCAAACTTCGTTCGCCATTATAGTCTCCGATATTAATTGGATCTAACAAAGGGACGTTGGTAAGTAAAAAACAGAATAGTAAGAGGAGAATGGCTTATATATTTTCAACACAACTGTCACCTGAGTTGTAACTCACGTTTGCAGAGTCGCTAGAAGTTGGGTTGCCTTCTGGATCTCGATTCAATCTATGGAACTTCATGCAGAGCATTTAATGACATGATATGAGATGAACTATATATGGCAATGATTTATATGGAATGTGTCTCGAAAAATATAATGCTGTGTTCATGAAGTGAAGCGTAACATTTCTTCATTTCTGAGGACTCGTAGTAAAGCCTTACAACTTATACTAAATAATTCCAAAATACTATACGGTACGTGCCAACTTTTATCTGGATATAATGACTTTGTAAATGCATTGAATTAAGACAAAAAGTGCTGTAGCTTTTTTATTTACTCTTATTATCAGAGCACAAAGACTGACTGGTTATTTTTTACGAAGATAAAAATCGAAAACTAATACAATGTAGGAGGCCTACAACAAATTGAAATTGGATTTCAGAAACTCATTTTTTTTGTTTTCATATATAGTTATTTTTTTCTCATAGGCCTATGCAAAGAAATGTTACGCACTTGCAACTTACCGAGGGCTATTAATAGCCTGATCACTTAAACAGATATGAAAACTGAAAGTGTTGGTAAGTACTGTGGGTTGTCATGCAGATTAATTTGCATGCTTTGTGGATGAGCGATGTGAAACATACCGTCAGACTGAAACATGTTAAGATCTAACGGTTTTTCTCCTGCGCGGACCCCCACTCTGATACGTGCTGGACCTATACGCATGGACAAACTCGTATGGTTAACATAGCAGTCTTTCAATAAAGGTCATCGTTGGTGCTCTGCATTCGCTTTGACTGAGCAGATGAATTCGAATGCTATGTGGATGAGTGATGCGGAACATACCGTCAGACTGAAACATATTTAGGTCTAATGGTTTCTCTCCTGCGCGGACCCCCACCTTGATTACTGCAGGACCTAAAGGTATACGCATGGACAAACTCATATAGTTAATATGGCAGTTATATATAGGTCATCACTTGTATACTGGGCATTCGCTTTGACCATGTCAGTTGTCGCACGTTGAATTATACAGGTTTTCCCATAAACACCACAACAGTCGAATCGAGCATGTTTTCAGAAAAGTGGGGGAAGTATTCAAATAGTGTCTAATGTATTGCTTAGAAGAATAATTGGTCTTCCAAATGCTTTTTAGTTGGTTTCCATTAGGATGTTTTGTTCAAAAGATACAGCAATCACAATACGGGACTTGCAAAACCACTGCGGCCTCTTTTTTATTTATCAATCGAAGCTGGTAGCACATGCACGTTAGTATTGAACAAAGGAAATAAATCATTTGTGTGTTTCTCTAACTGCGCTTTCTGACTCTCAAGGAAAGTGGCCCAGGACGATTTTCAACACTTGAGTTCGATGAAGCTCAGTATTTGTTCCCGAACGCATCGATTTGAATAAAATAAAGTTTGTATGGTAGATTGGTTGTCTTACTTTAAGAGGTAACTTGAAAATATTCCAAAACTCACTTGCAATATACATTTATTAATTTGTTTTCGACTGTTAGGTGTTTTGTGTGACAACCTGTACATCAACTTCGCTAGGAAACACATGAATATGTACCTAATGGGTAGGAAAGAAGGGTTAGTGTTAATAACAATTTGGTTTTTAAGACCTGTTTTGTTTTCTCGAAATTATTCCTAGTTTTGTAGAAACTTAAAACAATGTTTAGTCTCCAGATAAAAAAAAATTATCACAAGGCAAACCGTACCACAATACCAGTGTTGATCTCAATTAGTCTGTTGTCATGGCCAATTGTTACGGTGTAACATGTAGAATTCCATGGTATGGTCCGGTAGTTACGATGTTTGACTCGTGTACGACGGTACGTGGTTTCGAACCCTGCCAGGATCATGGTGTTGGTGCCCTTGGGCAAGACACTTAACTACAATTGTCTCTCTCCACCCAGGAGTATGAATGGGTATCTGTGTGGGTAGAGGACCGAATGTGCGCTGATATCGGCTGCCGCGTTGTCTCATGCAGATGGCCTGATGAACGGGGAATAATTGTAAAGCGCTTTGGGATTGCTGATACGATAGAAAGTGCTATTATTATAGCATTGTATTGATGGCAATGATCGTTTTGATTGCTTCAGCAGTATGCAGTTTGTTATTTTTGTTGTTACTTCAGTCTTTTGATTGTTTTCAAAACAGATTTTGATTTTCCTACCAATTGAAAGAAACATATCATTTTGTAATGGTTTGTGTCTGGATATGCCTGTATCCTTACTGAGGGAGAACCAGGCCGGACCTGCGGAGAATTTTTTAGGGGAAGAAAGTATCGATTGAAACAAAAGACAGTTCAAAATCATTATCATCATTATTAAGTATCACAATAACTGGGCCCAATTTTATAAGTATAGCAAAATAGAATGTGCTATCTTGCATGGACAGCTAAACATATTTCAACAACGGCTTCGACATTCATTGGCATCTGTCGTTACTTCAACTGTGAAACAAAATATCGTGTCAGCGGGATAACATACTTTATGCTCACGTTTTGCTGTATCTATGAGAAGAAAAATTATTAACAAAGTAGAACATGATGATGTGCTCAGAAGTGTCATAAAATTGGGTATTTGTAATCATAATGGCATAAAAAAAAGACAATACTACAAGCTGATGAAATTTTTGTGTTTCCAAATCCACTACCAATCCCTTTGGGCCGTTTTCTTACACAACGTACCGGTACTTTGTAGTACCCAAATCATTCTGACAATGTGTAATTTTGTTCTCCTTAAAAGAAGTGTCATGGTAGTGACGGCACTCATCCCCCTCTGTTTTATTTTATCACCCACACAGTTCTGAAATCCCCCCAAAAATCAGAGCCCTTAACTGGACGCACACATCACCAAAACAATAGCATAGGTGGGTTTTACATTTTAGGTACCCTATATTTGTCTTTAATCTAGACAAGTCATCATCAGATGTGGATTGTTTTAGAGAATTTCAAACCCTTTCCTTACAGCCAAAACAATTTCAAAAATCGGGAGCCTTGTGAATACAGTTGTCGGTCCTAGGGCATTCTGTTCCTTCAAGCTCCCAAAAAGTTCCTCTTTGTCCACAGAGTTGCAGTGCCAAAGAAGACATATTAATCATGAAGTTTCTGTTCACAAATTTCAGTTCGCAAATGGGGGCTCAGCTACATACCAAAGTAAACATAAATCGGGAAAACCTTTATGATTGTTTGTAATTAAAAAAAAAGAGAGAACAAGCCTGCTGACCTTCATGTACATTCAAGAAGTGACCGATGCCATGTCCAGTTCCATGGTTGTAGTCCAGACCGCCTGACCACAGCTGGTTCCGCGCAATGGAATCAATATCACGCCCTTTCAGAAAGAAAAAATATGTATAAGCAAAAGATAAGTTATATTTTTTGTTAAAAGCTGTGAGAGACGAAAACGCATACAGCTTATCTTCTTGAATGTGGCTCTAAAATGGATACTGCTGTTTTGGAAGTGTGGTATAGTCTGTGACTATCTTTATTTCTCAAACTAGCTGTCTAACTTACTTTCTTTGTGCAAATAATGCAAAGTGGGAGTTTGTATACTGTAGGTCAGAGTTATACCTACCATAAATGCCGGTACGGAAGACAGACATGGCCAGATCAAAGCTGCCCAGGAGAACTCTGGTGTAGGCTTCCTGTCGATAAAGAGGAATAAACTCATCATGCATTGCCTTCCAAATATCTTATGTTCACAATGTATCTTAAAATTGTTATTCGCAGGTATAACAAGTAAATTTGATTGAGGAAAAGCTGGATATTTTCTGGGTTTGTGGTCGATTGCGGTCGTTGTTCTAAAATGAATTGCTGCTGCAACTTTCTAATTTCCGAACTGCGGACATTGGCGTTGGCTATATGCTAATGTAACAAAGACTCTGTTCGCCACGTGCAACACAGCGGTTAAGCTCCAAACATATCTTGCATTCCTTTAATACTTTTTCTGGTCGGGTGCACCTTACGGGTATATAAGGCCGGTGCGCGCAATTGGGCGTTGGTCATTCTTTTATTTTCTTTATCGCACTGTTACGTTGAGGTTCCGTTTGCTGTGCGCTCTCCTCCAGCCACGCCACTGCACTGGTCTTATAGTTTGTAAGTTTCACCCACTATTATATATATCTGCTTCTATTAATTTACTCTTGGTTTATCTTTGTAAATAGTTATTGCGTATATCATCAAACTAAAATCTGGGAGGCGCCCCCGAATTCTGTCTGGCTCACTGTGTGTTTTCTTTGGTTGTTGTTTTAATTAGTAGCCCCGCCACGCCCCAGCCTGCTCGGCCCGTTACACTAACATCCAAGCAAAGTGCACTCTGTTTATTTATATGTTTATATTTTATCATGGTTATTAATGAGCTGTTTTTCAGATTTCATTTTGTTTGCTCACCTTCATGAATGCAGTGGGTGTGCCAAAATGGAACGTTCTGGTAATGTCACAGGTTCCTTGCCTGAAAAATCACCCAAATGACAGAGCTAGAATTAAAATGTTATACTCACATACTGTGTATCATAGTCTTTCAATACCTCTTGTATCACTGTAAGTCAGGCCCCCAATCAATCGATTATTGCTTTTGCATGTAACTTGTCCCCCCCCCCCTTCCTTAGTTTGTCAGCCCCAACTGCTTACAAGTATTGGCCTCCAGAATCCAGAAGGAAGGTTCCATCCTTGGTGATAGGGACGTCAGTTTCTGGTGTCGATCTGAACAAAAGTGACGGATTGAAAATTGTGAGATGGGGAAATATTGTCATGCATTAGAGACTCGATCTTGTTCTCTTCTTAACAGATAAACGTGTACCACAAAAAAAAAATAATATTGTAAATTGTACCACATACGGTTTCCCGTAATCCCTTACAAAAAGAACAGAGAAAAAAACAAGTGAACAACAGCATTAACTTTTGTCCTCCGTCATATGAATTTTTTGGTTGCGATACCCGCTACTATATTAGATTCGAACCCGCCATCTATATCCAGCGAGCTTGTCGGTCGAGTGGTAAAAGTCTGCGCTAGGAAGTAGGAGGTCGTGGGTTCGAATCTCTACCGAGTAATTTTTTTTCACAATCACTCGGGACAACAGTAAAAATATACAATTACAAAAATACATCGGTGAAGGACAAAACCCAATACTGAATTTGTTTTCCTTATTAATTAATCTTATTTCAATATTAACCCTTAAATTTTTTTGAAATATATAGGCCTACACTTTTTTACATACGTGTAGTGAATAATGGCACCGTGGGGACCCATTCCAGCAATGGTTCCAAAGCTGAGGCCTCGGTTGTCGGCAAACTTCCTGTATTGAATTAAGAGAGGAAAAAAACAGAAATTTCATATTAATCACTATCTTCACTCCAATTTTTGTTTCTGCTGCCAAGACGACCACATAGTCATTGTCATTTTATATGATCTATGTAAATTTAATACATAAATATGTTAGACATCAGCTCAATATTTTTCTGTATTTATTTAAGCTTAAGCTTATGCTAATAACTTCGTAAAGTGATTTTTCTTCTTTTACATGTAATAAATGGACACAGCTGTGTACAAGTTACCTTAGCACTTTTTTATGACTTTCAAGAGTAGCACTCTTTGAAATTTGATTATGTTATTATTGGGCAAGAATTTATGTGAAATTCAACCAAAAGTTGTAGTCATAAAAGACCAAATTAAATTTGGTCTTGAATGACCACAAGTTTTGTTTGAATTTAGCAGAAATTATAACCCAAACAATTGGTTACAGAACAACCAAAGTTTGGGTAGTTCCAGTTTTCACCCTTTCTTGGGTAAAATTAACCCAGGCAATTTTTCAGTGTACAACTGGGAACTTACGCTCTCTCTTCTATGCACTTGTCCATGACAATTTGCTCACTGATGACAGTTTTATCTCCTGTCATTGGATCCTTTATAGAAAAAAATCGTGAAATAATGTGAAAGACCTTGTTGTATACAACATAGTTAAAAAAAACCTCGAGTGTTTAATTCAACACTTTACGGGAGTTCGATCAGTTACCACACTTTGAAAGTGTTGAATCCAACATTTTAAATATTGGACCCAACATTTTAAATTTAAATCCAACACATATACTATTAATTTAGCAATTCAACTGTTAATTGAACGTTTTTCAAAGTTAACACTTAGACAGTGTTGAATCAACATTGAAAATGTTAAATTAACAGATTAAGTGTTGGATTTAACACTTTCAAAGTGTGGTCACTGACCGAACTCATGTAAGTGTTGAATTTACCACTTCTGGTTTTTAAGTGGCTACATTTCTATTGATGTCATCATTATTCGTTACAAACAACATTGTCGATATTAAAAAAAAAATTTGACTGCATTTCGTCAAAAATCTAAAATTTAAAAGTTAATTATATTATATTTTTAGGTTCATACCTTTAAGCCATCAATTTTCTCTTGCATCCAGGCCCCGATGTTACACAACGCAACCGAGTCCATGGTCTGTTTAATGAAACAACAGAGAAACTTCACTTTCCTTGTCAAGAATGCAGGTATGTTAATGATTGAAAACTGGCTCTTACTAATTAATCTGAATTCGTGCTATTTTAACCACACGTTGGTTACCAGGTGAACAGCCCGACAGTTGGTTGAAAAGTTGGCTAAAAAAATGAACCAATTTTGCCCAACGTTGGGTAAAATGTACCATACATTGTTCAAACTGGGGAAAAAAATAAACAACTTTCTGTACCCAACCAACTTTTAAAAAACCAATGGTTGAGAGTGCACGTAACGCATGTTTTCTTTAATAACATAATCATCGCAAAGATTAATAACAGAAACGTTCTTGCGGAAATTCTCCTTGCAGATGCCCGACCACAGGATTTTAAAAACCACTGAAATCCCTAAGTATCTTGAGAGGTAACTTTTGTTACGTATATGGGACATAGTGTGCGCGTAATATTGGACGTGTCCCATTGTAAATGCTATACTACAAAGCAAAAAGGGTATGTTTTCATCATTTGCTCAGTTTTTAGTACGCGTGGTCATACATTACGTCTGAGGACTCAGGAACAATGGGTTACCTGAGATAGCAATAACCCCGAGGACCTGAGCCCAAGTCCTCGTAGGGTTTCCGTGTACAAACCTTATGGGACAAAGTTTAATCCAATCGTAAGAAGTGAACAATACGGGTCCTCGAAGTATAGTGATGCCACCCAGTTGTGCAGTTATGTGTATCTGGTTATCATTTACGTACGAGGACTTGAAACACATTTGGTTTAGATTACAATAAAATCGGAGGACCTCCTCGAAAGTTTTTCGTGTAAGGTTTCAGTTGTGTATGCGTTCATCACATGCACAGATGCCTGGTTATCCTCTTGATCTGAGAAGTTGCGAAAAAATAGACCACAGCCAAGGCCCCTATTAGCGAGTAATGCAGTGGTGCCACCTCGCTCAAAATAAACCGGATGCCGTGCATGGCTCTCCTATATGGCAACATTTTTGGAAGGGAAGAAGTCTGGAATTTGTCTTAAAATGTAAAGGACAAACAAAAATTCCCCGCAAATTGTGATATAGCATTTATCTACATCCTTCCCACTCTCTGCATGTCATCTCCTAGCTTTTATGATTCAAATTCTCATGCAGGCCTCTTCAAAGAAAAAAAAAACCTCGTCTGAAATTTCTTTGGCTTACATGTGCCTCCTCCATGCCTTGCGCTTCCATATCACTCTTCACTGCCTTCATGAGGAGAAGGGGTGATGCTGCAACGTAGCGCTTTGCATCCTGTAGACAAACAGACAGATAGACAAACAAACAAACAAACAAACAGACTTTATAAGTTTTAAGTAGTTGAATCTTCGAGGTCACTCGTCTAGACTGTAAGGGGTGTTTTCGTTTGTTTGGTTGGTTTTTTTTTTTTAGAGAAATTGCACAATGCTGGACAGTAGATGTCATTTCTGTTGTTTATCCCGTATTATTTTATTTTTGAGCCTTCTTTTAAATTTTTACAGGTCCATTGTTAACAATGTTGAATACGGAAATTCATTTCAAGGTTGCCGAAATTGTCCATCTCTCTCTTTACGACATTACCCCCAAAAGTACTTTCATACCCATCACCCTTCTCTTAACAAAAGTCTATCACCGAATCTTCTTCCCATGTCAACTTCAAGTCCCCTTTAACCTTGCCTTCCAGTCTCCTTCCCATTCGGAGAAGAAAACAAAATAAACTTTCACTTACCGAGATGGATTCGTAGACAGCATAACTGGCCTGATCGCTGATCCATATCTTATTAGCAAGGCTTTCATTGAAGCCTCGCAAATCGTCAAAGAAAACAGGGTAGTCTTTTACGATCACACAAGCTGTACAGACGGGGAAAAATATTCACTAAATACATAATGATGTGAGGTGGCTTTTCATACTGTGTGTGACTGCTCTGTACTCCCCCAAAAACCAGACACTGTCTAATGCTATGAGAAATTTGGTTGAAATCTGGATTGAACCCTTGCACCAAATATGGTAAGATATATTAGCCGGCGTTCGAATCCAAAAGCTTTCAAGAAATCGCCCAAAGCCAATGACGAAACATAAATTGGAAAATGTGTTTAAAATCCAGTTCCTAAAAAGCATTTTGTGCGTTCCAAAACCATGAGGTGGGAGTCCGTGACACGTTGTATGTTTGTACATGACAAGCGGCTGCTGTACCGTACTGTATCCGCAAAGTGACGTGAACATAAATTTTGCAGCATAATAAGTCATTGCAAATATTTTTCGCAAAATTTTCCTTTCATTTTCTTTGCACGAGTATAGTCGAGTCTTCTGATGAGGGACTCTAGTCGAGTCGAGTCATTTGCTTGCAGTGACTCGAGTCGAGTCGAGTCATCGAAACTTGTGACTCGAGTCGGACTCGGGTCGAGTCATTGACTAGAGTCATTACAACTCTGGCTCTCATATGAAAATTCATACTTCAATATCAACCAAACTTGGTGACACTTTCTTTTACAAATATTTTTACATTTTAAATCTCCCCGACGCATTATTCGATCATTTAAAAAGAACGGCTATATATTTCAAACGGTAACACATTTTCTTACGATTTGAATTCAGGCATGTACTGCCAGCCGCATTGACGTTCAGGTGAGTTTTCACCGCTGCAGGAACTCGGACACTTGATGCACTGTCGTACAAATATAACCTAGATGACAAAGAGAAAATGAAATAGATTTTTAAATAGGCTGTACCGAGGATGGCCAAAATAAAAACGGGAACGGCATACTTCCACTACGTTGAGACTTGTGCCAATGGATGGAAAATCTTTTTAGAAAAAAAATATGATACCAAGATCTCCCGATTCGGTCCAGTAGTTTCTGCTGCAGAGCCTATTTTGTAATTAATGACTCCCGACTTTGTTTCACAAAATAGGTTCTAGAACAAAAACTATACTGGACTGAATCGGGTGATCTTGGCAGAATTCCCCATGCATTGGTATAGGTTGTTATCAGATAGCGGAAGTACGCCGTTCCGGTTTTTCTTTATACTGTTTTTAATGGGCACCATGTAAACGTCTTTCCTGGGCAATATTTTTTCCATTTCTAACACATTATAAAAAAACCCCACTTATTTAGCCTGCATTATTACACAAAATGTTAAATTCTTTTTTGAAATAGACTTAAGTATTGAACCAAAGTGGGCAAATGAATTTGTGTCATTTATGTTGACGATGTCACGTTGATGGCTGAATGACTATGTTTTCATAGTTTCAAGCATAATACCTCTTTAAACCTTTTAAGTGAAATAGACAAATAAATACATAAATAAAGGTTTACAGTTTTTCCTTCTGAGCTTCAAAACCTGACCGCTTTAGGCAATTGTGAATGCCAGAGTCGTACTTATGAACATTTTCGCAATTTGTTTGCGAATTTCAAACAAAAATTGACCTAATTCCGGTAATAAAACTAAGAATTTAACGTTATGCAGAAACAATTTACATATTCAAAGCGTTTGGATAATTTTATGTTATCTTAATTCCTGTACTTACATTGTGTCTGTCTTCGTGACAATAGCGTAGGATACAAACATGGGGTTGTATGGCACATCATCACCCCTCAAATTGAACAACCCTAGAATGGATTGGAATCAAACACACACAAATTTGACAGATGCATCATGAAATACTGAAAAAAGGGGGTGCCTGGTAAGTACAGGGTGATTACAAAAAACGAAACCCAAATGTCGGGACCATTGTTCTGGGGAAGTTCTGCATGTAGCACTTTTAAAATCTAGAATATGAAAGTCCAATTCATAAGCTTTTTTTAGTACAAGAATCATTCAAATCACCCATGCACTTTTCAAGTTAGGGAATTTTAAACACGATCGCCGTTTTAAGGTTCTGTCCACGGATCACAAAAAAGTTGAGTGTTCTTTCAGCAAAACTAAAACAAATCACATACGGATGTGTGTGAATTGTTTTCGTTTTGCTGAAAGAACGCACTGGAGTCGTTCGCAGTTCAATTTAAGTGCGCATGCGCTAGGGACGTCACGAACCAACCACTAGTGAACCACTGGTCATTGCCCGAACTTGGTCTTCCCCTAAAAGAGAAGCAAGTGGGGTAAAAGTAAGCCCTTTCCAGAAAGGTGTCTACGATTTGTGTCAACAAACAGAGCATAATTTCACGGGCTCAAAAAGTGGCTTACTTAGACTAAGCAATACACATTATGATATATTTTTCTGGGGGCTGGTAAACCATTTATGTGCTAAGCAAAGTTTTTCTGTGCTTGATTGACGAATTTAAAATTGGTACTGAAACCGAGGCCCTCAGTGCTTTCTTGTGTTGAAAGGACTTTAAAAAAATGGTCATCAATGTCATACAATGCTTAGCATTCAGAGCGTCGGTTTCAATTCCAGTTTGAAATTCGTCTGTGCAAAACCTTTTCTGATTCAGGCAAAATCTGTCTGTCCTAGCAGAGAGGAGCTGCATTAACTTTTGCCACAGGCCTGAGGTGAGGATTTTTTGAGGATTTCGTTCGGATAGTTTGAAGTCTTACATGCGATCTCATCCAGCTTAGTGATGACGAAGGCATCTATGGTCTCCCCTTTCACCTGCCCCATCTCCCAGCGGGTGCTGTTCTGGCCCGGTGCTCCGTCAATAACCTTCTGCTGCCATGTTTCACCTGTTGAAATCAAGCAGATCAAATCTTCTTTACACTTCAAATCATTTTTTCTTCAATGCAACATGTTATTTAGATATAGGACTACCTTATAATTCTGTGCTTGAATCTGTCGTATTTTTGGCAAACAGTTTTTTCGGGACATTTTTGTCATGAAATTTGTCCACAAAAGTGGCTCTTCGAAGAGATGATTCACAAACTATTTTTATTGATTGATAATTATCATAATAATAAACACACTGAATAATGCCATAATAGGGCGACTTTTCCATAGACTTGTGCACATACCTAAAATGTCACCTAACCCAAGCTTACCTTATCCTGCCTACACGAATTTCGGTATGCTTATGTTCTGGACCACGAGGAATCGATCGAGACGGTTTTTGACATAGTAAAATGTCTTCTCCTCATGGTCGTTTTTTTAAGAAAAGGGCGACACCAATTTGTCACCCCAATAAGCCGTGTCCGAGCAATAATTGACACTAAAGCAAAATCTGTCGCCTGTACACAGTATTAATAATAACACCAATGGTGCCTTGGGGAGACATGTTGTCGTCATGAATTATACCTTCAGGAGACACCGGACATTAAGGACATTTCAATGTCTCCCTTATCTCACAGCTCCTATTGAGAGACACAATTTTAGTTCGTGGTCCAAAGCATAAATACAGTGGAACGCCGCTATACCGAACATTCGGCTATACCGAACATCATCCTTGGCTCCCGGTTTTAATTTTCAAAACGTACCGAACATTGTTGTTGAAAAAAAGTCAACAGATTAACAACCAACACTACCGGCTGTACATGTATTATACACTGTTTAGGCCACTTTTAATTCCCGGACATCTAACCACCCATGGTTACATCGTGTTTGAATTTATAATATAGACCGATCGATGTATATTATTTCCCCAAGGAATAAAAGGGAAAACCTCCCGTTGCTAAAGTTTTGTGACGACTCCTCGTGCGGTGGCGGGATGTGAAAAATGCCAGTTCAGTGACTTCACTATTGGTCAAACTAGGTACCGGCGGTTCAAAATCGCTTTACCGAACGATCGTTATTACGAACACTTTCTGTAAAGGCAGGATAAGGTAAAATTGGGGTTTGGGTTACATGTGCACAAGTCTGTGGGAAGTTTCCTCCAAATGACCCATTTCCCGTATCAATAATAATAATAACTACGGGAATTAAAACGGGGCATTTGGGAGACTCATCATGAGTGTCTTCACAATCCAGGCCAACTCTACCGGTATACTTTGCTGCATCTAGAACGGTGATGACTGTCTTAGGGTTGTATGGGGGCTGGTCGTCCCAGATGTTATCAATCAGATTCACTTGGATCGACTTCATTGTTATCGTCTTGTCTGGCATCTTTGTCTTCAGCGCAGCTTCATAGTCTTCATAATCACCTACAGAGTGAAGATAAAAGAAGATCGTTTACAGAGATTAGGGGACCAAAAAGGGGAGGAAAAGGATGATTAAAACAATCTAAAGAGAGAAGGAATTTAAGTTTAAAAACGGAAGTGTTTGAGGTTGTCGTTTTAAAAAGTAACAGTAATTTTTGTGGCTAAATGAACAACAGGGTAAATCAAGAAAAAGGAAACCCAAATGGCAGGACCAATTATTTAATGAAGTTCTGCATGTAGCACTTTCCAAATCTAGCATTTGAAAGCCCAATTAATAAGCTTTCTTTTAGTATAAGAATCATTTAAATTACTTTTCAAGTTACGGAATTTTGAACACATACACCGTTTTAAAGTTCTGTTGCTGAAAGTATTCTTTCAGCAAAATGAAAACAACTCAAATAGGGATGTACAGGTAGGCACGTTGAGCACTTTGACTTATTAATAAGATTTGTTCATTAGTGATTTTTTCTTTATTTTTGTATGATTTCACCAAGACCAAGAATCCTAAAGTTGAATTCCCGAGTCGCTCCAAACCTCACTATTGCGAAGGTCTGCATTAGGCCTTGAAAGTGCACCAAAAGTTAAACACTTTGAAACACTTACAGAATTCATGAATACCTAAGACAATTTACCCATTCCTATTGATCGAGAGCTCGTCACATTCTTGATTCTTGGTTGGTTCATCTCCTAAATACTCCGCGTGGGAGTTTATACAAGAGGCCAGAAACACCGGGGCGAACCCCTTCTCTTAGCGATAAGTGTCACTGGGTTCTTTTACGTGCATTGGATTACACAACACACGGGACCTACGGCTTTACGTCCCATCCGAAGGAGTAAGCAATAATGGTTAAGTGCCTTGCTCAAGGGCGCGAGTGTCCATCCGGCGGGCTCGAACCTACCTCACTGTTGCCTCTGAAACACCAGAGCATGAGTCCGGTGTTCTTAACCGCTAGGCCATGACCCTCCCACATGGGTGGTTTTAAGCAGCTGACATATCGACTGGCTGGTCCTAAACACTTTTTTCCGGTGCCACATGAAATTTGGACACCTATGAAATCTGGTTCCTTGTACCCTTTTATTGGTTGAACGTTCACAATCTTCACTTCGGCATGCGCAATACTACCACTGAGTCACACTATACCCCGCCTGCGGCTCGAGCCATTATCAGCGTCCAGGCCCAGGCCAGTTTTAAATATACTTGTTTTAAACCGGCCAAGTACATATATTTATTACCTTATTAATACAATCGGTGACTCTACCTGAGACGATCTTAATATTGTTTGGTACGACAGTCTAAATCGGGTGTAAGGCTTTTTCTTTAAATGAAAATTTGGTAGTTATATTTTATGGGAAAATTAGGGACTTGTTTTTGGTCACCAGGGACAGACCGACCGACCAACAGACCGACCAAGCAACCACGAAGTGACATGTAGAAGCTCCTGGGAGCTTAAAAAAAATGAAGACTCAAATTCTGCATGATAATTTTCAATTACTTGGTGTGAATGATTTACTTACTGACTGACATCAGGGCAGGGTCAAATCCAATCATGTCCATGTTATTGAGATTGTCGGCCAACCAGTCTTCAGGACTTGGATCGTCAAAAGTTGCCCCTGTAAAACATGGAAAGCGTTTCTTAAAATGAAATGACTCTTAAAGGCCACCAACTAGTGCTTCCAAACAAACCCCCCCCCCTTTTTAAAGTGGGTCGCAATAAAGGCAGGCACTGCGTACACCACCATCTTTTGCTCAAAATAATTTAGTTAAAGTGGTCAAAAACTGCCTCAGATCGCATCACAGAGCATCTAGAATCCAAAAGAAATTTCGCCGTAATTTTTTGGACCCATATTTGGGGGGACCAAACATTTTTTTGGCCCCCCAAAAAACAAATTGTTCTGGATCAGCCCTTGATTGACTGACCTTTTTATTTCAATAATCAATTTTCGCTGATCCCTTTTTTCAAAAGAAATATCACTGCGCATTGTGGTCTCTGCAAAAACATTAATTATTCGACCCTCTCAGAAAAACAAAACAACTAATCCTCGGAATTGTTTCCTCTATTTGCTTCATATCGCCTTAGCTAAGAATCACAATATTGTTTTATTTAGTTTCTTCAGTATTCGATAGAAATCATGTGTGGGTATGCACGAGACCATATTTTATAGTTTCAAGCTCATTCGATATAAAAGAGCAATTATGTACAGGGTGGTTAATAAAACCGAACATTGAAAGAGTCCGCGTTTTCACAACTTTAAAAGAAATCAATTGCAAATATTTATACATATTTAGAGAGTATAGTTCATTAGCTTTCCAGCAACGAAAATATTTTTCCAATTGGGTGAATACTTACTGAATTATGACCAACTCAACCAAAATGCCGATTTTTCAATCTGTCCACGGTTTCAATTATCATGCATTTGTTAACAATGTAACAAATTTGGGGTGAGGGTGTTGCTTTTATTTAATGTTTTAATCTTTCTTTGTTTATTTTGTTCATTTTGTGCTTTATTTATTTGCAACATTGGTCAATTATCCTTTATGTTGCAATGGTAGTCCTGGGGAAAAACTGTTTGGTTTACTTCTTAGATGTTTACTTTGCTGCTTTGTCTCTGCCCTCTACTTGGTAGCCTTTTTTTCACAACGCAAGTTTCGGTCCGTGTTCTTAATGCGGCAGTCAAAATATCAGTCGCCGTGAACAAAATGGAAAACTGGTACTTGTTTTTAATTGGCAATAACTCAATAAATATTTACCCGATTGGAAAGATGTTTTCGTTGTTGGAAAGCTAATGTTCTATACGTTCTAAATATGTATAAGTATTTGCCATTTAATGTTTTCAAAGTTGTGAAAACGAGGACGATTTGAGGGTTCGGGTTTTTTTTTTAGACACCCAGTGCAGAATTCACTAATATTTGATTAAATATTCAGATTGATAATGGTTTAATTTTTTCACTGATATACAGCCATTTAATTGTCTAGTCCAGTGGTATCAATGACGACCAAATTTAGAGAATGCAAAATATTGCATAAAATACTCTCAATTTTTAGCAAATCGTTCATACAGGATTTACAGAGAAGTTTTTGGACACCAATTTACCAACTCTCATGAGGTCCCACTGGCAATCCATCTCTTTCTTTACTTGCAGGAAGTACCGGCCATCGGTCCATAACTTAGCCTCGGTAGCTGTGACTATGGCGAGCCCTGAAGAAGGAGACATCAAGGTAAGATGCAATGGTACATCGACAATTAGGCCTAAGCGTGGCAACTCCTTGGGATGTTTCCCAAAATCTAGGGAATTTGGGGCATAGCCTTCGGGAAAGGCTTTCCAATTCTTGGGATTTTGGGTGCGGATCGTGTGGGGAGTTTGCGCGTGCGCAAAATGCCTTTTGTGAGCCGTTTTTAGCTGAGGAACAGCAGCTCAAGAAATGATCATGTCTCTGCGTTGGTTATAGTAACAAACTTCACCAAATGCCTTTTTTTTGGCAATCATGTCCCTCGGGCCCTCACAAGAACACGTGTTTCGGGTCTCCACTGACCAGGGCGACCAATATATTGCAGTCGTGCACTGCAAAAACTGCAGTGTTAAGTTCACACCATTGGTATCTGTATAGGACCATCTGGTGTTACATTTTACTGGTGTTGTCCTATATAGATACCGAATGGTGTTAAATCAACACTACAGTTTTTGCATTGTGGAAAATTGGGTCACGAGTTCGCATTGGGGCTATCACTGTATTGCACACAAAACAATGGGTGTTCCACGTACAATGAAACGCTCAATGCACCAACTGAAGTTGGTGCACCGTTTTCAATTGACAGTCATGACCACGTGAGTAGTTGCGCATTATAAGAACAGACTTTCACATCATGTACATGACTTATAGGCTACAGCAGGTCTACAGTTGGGCCACAGCTTCCGACGATGTCCACAGTACACAGGGGGAAAAGGGTAGGCATACTCTTGAATTGCGCAAACAGCGTGTCCGTGAAAATGGGGCCTGTGATTCCGATATACATACATCATGACTGGCTTGTGAAATCTTGGCAATTTTACTGCGGTCATCTTGGGATTTTAAAATTTCGTGAGTGACCACACACACAAAAATCGGTATTAGCTTCATGGGTTTATTTTATTCAGATAATTTACTGGGATCTGCTCCCATTTTGACTAAGACACTTACCCGCTGACCCCATTAAACCAGACAGGAAAGCTCGCCTCTTGTCACGTGACGCTACGTATTCACTCTGTAACAGACACATGGAGTTTGGAGAACGTACGTTAAAATGGTGTAGACTTTCAAAAGTTTCCAATAAGTTATGTACGAAATTGTCGAAGTATTAAAGTGGAGTGTCATTGTCTATAATTACCTCCTTTTTTCTCCCTATTCAACCGATTATGCTTGTCTTTTGTCCTTGAGCAAGACATTTTGTTGCAATTGCCCTATAGTTTGTGTACCAAAGACCATTTTGGCACACGTAATAAACACCTAAATGTCTGTGAAGTCACTTTCGAGGGACAGTTTGACGACGCCATGAATAGGCGTGGCTGACTTTTACGAACTGTTTGCCAGCGTGAACAAATACCGGACAAAAGAAAATGATCTTGTTTCCTTTCGACTAATGAATGCACCCATATTTTGTGGACTTAAAGTAAGTCGGTTACTTACTCCGTGTGCATCTTCCGATGGGACTACGTAAGCAGCGATACCATTGGCCACCATTTCCCGACGAAGGTTTGCGACTTGTACCGTGGTGTTAGTGACAGTGCTAGGATAGTACGGCGGCTAAATAAACAACATGAGAGACAAACATTAAATATAAACCACAATATGAAAAATATAAATTCTAATATATCAAATATACGTTCAATAGGCACAATGGGGACATTCGGTGTGTACCATGTGGTAACGACTACTGCTCAGTAGGTATTTAGTTCTCAAAATAACTTGTCCTGCTTATTATCAACTTTCGCTAAGTAGATTTAGTTCTGATAAGAACAGTCCTGCTTTAAGTTCTAAAAGAAGTTGTCTTTTGGAAGACATTGATAACTTAAAGCAGGACTGTTCTTAAAACTACTTGGCAAAGGTTGATAATAAACAGGATAAGTTCTTTTCAGAACTAAATATCGACTGAGCGACAGTAGTTATTACCACATGGTGTTACCGCCATGGGCGTCGCCAGGATTTTTTCTAGAGGGGGGCAAAATTTTTTTTTGCCAAAAAATGCTTGTATTTTTCAACACATTCTCGATTTATCAGTTTTAGAGGGGGGCAGGGACATTTTGCCCCCCCCCCCCAACTCATTAAATTTACACCACTTTGTCTTCGCGCCTCTTTTTTTTTTTTTTTTTCTTTCTTCCTTTTTTATTTCTTCCTTTTTTATTTTTTATTTTGGCTTTTCCAGGGGGGGGGCAAGTGCCCCCCCTTGCCCCCCCCCTCGCGACGCCCATGGTTACCGCAAACCGAAACGATACTGATATACTCCACCATGCAAAACCTAAAATGTTATATCACAATGGGGACTGAGTGGTTATCCCAACAACCGCTGGTCAAGGGCGGCGGGCAAGCAGATGGCATAGCGATCCTTATAGTTATAATAGACTATATCGCTATTACAGACTATTCATACCTCAGACAGTTTACCCATTCATATCATATTGGTGGAGAGCCAGTCACGTGGCCAATCTTAAACGGTTGATAAAACACCGGCTGGCTGGTCTTATTAGACACTTTTCAGACTCCTTTGAAAGCTAGCCTCTTTTACCCTTTGATTTATTGAACGTTCACAATCCTCATTTAGGCATGCGCAGTACTACCAATAAGTCAGTGTTTCATAGTCCTAAATTCACACTACACCAGCATGCCATGCACTCTGCGCCACACGTCGCGCAGTACGCTCAACGCGCGCACCATATCCATATAAGGAGTTCTTTACGATTACCCGCGAGAAGTACATACCATAACATAGTAAGAGGGGAGTTAGAAAAAAACATGAGGTGAAACTGTTGAACAAAAACGTTGGACATTTATAATTTTAAGCTGGTTTTGACTCTTTGATCGAAAAGGATTCATGAATGGGAATAAATATGTGCTTGGCCGGTAGACCGGCTGGGCCGGGCCTTAATTGTCGCCAATAATATCCGCCGCCTTCGGCTCGGGCTATTATCAGCGTCCAATCCTCCAGCCGGTCTTAAACGGAATTGTTTAAAACCGGCGAGGCACATGAGTATCAAAAAGAGTAGGTTCATGAACACGATAGTTAAACACACAATGAAATGTTACTCAGCAGCAAGGAATGGAGAAAACACAATGGCTGTAAACTTGTGTTACAGTTTGGACTCACATCTAGGTCGCAATTTCGCACATCGCCTTCGGATTGCCGCCTGACACGACTGCCGCGTTGACTCACCACACCTACTCCCTCTGGGCCGCTGGCCATTGGGCTGGCGGTTACACACAGCAACCCTGAACGCAAGATTTCAGAAGAAAAAAATCATTTTATTTTAAAAGATATACTCCAGTTGTATCCTTTGGGATTTTCGATCGGAGTGTTGAAACATAATTATGTGAAAACAAAATATTGGGTGACGGGTCGCACTTCCAAAGGGCTGCTATACTCCCGTTCCTCGGTTCGTATATTTCTTGAACATTTTAGTAAAGTCATTTTCATTTTTCAGTATCAGATATTACAGAAGGAGCATTTGGTAATCTCCAAAGGTTTGTTACTATATCCCTTGTGAAATTATTCCGCCTGGATTGGTATGGTTTGGATGCAAACAAGGCATCAAATGTGGTTTTAGAAATATGAAACGATAACTTTCGAAGCGAAAATGCCAGAAATAACGGAATCGACTTGTGCATAAACGTTCTCTGTTTTCTCAAAATGATTAGTATCCACTGAGCTGAAATTTCTAACAGGTTAGTTATTTTGACACCTTTCTTAATATTTTGAGCAATTTGTTGCTTCAAACCAAAAGAAATTGTACAAAGTACATAATGATCTTAGAATATACCTTTAAAGGGATCCTGATATAATTTTTTGTTAGGAACATAATTTTGTATAATTTCTACTCCCCTTAAATGCATGAAAACTATTTCACATGCCTTGCAGCCTTTTTGATTAATTTTATTAAAAAGTGCACTTCTTTAAACATTTAAATATTTTCCATGCTTTTCCTGACAACTGAGGGCGCTGTTGCTGTGATGTCATCATGAGAAGATACTGTTCAGTTTAGGGCCCGATTTCTGTTCAAATTCTGAATCCAAAAATGTGCTCATTGAAAACATTTTTGAGAACAGTTTTGCTGATCTGACTATAGCTTACTGTCATGTACTGCAAGAACAACGCATCACCAAAGAAAGAAAATTAACGACAGCAAAATATCCAAAATTCTGGCAACGTGTGGTGCTGAAATAGCTCTAACATTGAGGTTTCTACCTAAAATCACATCACACTGTTGCTTTCGAATATAGAAATTCGCATCCGTATAAAACCAGTTAAATTGCACCAAAGTACCCTTGAAAATGGTGAAACGAAAACTGAAAACTGGGTTAAATGGGACACAAATGTGCACTTTGGGGATCGCATGACATTTTTTACATTATATGGGCCCTTTAATCGGGTTAGAAACTGTTTACATGAAACATTGCCGCGTAGGCCTACACGCTATGGCAATGTATATGGCTATACGGCATGCAGGATACGCCCCCTTACAAACTTGGCCCCATTCACGAACACACCCCAATGGATTATACTCACCAGCTGTCACGCAAATCCACAAAACTAGAAGTTTTTCCTTCATCTTGATTCGCTCCAAAGTATTCTTGTCCACGAATTGATCACACTGGGGTGAATTTCTCTAGAATAACAAATGACAGCTCATCAACCGCACAGCATGGGCGATGTGTGGCAACCGCTGCAGCTGGGACGCGTTCGTACCGTGTTGTACAATGGTATCAATCTTGATAAGGCCTTGTAATCCTTGCTCTATCCACAAGCGGGACATTTGCTATTTGGGGACCGTCGTTGACTGAGGGTCAAACCTTGGGTCATCTCACGTCGGTATATTTTTGGAATCTGATATTGGATTTGTAGTCGGTGTTTGCAGTGATCGAATTTCAGTACTGTTCGATCTTGGTGATAATTCTTACACAACCAACGAATTAAATACTATAGGCCCTATACTACGTTTTTTTCATTATGATGTATAATTCATGTAATAACAAGAATGTCCTTCGCTGTAAACATATCAAAGACTCTCCCGCACAGCATAAGTATTCGTAACACAAATTTTGATTTTTCTCTAATAACTCAGGTTTTCGTTGTGGACCGTTGTATATTGACTTCGTATCTCAGTTGATATCAAGTCTAGCTTTCGAACGGAACATCATCGAGATAAATATTTCCTATAATATATTGCAGGAAAATTCCCGCTCATCTATGTACGGAGTTGTTCGGACTCCATTATAATGCTCTGCGCGCACTAAAACTTGCACAAAATGCACAACACTTGGAGATGGTGTTAATTTGGAACCAAAGGGGCGTGACAGACATGCAGATGTTATGATCATTAAATCAGGTACCACCTTCGCAGTCTCATTACGTGCCACAAGTTTACTCCAACCTCATTCGTTGGTTATCATAACGTACAACGGTATTTAGTTTGGGTTATTGAACAGTTTAGGGACCTATACTCGTACCGTGAAAGCCTTAATTGTCTCATAATTATACACGCAATCGTAAGAGTCTATAATTTTCTTCATAAATTGGCAGGGTAAGCCATCATGACATATGCGTGCATGAACTGTTATACTATAACTTAATTACAAGAACCCTATTTATTTGACCCGACATACGGAGGAAGGAATTGCCACATGCTTCATAACTCGATTCGTGGATTTTTTGTATAAAGGTCAGTCCCGGGGCAAATATAGTTGCGGAGACCCGACCCTGAACGACAGGTATCCAGCTGGTTTCTGATTCAGGAATCCTTCAAGTTGGTGACAAGACGCAATCCAGTAACAAAATGTGGCCGTACGTGACTTCAGAATATTGTAGCTGATTCATAAAGCCCTCGCTGTTCAAGTTGCAGTAGTAGCCAGGTGGCATATGGTCGGAATCGTGACCGACTGGTCAAAAGCACCAAACTTGGCAGATAGATTCTTATAGACCTAGAGAAGATATTTAGAAGGGGTGACACCTTAAATTCTTTTGGGAAGGGTGCCTAATTTGCAAAATCGTTAATCCCTGCCGTGTAATATATTTTTTCCAATATTTGGGTATATTTTTATTTTTTTATTTTTTTGAAAAGTGTATTTGGGTGATTCTACTTGCATATTCTTACTTAAATAACATTTTGTAAAGCATGTAAGTGATTGAATAATTATGAAGACATAGTAAATCACCAAAATGGCTACTATTTTACCCTAAAGTTACGCGCATTTACCTTTTCCTCAGATATCATCAACTAGTCTCGCCAAACGTGGGTATTGATGAGCTTCAAATTAACAAAGGTACTTACTGACATACTTAACCTAACAAAAGTAAGTGGGAAATAATGTGAAAATTGATATCATCTTGATGTTTGGCCCAAAAGACCAAAAAAGGGGAGAAAATGTGGTGTCCGTAAATTGGGCTACTACGGGAAGGGTAATGTGGGGACTTAAACAAGTTCAACAAAATCCCCCCAAATAAGAGATTATTGTTGTTTACAATAATTTTGCCTACGCCAAAACGTTTTCTGAACAATAATTTTGGGAATTTCCTTGAACTTGTTCCAGTCTTCCATGTTAGGCAACCCTTCACCTTACTTGTTAGCCCAATTTATGGACACCTCGTTTTTCCCCAGTTTTTGTTTTCTGGGCTAAATATCACAATGTTCTCATTGTTCACATGATTTTGCATAAGGTTTCAATAGGGTCACTGTACCAGTAAGCTACTTGGTGAATTTGAAGTTCATCAATGCTGATGTATGGCAAGACTAATTGATGATATCTAGGGACAACGTAAATGCGCACAATTTAGGGCATAATAGTAGCCATTTTGGATCGTTACTATGTCCTCATAATTATTCAGTCACTTATATGCTTTGGAAAATGTTATTTAAGTAAAGATATGTAAGTAGAATCACCCAAATACACTTTTCAAAAAAATAAAAAAATAAAAATATACCCAAATATGGGAATAAATATATCACACGGCAGGGATTAAGGATTTATGCAAATTAGGCACCCTTCCCAAAAGAATTTCGGGTGTCACCCCTTCTAAATATCTTCTCTAGGTCTATAAGAATCTATCTGCCAAGTTTGGTGCTTTGGACCAGTCGGTCACGATCTTGACGAAAATTAGATCTAAGCCACCTGACTATAGTGAGCTGTGAGCATTGGCACACGAACAGTTTACAGGTATGGAGAATATATTAGCTTTTGCCCTTCGCCGACGTATGACTCCTGTATACTCAGTGTGTTATACCTCCCGAGAGAAAGTGAGAAAAAATCACTAGGGTGGGACTCGAACCCACGACCTCGATCCTTCATGCCTTTCTAGTGCAGACGTCTTACCACTCGCGACCACTGAGCTTGCGGGATCGGTCACGGCTGGTTCGATAAAATCGATGATACTATAGGCCAATATGACTAATTAGGTCAAACACTCACTACCAAATGAGGACATAGGCCTAATTCAGACAAAATAATTAACGCAGAAAACAAAACACTTTTTAATTTCTTCAGTTTTTTTATTCAATATGGTATGTTTGTTAGCCGTCTACTTACAATGGAAGCAATTAAAAGTATGAAAATCAACCCAAAACATTACATTATCAAGTTGCCCTGAAAATGGTCCCCGTGAATTCCCTCTTCTCTTATACCTAATAAAGTTCATTTGCGATTAAGCTCAATAAAGAGTTTTTCGTTGAACAATTTTTCTGAAATTCTACGATATAAAATGTCGACTTCTTGTACTCTAATTGTCTGTCGACATTGTCGGATAATTCACCTTAAGGATGGCAACAATACCTAGCAGTTGATATCGACATCTTTCGAAGTCGAAATCCTGGACACGTCCTGGCATTTTGATGTCGACATCTTTCGATATCACGGGACGACATGTTTAAAGTAGCATCATAACCAGAGTGTGAGAAAAATAAAGCAACATTTCGAAAACAAATAATTAAAACTGTTCAATATTTTTTTTCTTCAATCAAATTATTTATAACATTCAACCCTGACTATTTATCAATCCACTCCTTTTTACCCCATTCCATTTGGGTCCCTAGATCCAGAAATGCAATCAATTAAGTGAAAGGGTGTACATTTTACTTGGGCCACTCTCACCTGGACATGCTGAATCTGGGGTAAGCATTGAATAGGCAGAGAAGTTGGTGACATCACATAGAGTGGACAACACCCTTTCACTTAATTGATAGTATTTCTGGATCTAGTGATCCAAACGGATTAGTGGGGGAAAAAAAGTGGATTAAGAAATAGTCAGGCTTTAATGTAATATATAATTTATATAATAAAAAAAATATTAAACAGTTTCAATTATTTGTTTTCTAAATGTTGCACTTTTTTGCGCACTCTGTGTAATTGCTCTCTAAATTGCAAAAAGTGAAATTAGGGACTAAACGTTTTAGAGTGAAAATCACTCTCATTTAATTTCGATTGAAACAGTCTGAAAAAAAGAACCACTTCAGTCGAAGTTCGAGTGTGAATCTTAACGATTGAACAAATTTCACTCTAAAACGTCTTGTCCCTAGTTTCCGACTGTGGGAGTGAATCTTCACTCGAATGGAGTGAATTTTCACTCTTTGGAATTTAGAGAGTATGCCGACATACCTAGATAAAAAAAACTGAGTATCGAGACTTGAATGACACCCCTTGTATTATTATAAGCTCACCAGTTTAATACGCAGATAGTGACCGCTACCTAAATACCAATAGTGGAATTATCATACAAAAAATACCACGCAGTACAAACATCCAGGAAGGAAGGACTATAGTACAGGGTCCCTAAGTAGATTGATGTACCATATCAGCTTATGTCAACTGTTGGGTGGGGATATCTCCCAGTGAACTTTGTTCTTTAGTTGTTATTGGGTACAATTAAACAGGTGCTCCAAGTTGTAAACCAATAAATACGGGCGTGAGCCAACTTGGAGCTTATCAGGGCAAATCATAATGGTCAATAGACTTCAAAACAGAATGGGTGTTTGAACTTTGAACTTGTATACAAGAGACTGTAAACTAAGCCGTCAAAGGGGTTTAATATATTATGCATGTATTTGGAAAAAATGATTTTCTACTGTGTGAATTCAACCATCTGCAGATCGTGTATTGTTTATCATCAAAAGTTTATGCACGTTATAGAAAGAAAGTGCGTACATATCAATATGAGTTACGGATAAGGATTATATGTTTTAAGCCGTTTTTTAAACATTCATGAGAGACTTGAATTATGTATGCTTTCTTCCGTCCTTCGTAGTGGCTTTGGCACACGCATAGTGAGCAACACATGATCACGGTATCTTTTCGTCATCCATGACAAATATAACAGGCAAACAGGCGCCGCGCACTTGAGGATTCCAAACAGCCAGGTGTTGTCAACATTATACGATGCTTGTCATAAAGACACCTCTTGACAATTAGGTCGGGAAACATTTTGCTCGCCGTCAGAAGTACCCTGAATTTGTCGCTGTTGATTCGATCTGTACTGACTGTCCCAGGTTAAATTTTATCGGGATATGTGACGGTACGAAGAAATAGTGTCGTTACACAAGCAATGCACTTTATGCATTCGTAACCGTTATCAGAGTTAAACGTGTCGGTATGCTGAGTTCAAGTGCACAGCGAATTCTGGATTTCATCGCCGCTATTTCAATATCTAACCCCGTGGGCCGGGGCGCCTTTTGCAAAGCAACATACAGTACATAATGTACTGGACCTTAAAAAGGGGCCCATGCAATTTTTTTTTAAAGCAATCCTTGAAAATACACATTTGTGTCCCATTTATCCCTATTTTCAATTTTTGTTTTGCCATTTCAAGGGGTATTTTTGTGCCTTTGGATTTCTTATGTTCATGTTAATTTCCATATTCATGAGCAAATGTGTGATGTCATTTTTTTGCATGTTACAGCTATTTCAGCACCAAAAGTTGCCAGAAGTTTGGATATTTCGCTGTCGTAAATTTCCTTTTCTTTTGTGATTCGTTGTTGTGTCAGTACATGACAGTAAGCCAATGAGAAATCTTTTCTCACATTTCAATGAAAACATTTTTGGATTCACAATTTTAACAAAAAAAACCTAAACTGTGCAGTGTCTTCCTGAAATGACATCACATCAACAGCGCCCTCAGTTGTCCAGAAAAGCATGGGAAAAGTCAAAAATTTAAAGAAGTGCGCAGTTTTCAATACAACTAACCAAAAAGGGATGTCAAATGATTTTCAGAGTTTAAGAGGAGTAGAAAGTTGCACAAAATTTGTTCCTAAGAAAAATTGACTTCATGGGCCATTTAAAGGTTATTCATAAACTCCTGTACACATGTGCATTTCCAAACAAGCCTGGCGGACCTGAAGACCATTCGTGGTAATAACGTTCATTGGTCGACCAGTTTATTCCACTTTGGTTGCAGGTTCCCCGGGGGCGCCCTTTGGTCTGAAGTATAGCTCCTTCGTCAGCGTGGACACGAAGCACGGCATCTGCTTCTTCCTCGTCATGAACGTGTTCACAGAGAGGGACTCGTACTGTAGCGCCACCATGCGGTTGACCAGCGTGAGGATTCTGGTCACTTCCCAGCTGGCGCCGTAGGCTTCAAATGCGCGTACCAAAGACTGGATGAACCAGGCTCCGCTGGTTGCGTTCCGCCAAGACGCATAACCTGCATGCAACACGCCGGGAACCAGGAACAAATAAAAAATGTAAGGATATAGGCCTAAACGTATTAAAGCTATTAAAGTTATTTTATACCAATATAGTCGAACAATTCGGAAGCGATCAAGTCAGACCCAAAATCTACCAAACTGCACCAAAGCCCGGGTCAAGAATCGTATTATCCAACATTGGAAGATGTCCCTTTATAACTTTACCTTCTGGAGAAGAATATGCCATCAGAAAGTCTGCCTCAACAGGAATGGTCCTTGCCGCTTGATAGCCAATCTGTGCGTCCGGTTCATCGATGTCATGACGGTCTATAGCCACGCCCTGGTCCACCATTCCTCCTCGGCACGCCTGGATATAAGGCAAAAGAAAGTTAGGCCATTTCATAATATTGCTACATTGTAATTGTCTCCTTATGAAAGTAGACATGTAGTATACAAAATCATTTCGTTCAGCTACATTGTTCTTTGTATCCTTGAAAGGGTGTTCATAGAAAAGAAGGCATCAGGCATGTCACGTGCTCATTGGACAACTTCACAAGAGCTACTGAACAGAATTAAGACTCAACAGAGGATGCTACTAAAGATTGCATTCAGGATTGCGAGGAGAAAATCTATTAATGGCAAGAACCTTTTTAACCCTACAATATCTCACCAAACTCTAACTTTCTCATTCTTCTCCCCATGATCTACCCACCTGGAAAATGAACAGCTTTGGTTTGCCGATAAGACTCCGGCAGTTATCTCCACGGAAGGGTGTTGTGATTTCCCTGGTTGACATGGGTCCATCTGTGCCGTATATCTCACCCTCGCTACCGTGTGACATGATGGCGATCAAGAGGCAATCTGTATCACTGTGATCTTCCTTGCTGACTAAAAGGGGAGAGAAATAAAGTTGCACTTGCATATAGAAGACGTTAACTTCACGATCTTCTACTTGGAGTTTGAAGCCAGGTGCTAGCTAGTGTCCCTGAGCATGATACTTTGCAACAAGTGGCATAACCACGTAGGCAAACTGTGGTCATTTACTGGTTATTCGAGTCACAAAACATCGAGTCCGAGTCCGAGTCACCTCTCCCAAGTCCGCAATCAGGTCGAGTCCGAGTCTTCAAAATAATTTGTAATTATACTGTTGAAAAATATAAGTGATTTGTGGTAATTTTGGTCGAGTCCCCGGTCACGCATGTCGAGTCCAAGTCCGAAGGGTCGAGTCCGAGTCTGAGTCATTTGTCATCGTGACTCGAGTCCGTGTCCGAGTCATGGAAAATGGACTCGAGTCTGAGTCAAGTCACGAGTCATACAATTCTGTCTATAATACCCCTGCTAGTTTGGACCTTTATAAAACATCTAAGCTCCTGAGATGGGCAGTGTACAGTTCGATGTTGTCATTTAAAACACAGTAAGCGAGCTTGCCCAGGGACACCTTTTGTCTTTAAATTCAATGCACTTTGCATTATGTGAAGTGAAGGTAATAACAAAAGATTCTGCATATTCCGTACCCTGCACAGATCATCAAGTTGAATTTTTAAGACTGCATACTCTTATCAGTGATAACTACTCATTTTGAAATGCGGAATTTAAATCGCTTCATAACAAGTTAGCTGCTGCTTATGTTAGACTCACGCAAGTGCATTAGCCTCTTTATCTGGCCACACGTGGAATCCTGGAAGAGTTTCACCCGGAACCCCAGATCTTCCAGTGCCCTCCCCAGCCCGTCCACGTCCGTGCCCGTGCTCAGCCGCGTCGGCATGTCGGCGTCCTCCTCGAACGTCGCAATATTGATCAGCACCGCCGTCCCGCGTCGATAGTGGGACATGTCGTACCTATAATCGGCCAGTAAGGAGGTGGATAAGGCCGGTCTGCTCGGGTCTTCTTGGTTGTCGTCTTCGTCTCTGCTGCTGGTGAGATGCTCCGGAGACGGCATCTTTTGTTTCGAGGCGGAGCCTTTCCGCCTGATGCTCAGTTTTCTAAAAACAAATGTCATAAATACGAACGGTTGTGAAATTTGTTCAAAAGAAAACATTCAGATGAGGAAAAAAGGAATAAATAACTGTTGAAATTGTCACATATCGCGGTGGCTTCTACTACTTATGAACTGTTAGCCAGACACAGAGTATATTTTGCAATATGGTCTTCCCCTTGTTATCGTATTCCAAAGTTCACACAATATCTAAACCCAAAGTACACGCTATAAAAAACGACAGTTAATCCACGCCAAAAACACACACACATCCAAAATTATCATTTTCACCGTGCAGCAACATACCTAGCAAACGTCTTGGCGTATCCCTCAAATGTATCCTCTGACGTCATCGTGTCGTCATCGGTGTTTCTACCACCACTGCTATGATTACCGCTACCACACAAATGCCCAGGAGCTGTCCAAGAAACGAATCGAACCAATATTTACCAACTTAAAGAACACGGTAATGGCAAACGGTTTGGTTGGTTTTCAGACCCCGTTCATATTCATAATAATTTATAATTTATTTATGTATTTATTCTGTTACATTATGCACGTCTCTCTGAAAACGATATATCTGATGTTTTAAACATAAACAGTCTTATTTCAAAGGAGTGGAATTTCACTTTCTCTCTCGTTATATATATATATATATCACCTATAATTTAATAAAATTAATACTCCATTCAAGCGAACATTTACATAGGACTATAAAAACATTCGTAGCACAATTGATAGAATTCCGAACGATACATAACATAGCATTCAACACATAACACAGCAACAAGAAAGATATATTTGGAGTGAAAATTTATACTCTGTTAAAGAGTGAATGAATTCGGAAAGACAAATTATGAGTGGATTCAGTGGAAACTCAATTGATTCAAGTGCAAGGGCGGATCCAGGGCGCGGTACCAACGGGGGCCAAGAACCCCATTTTTTTTTTTAAAGTGACGTCGCAATAAAGGTAGGCACTGTGGATACCGCCATCTTCTCCTCAAAAAAAATGGTTAAAGTGGTCAGAAATTGCCTCAGATCGCACCACAGAGCATCTAGAATCCAAAACAAACCGGGGCCCTTAAGCGGGCCCCGAACTCCACGCCGTAATTTTGTTTACCCACTTTTTGGGGGACCAACATTTTGTTCCCCCCCCCCCAAAAAAAAATTTGTTCTGGATCCGCTCTTGTTCGAGTGAGACCTTTATATAATCGGCTGACTCGATAACATTTTACCCTCAACGTCTGGTCTTGTTTCTTTCGAATGGAATGGAAAGCAAACATTCACATCATCAGTCGTCGACAGTGAACGGTCTCAAAATGATCGAGATTTAGGTCTATAGTGCATTTTATGCTGTCGGTCATTGCTAAACTGTGGGTCATTTTCAATTTTGTCCAACTACCAGCAGAGGCTATATGTGCCCTGTTCGAACATAACATATAGGAACCTACCTATCATGTCTGATCCGACATCCTCCGTCTCATCTGCTCCGCGATCAGCCATGTCAGTTTGAGTATCTATGCTCTTTGAAACAAGACTCCTCATTGATGTCTTGCCACAGTTAAGGCAGCGAAATAAATTCCCGCACAGTTTTATGGTTTCAGTTGTATAGTAACCCTGACTCTCATCACCTTATCCACTTTCCTACCGAAGCGCGAGTTTATTGGTATGCTGGAATTGTTGCTGGTATACGTACCTGTAGAATATTTATAAATCCGTGTTTTTATTAACATAGGTAAGTACACTCGATTGTTCCTTCTTTATGGTGTTATTCATGTATGGGTTATAAATTGTGCAAATTTTGCACGCATGAACATTGTTTAACATAGACTGCATGCCCAATATGCCACGTCTTATATTAGGGATGTAGATTTAAAACGCGTGTGAGTATGCGGTAGAATATCCAACATTTGGTACGTGCTGAACCATAATGCATTCATATTGAGATGACTGATGTACGCAAATTTTCCCATTGTATTCAATAAATTAAGCCCCACGAAGCAGAATTTGTTGTCCAAAACTTCAGAGTTTTCGTGTCGTCTTCATTTCAACCCTAATTACACTTATTAATTGCAAAATGTAATACTCTTTCGTTATCCCATAGGAGCTTACAGAAGAGAACTAAGGATATCTATAATGCATTGAAGTATAAAAAAAAGTCATGTTCAAGCTATATTCTAAATGTCGTCACCAAATAATACTGGTTACTATCATTACGCAGTTTTTACAATTATACACGCATATGGCAATTGACAAACCAATTCTCTTTGCATTTTGACCAATTATCATTTCTCTATAACCATTGCAGGTAATCCCTTATAATACAGTCTGTCAAATTGTCAAAGCTATTTATTGTCCAGGCTCGGTAAAAACGAACTTGATCTCGGTTGTAATCATTTAAGCATGAAATGAATTGTTTATGCAAGCTGTTATGAAATTCTAGACGTTCGTTCTCTTTTAAACTGTGATGTTAAAGGGGTCCATGCGACGATTTTTTTTCTTGGGAACACATTTTGTGCAACTTTCCACTCCTATGAAAACCGGCAGAGTGGGTTGGTTATTCATTCAGACCGAGGACTTGGGACGATGGGGTGTGTGCACCACAGGGTGAGTAAAAAAAACCCGAAGCCCAAATGTCGGGACCATTGTTTTCGTGAAGTTCTGCATGTAGCACTTTCTAAATCTATCATATAAAAGCCCAATTCATAACATAAGCTTTCTTTATAGTTTTAGTACAAGAAATCACTCATGTACTTTTCAAGTTACGGAGTTGTAAACACAACCGCCGTTTTAAGGTTCTGTCCACGGATCACAAAAAGTTCAGTGTTCACATTAAAGGATGTGTGTGATTTGTTTTCGTTTTGCTAAAAGGACGCATACTTTTTTGTGATCCGTGGACAGAAAACGGTGGTTGTGTTGAAAACTCAGTAACAGTGAGTGATTTGAATGATGATTCTTGTACTAAAAGAACAATCAGCCGATTTTGTGCCCATTTTCCGGACGCCCCCGTTATTTGCATTTCGGATTAAATTTCATGACACCGAAATGTTCACATGGGTTAAATGGCAAGCATTACTAGGTAAAAGTACCAGTAGTTCATTGAATGAATTTGACGTTTGTCACCAAAAAAGTTTGGCAACACTGCATGAGGAAAGTCGGGGGTAAACGTCGAAGTGCATCACGTTTGGCAGCACCACTATAAAACAAAACCAACCCATTGACTTTTCATGTAAATCCTATATCAACGGCACCTACCTATACTTGTACCTGCACACCCCTGACCATGCAAGCGCTGCCTCGGCCATACTCCCACCGCTAATACCGCCTGTCCATCCTTCACGTGTGCGGTGGATGGCATTAGGCTACATGCAGTTAATTCATACGCATGGTTTAAATAACTTTTGTGATGATTGTTTTGAAATGGGGATCTTAGCTTCTACGTGCAGATTGCGTGATGATGCTCACCCTTCCCGATAATCCTAAGCCTTATTATATGGCCTTTAGTGGTGATGATTTTTTAAACATTGCCTTATCAGCTCCCAGACCTATATGTTCTAAAAACTCAATGGTTCTGAGTCCGGAATGGTAAATAGGCGATGAAAACTGACGTCACTCCCGGCACCCTGATTACATGGAGCAGTTGGTTTTCTTTTTATCCCGGACCTGGCTTTCAAGCCAGACAGGGGGGGGGGGGGTATATTCACCTTATTCCTACTGTGTGTCAGTGTGCCATTTGGGTTAGGTTCACTTTAAGTTCAGTCATCAACCTCAACCAAAAGGTGGTCTGTGGAGAGCAGACCGACGTCAAAAAAAATCTTTCCAATATGGATATTTACGAGTTCTCTGGAGAGCTCAGCTGAGCTCAGCACATATGACTCTATAACACGTGGGCCTTTCCACACTAAAGGGGTACAAAAGTGTGACATGGGATTGGGAAATGAAGCAGGATAACAATATCAAGTTGTTTGTCCTATTTTTCACTTACACAGTCCCACCCATTGCTGAGGATTGTGCTTTTGATGAATTGAAGTATTTCCTGGCAAATTTGATTTTATGCTCAAAGTGCTAACATGGACAGAAAGTTTGCCACGGGAATCGTGCAAGTTTTACCTGCAGTAGTTTTTTAATAATTTTGGCTTTATGGTTAAAAAAAAATGCCGACCTGAGGAAAAAAAACATGGCATATGTCATGTGCACCCGCTGCGCGCATCCTCTACCCCCTCCCCCATGAGCCACTTCAGATCCGCCCACATAGTGGCACATTTTGGGCTAATTCTTGTTTACGCAAACTTGGACATTATGAACTGTAGAAATATTTACTAAAATACGGAATCAAAAATATTAAGTATATATCATGCTTTAAATTTACAAATTGTTTGAAAATTGGAATTAATTGGAATTAAGCAATATACATTAGTGGACGAGCCCATGATTTCATCAGTCAGGCAAGCAAGATGGCGGCCGAACCCATGCTGAATCAACATCTGGCGAAACAAGATTTAGAAAATCTCGTAAGTTACATACTTCCCATTGAAAAAAATGAAAGCATGCCTCTTTTGATACAGTTTAAACATGGTGTGTTAATTTCATATCAATATTTTGTTTAAAATCGTAATTTGGTCGTTTTAAGGTCAACTCGTACGCGGCTGAGGTGAGGTGCGGGCTAGCCCCATAAATGTGGCCTATTTACTGGACTGCCTCCGTAAACATAGGCCACACGTCCACATGTACAAAAATCGTGTCGACTTTGCCAAATTTTGATTTTCACATTTAGTCTTAGTTTGTAGGATTTTTTGGCTTTAGAAGCATACTCACCCACTTTACAGGCTAGTCAGAAAGTGCTGCCTTTTTCAGATGTCTAATTTTTGTGAAATTTCATGTTGAAATTTTGATACGCAAACGTGTAAAAACAAATCTGGAAATTTTACGAAAAATATACATCTGAAAAAGGCAGCACTTTCTGATTAGCCTATAAAGAGGGTGAGTATGCTTCTTAAGCAAAAAACCGTACAAACTAAGCCTTAATTAATGTGAAAATCAAAATTTGGCAAAGTCGACACAATTTTTGTACATGTGGATGTGTGGCCTATGTTTACGGAGGCAGTCCAGTAAATAGGCCACATTTATGGGGCTAGGTGCGGGCCAACTCGTCATCATGTCATGTATAGTCGGACTCCCTATTATCGCGGCATCCCTATTATCGCGGCATCCCTATTATCGCGGCATGGGAAATTTCTCTTTTTACAGTGTCAAAACTCCTTCAAGTGGCGATTTTTATCCAGTTCACCAGTCATCAAGGATTTTCTACCGAAATGTATAAAAAGGACGATTAAAAAATGTTGTGTCTTTCGGGACTTTTAACGATTTTAATAAATATTAACGTTTTCCAAAACATGCAAAATTTTCCCTCACCGTGTCTGCTAAAAGGTACCGTTCATATTTTAACATAAATCTTTAATTGTGTTCTGTCCATGAAAGTTCCATTGTCTGGTTCCCATTCTTCAGCTGCAAATGTAAAATGAAGTCGAATGACGATATTTGCAGCGCGAAATCGTAACAACTTTTACGGGATCAAAATAAGCACCGCGCGTTAGCGAAAATAAAACGGCACACCGTGTAAAGTGAATGGCGCCCTCAATCGCGGATTAGTAGACTTGCCTCAGGGATTTGTGTTCTCCTTTCGGGGGAAGGGCAGGGTCTTAAGAAATCATCCTGCAGACATTTTGTCTTTAATCAACTTGAACGTTACAGGGAAAATATCAGACTTTATTCAGGGGGTGTTTTGGTCAAAGATAAACAATGAACACAAAAGTTGGGATCATTATAAAAACCACTTCCCGCATACCGCGATAATAGGGAGTCCACCTTCGTTCGCACACGCCGCGCATGTCTATTTTCACAGGCATCGTACACGGAATAAACCACACCACCCGTCAGATTTTTTTATATCAATTTAAAAAGGAAGAGTTATACTACACATAAGACAGGACAATTCAGGAAGGTTAGTGGGCAATCTCTATTCCGAACGAGAAACGTGATAAGTACCGCGATAATACGGCGTTCCATCCTACTCCTAGAACTATGAGGCTCCGCGTGAGCGGAGCGTCATAGATCAAGAAGCCCGCAAAATTGCCTGCAGCACAAAACACTAATAAAGTACAAAAACGTCCATCAAAAAGCGCGCACGCATGCTAGCGCCCTCATTTGTTTAGTTTTGGTTGGAACAGTGACGTCACTCCAGCCAACGGACGTCACGAAAGTGCTCAACCAATGACCAAAGCCGAAACATGTTTCTGGTAACTGGCGCGAAAACACGCTCGGTCATTGGATTAGCGACCGCGCCTTCAAGTAAGTGCGCGTGCGTATGAGGGTGGTTACTAAGCAAATCGTGCGTGCGCACTGCATATTAACGCTGCATAGACGTGATATGAGCGCCGAGAATAATTGTCAGGTCTAGGGAACCAGACTACACGCTGCACGGACGTACGTCATGTACGACTAGAATAGACTCGGCGGTGAGAAACTGATGAAAAGAGTCTACAACAACGTACAAGTTTAAATTTGCTTTAGAGTTTATTTTCCTGATTAAGGTCGGTCAGCATCGCATATGGAATTCCTGAACCCAGCGGCCCAATAGATAAGGACACACAAAAATTGGCTTCTCCAACAAGGTAAAAATATTGAAAATATTGGTCATAAATTTTTTCGCCCTGTTTTGAGCACTTCATATCCTGGACTCCCACCGTAACGTAGGGAGGAACGGGAGTCCACCGTAAGTTTTATGGGAAAAATGAGAAGAAATTATATGGGAAAAATGAGAAGAAAAAACCCCAAAACCATCCATTAATCTTCGAGTCACCATAATCGGCGCAGGTAATGCTTGCAATGCGCGTGTGTTGTCCAACGTAAAATTAATGCAAGTGCGTCGAAATAGGACCTCGTTGTTTTAGGGGGCCTGACGATACTACCATTTATCCTTAACTACACGCAGACGCCTCCATATGATCGTACCCCCCCCCCCCCCAAAAAAATTACCCCCTAAAAAAATTCCCTACCTACCTAGATCTATTTTGGAATGCCATGTAATCGGAAGAAGAAGTTTTGGGGGGGGGGGGTGGAGGGGGGCCTTATCGTCATTTTTGCAATGACTGACCTTCATTTAGACGAAACATGATGAAAAAAGTGGCATCAGGATGCAACTTTCTTTGCAAAATTTCTGAGTCCCAAAAAATGTTCAACAGCAAAATCAATCCACCCCTTCAAATATACACTACCTCCCCCCCCCCCCCATTTTTTTTAGGTTTTACCAAATAATGTTGCTTCGAACTTTGAATTGAGATATCAATTGATTTTGAACTGTGTGCTTTGTGGAATGCAAAACGGTTTCACACTTCTAAACATGTAAGCCAAGTCAATGGTAACACCACAGTTTTACCATCTTAAAAAGGGTCTGTACAAAAGATATTGCTCAATATTGCACGGCACTGCATGCCACCAGGATATGTGTATGAAATGGTTAACCCTAACTCCCTAGTAATTTTTGCTAGGATGCAACCTCAATCCTTCCAAATCCTCTGTTATTTCTTGAATGTGTTCCTTGGAGGGGTGACCACTGCCTGAATCCTTCAAAATCCTCCAGCAAACACTGCCAATATGTAGAGGCAGAGCCAGTGACATCCTGGAGCAGTGCGGGGGATTTCAAGTATAATCTAGGCCTAAGTTTATGCATGGCTGATCATAAACAACACAAGGTCCAGCCCAAGATCTTGACGTAGCATCTTACGAAATCAGCAACACACTTTGGCCATGTAACCTCAATCCTGCAAAATCCTCAATTTTGCAAAGAGTATTTTGGAGGATTATGGAAGGTTATGGTTAATTAATGTAAGTTGCATAGAAATAGATGGTTTAAATGGCAGTAGAATATCTTACAATATTTTCTCTCCATTTTTTTTTCTTTTTGAAGGATGCATCCAAATTGAACCCATTGTCACCGGAGGTGATAAGTCGACAAGCAACAATAAATATAGGTGAGTTATTGTTGGCACAGAAATAAGATAAACTATAATGATCCCACCCACTTTCATTTATTGGATAATATCAACCCTAACCACCCCAACCCTTCAAAATCCAACTGCATGGTTTGTTGGAATCTGTTGGAGCGAGTACTGCACTAGTAAACTGATTATGCTTTACATGGGGTCAGGCGTACCACCATAATCAGAGTCCAACAGTTCGGGTGTAGAGTTTACCATATGTTGTTGGATTTTGCAAGAGTGGGGAAGGTTCCTAGTAATAGTAATATAAATCACTCAATTGGATTAGGCTCAAGATTGGCCATTGTCATAATTTCCCCCAGATAGCGTTTTAAAAGAAGCTATAATTTGTTTTCCTAATTGATTTGACCAGGAACCATTGGCCATGTAGCCCACGGTAAGTCCACTGTGGTCAAGGCCATCTCCGGGGTCCAGACTGTCCGCTTCAAGAATGAGCTGATCAGAAATATCACCATCAAACTGGGATACGCCAACGCAAAGGTAAGGCAGTCTGTTAAAGGAAATGCACAACTTTTGCTTTTGCTGCAATTTTCAGAAATAAATGGATTTGGAGGATTAGGCCAAAAAAAATAAGTCTCCGGTTTCTGGTATGCGCGCGCGTCGCCGTAGCCATGCGCGTCGGCAAAATGAAAAAGTTTTTTTTTCAATGAAAGATGATGTCTCAAAACCGCCAAACTCACTGGTTTGACTGGAATTCTGCTGCTGCACAATTTTAACGTGTTTTTAGATGGGGTTATGATCGAGAATAAGCTTTATGTGGCCTCTCTGGACTCCCATATATTTGCACTAAGTTTAGTCGGGCACCATTTGCAGTCATTGGTCGACATTTGATGCAAAAAAGTCAGGTAAAAAAAAAAAAGCTGCGTCGCCGCACCACTTTTTGGACAAGCTCCATACCAGAAACCGGATACTTTTTTTTTTTGGCCTTAGTATGTTATAGCAAAATATTGTTAAACTGACTTGTTTCACTTTTTGGGCTTGTAGATGCTGGAAAAACAAAGAAAACCAATCATGTTCTTATAGTATAGTGTGATATATATTGCTTTTCACTGTTTCTGTGCTGATTTTCATGTTAATTACTGAAAAGAAAATGATACGTGTTCGGGTATTAACTACCTTCTTGGTTTGGCCTATGGGCTCCGTGCGCCAACAAAAGAGGGTGTCCTTTTACCTAGCAATGACGTCCCATGGGCGGGACATTTCATTGGTTGACGCGCACCATTCCTTAGGTGTGACGCACGTACACCAGGGGATGTGAACTATGTACACGCAGTGGCCGCGCTTCTGGGCAAAATTGCAGTCAGGCAAGATGGCGTCAGTCTGTCATCCCCAACTGTACTTTCTTTGCCGGTGAGGGGGTACTTGTGGACGGAGCGGATAGTGCTCGTTGTATTAATTCTCTATGCATGTATTGTTCTTTACATGATATTTGAATATATTCTAAGAACACAGTCGCGTTATTATTTGTTTGAAATCTATTCATTTCTTATGTTAACCCGTGTTGATCTTCAAATATATTCTCTTAAATTTGTTGTTTCAATTATTTACATGATTGTCTTATTCTATCCTCTTGTAAATCAGACAGTGTTAGTCTGAGGACGTTTGTGTTTGATATTGACATGTTTTAAATAACCTGGAGAAATGAAAATGAAATTGAAATATTCGTACTAGAATGCCGAGACCAAACAGAGAATTATACCAACCTTCCCGAAATGTTTTCATTTTCAAACAACTTTTTTCTCTTTCATAATCATAGATCTACAAGTGTGACAATCACGCGTGCCCTCGTCCCGGCTGCTACCGATCAGCCGGCAGTAACAAGGAAGACGTCTTCCCCTGCGACAGAACGGGCTGCAGTGGCAAATTCAGACTCTTAAGGTGAGGTTTCATTCATTTCTCCAAGTTTCATCTCTTATCAATTTCCTTTGAAATTCCCATAGACTTTTCACACATTTACACACATACTGGAATTTGTATCCTTGTGGAGCCATTTCTTTGTTCTCATGTACTGAAGTTTTTGAGTTTGAAAGTACAGTTTCAAAATGGTCTTATTTTAACCAGAATTAATTTCCTTGGCTGAAATTCGACATAATATCCCTTTTCTAGTTTTTGAGTAAAATCCATATATCTATTTCATGAAAACCTTGTGGTTCATCTATAGAAATTGCCCTGTGGAGACGTATACAATCTTTTGTTCCCTATTGTGTGCATGTCTCCAGAGGGTACGGTGTATCAGATCGTCTTGAATTGGGTGTGTAATGTGTTTTGTCAAAAACAGACCCTCTCAGGGCAGCTATTTGATAAAGACTTTACACAATATTGTTTTTAAAAAAAATAGGTCTTACCCTTTTTTAAGAAAGTTTAATAATTGAACACTGACTTGCATTTGTATTCGGCAAAATTATGCCCGTTTGAAGTTCATAATGTCGAAAAGGTGAAAACAAGAGAAATTGATTGTTTGGGATGTAATGATACACCCCGACATATCATCCATAATTTTTTTTTGAAAGAGGCAAAATCATGGGTTGAAACCTTCAGAGTATTTTGTAGACATACCAATATTTAGGATCACAAATTTGCCCCCAGAAAAGCTGAAAATCGGAGAAGAAAATCACTCCCTGTTTTGGGGTAATATCTCCATTTCAAGGTCTGCCCAGCAGCGTCTGGTTTTTGATAGAAAATATCACATGTATTTTACAAATGTCAGAATTACTCTCAGGATTTCATTTGTATTTTATCAAAATGTTCATTTGTGCCCACAGGCACGTTTCCTTCGTGGACTGCCCAGGTCACGACATTCTTATGGCCACCATGTTGAACGGTGCCGCTGTGATGGACGCTGCCTTACTACTCATTGGTATGTTCACAAACAGTTTATTGACCCAAATATGAACTCCATCTACGTACACTGTACTGCGACGGAGGCCAAGAAATAAACATCTCAAAACCACGAGGAAAAACAATACTGCAAAATATCTCCAACTTACTGTTGTGAATTTTGTTGAAACTGGCCATATACATCTGCAGTGTTTATTTTGCCATAATTTGATTAGTTTACTCTTGAATCTTGAGAAATAAATCGATAAAATGTCTTCCCATATGGCCACCCCCATCAGTCCTCCCCAAAGCTCATAATATGGTAACACTTCCCTTTTTCAATATTATTTTCAAATAATTTTCCCCCTAAATCTTCCTAATCATATTCACACTCTTTTCATTGTAATTTTAATTATTTCTGATATTTTCCTTTTGCATTAACTTTATACATTTGTATGTTTTAAGCTATCTATAACTGTAAAAATGTCTCAATTCGGCCTTTGGCAGCAATGACGTTTTATTTTAATAAACCACTTAAAATCAAACAAAGAAATTCTTTGATTTGGAAATTCTTTGTTCTTTACTTCATGTGTTCGCAGCACTCATGTCACCTTTTTCAACCCTAACCGCCCTGAATCCTCTAAAATCCTTTTTGCAAATTGGAGGAATTTGCAGGATTGAGGTTACATGGCCAAAGTGCGTTGCTGATTTCGGAGTACACACTGTGTCAAGGCCTTGGGCCGGACCTTGTGTTGTTTATGCTCAGCCGTGCATAAATTTAGTCCTTGATTGTACTTGACATCCTCCGCACTGCTCCAGGATGTCACTGCCTCTGCATCAGCCTATTGACAGTCATAGCCGGATGATTTTGCAGGATTCAGGCAGTGGTCACCCCTCCATGGACCATATTCAAGAAACAACGGAGGAATTTGCAAGATTGAGGCTATATGCTAATTTTCCATGAGGCCAGTTGGAGGATTTTGCAGGATTGAGGCTACATCCTAGCAAAAGCCCTAGGGAGTTAGGGTTTTAATAGTGACGCTAATAGTGCAGCGTATTGCACTCACTTTTCCTTGTAAAATTCCCTAGTCGCCATACAATGCAATACGTGAACCAAAACATTCACTCAGGTAACTGGGGCTTGTTTTCCTCTTTTTTTTCCTTCTCAATCATACAGCCGGTAATGAGTCCTGCCCCCAGCCCCAGACCTCAGAGCACTTGGCCGCCATCGAGATCATGAAGCTGAAGCACATCCTGATCCTGCAGAATAAGATTGACCTGGTGAAGGAGGCACAGGCTAGGGAGCAGTATGATCAGATCCTCCGATTCGTCCAAGGTAAGACCAGTAACATGAGACTCTGTAGCCGGAATTCCGGTGTTTTTTTAAATCTCACAAAATTCCATTTTTTTTTCTGAAAAAAATACATATTGTAAGGATTGCGCCTACATATTGTAAGGATTGCACCTACATATTGTAAGGATTGCGCCTACATATTGTAAGGATTGCGCCTACATATTGTAAGGATTGCACCTACATATTGTAAGGATTGCACCTACATATTGTAAGGATTGCACCTACGTATTGTAAGGATTGCGCCTACATATTGTAAGGATTGCACCTACATATTGTAAGGATTGCGCTTACATATTGTAAGGATAGCACCTACATCATATTGTAAGGGTTGCGCTTACATATTGTAAGGATTGCGCCTACATATTGTAAGGATTGCGCCTACATATTGTAAGGATTGCACTTACATATTGTAAGGATTGCGCCTACATATTGTAAGGATTGCGCCTACATATTGTAAGGATTGCGCCTACATATTGTAAGGATTGCGCTTACATATTGTAAGGATTGCGCCTACATATTGTAAGGATTGCGCCTACATATTGTAAGGATTGCGCTTACATATTGTAAGGATTGCGCCTACATATTGTAAGGATTGCGCCTACATATTGTAAGGATTGCGCCTACATATTGTAAGGATTGCGCCTACATATTGTAAGGATTGCGCCTTCATATTGTAAGGATTGCACCTACATATTGTAAGGATTGCGCCTACATATTGTAAGGATTGCGCCTACATATTGTAAGGATTGCGCCTACATATTGTAAGGATTGCACCTACATATTGTAAGGATTGCGCCTACGTATTGTAAGGATTGCGCCTACGTATTGTAAGGATTGCGCCTACGTATTGTAAGGATTGCGCCTACGTATTGTAAGGATTGCGCCTACGTATTGTAAGGATTGCGCCTACGTATTGTAAGGATTGCGCCTACGTATTGTAAGGATTGCGCCTACATATTGTAAGGATTGCACCTACATATTGTAAGGATTGCGCCTACATATTGTAAGGATTGCACCTACATATTGTAAGGATTGCGCCTACATATTGTAAGGATTGCACCTACATATTGTAAGGATTGCACCTACATATTGTAAGGATTGCGCCTACATATTGTAAGGATTGCGCCTGAATATTGTAAGGATTGCGCACGCGCAGCGTCGTTCGTTGAAGTAGTCTTAAAAACAAGTCTTTGTTGTTGCCGAGCCTGCATGCGATACAGGCGGCCAACGTACTTGCACGCAGTATACAACGGCGCTTTGCGTGTTGCTTCGCACACGTTGAACACCCCATGTGATCTCTTATATCCAATCAAGATCAGGCCAACTTGATCAGAATTCTGCTCCTGTTTTGATTTTTGACAGGGACCGTTGCGGAGGGAGCGCCAGTTGTCCCCATCTCGGCTCAGCTCAAGTACAACATTGAAGTCATCTGTGAATACATCACCAAGAAAATCCCCATCCCTGTCAGGGACTTCACCTCAGAACCAAGACTTATCGGTGAGTCTGACCGACGGCATCCAGAGATTTCAAGCTTCATCAAAAAGTATCAGAAGTACAGAGATGTTAGACCAGAATCATGCGAAAGTTTGTGGTAGTAAGGCTACTCGGCGCGAAAGCAGACGGAAATGTGAATTTTTTAATTGGCACTGGGTGTTCGCAAAAGTTGAACACACTTCAACTATGGCAATGTTATCCGACGTCAAATATGCTTCACATTCGCATCTGCCAGAAGTAAGAACAGGTCTTAACCCTAACCCACCTCAATCCTCCAAAATGCTCCTGGTGGTTTTGGAGGATTGAGGATAGACGGTGCTTGAGAAACATGAGGATTTTGGAGGATTGAGGATGAATGGTGTTTGAGAAACATGAGGAATTTAGAGGATTGAGGATGAATGGTGTTTGAGAAATATGAGGAATTTGGAGGATTGAGGATGAATGGTGTTTGAGAAACATGAGGATTTTGGAGGATTGAGGATGAATGGTGTTTGAGAAACATGAGGATTTTGGAGGATTGAGGATGAATGGTGTTTGAGAAACATGAGGATTTTGGAGGATTGAGGATGAATGGTGTTTGAGAAACATGAGGATTTTGGAGGATTGAGGATGAATGGTGTTTGAGAAACATGAGGATTTTGGAGGATTGAGGATGAATGGTATTTGAGAAACATGAGGATTTTGGAGGATTGAGGATGAATGGTGTTTGAAAAACATGAGGATTTTGGAGGATTGAGGATGAATGGTGTTTGAAGAGGAGGATGATTTTGGAGGATTAAAGATGAATGCATTTTGAGAGGCAGGACTGTCTTACGATTTTGAAGGATTCAGGTGCTGGGTATCCTTCATTTGAACATAAGAGCAAACTTTTTGAGGATTTTGGAGGATTGAGGATGGTTCCTAACAAAAAGGGCCTAGGGGCTTAGGGTTAAAGTTCATTATGCAATGCGATAATCTGACATACTTTGTCAGACTCCTTCTTGCCAACTCCAAAGATGATCAATTTTGAATTTGCTAGTTGTAATTTACCTTTAATTTTACGAAATGTTCTTTTGTTATACAGTGATTCGATCCTTTGACGTCAACAAACCAGGAAGTGAAGTCAAAGACCTAAAAGGAGGCGTGGCTGGAGGCAGCATATTAAGGGGGGTGCTGCGGGTATGTATATCTCCCTGCAACTTCAAAACTATTGCTGCTTAATATTGTACATAAGCCTGTTTGACCTAATACTAAATGTTTCAATCTCTCCATGGCCAAGGATCTCAAAATATGATAATGCTTCGTCTGAGCATTCACAGCAGTAAGGAATAACTAAGGGGCCATTCAGAATTTTCAATGTTTTAAAATTTCGACCTTTTTTCCAAATTATTTTGACCCACCCACCCACCCCTAATTTTGATTCATAAAAAACTGAACATGTACATTTACATGCACTTGCATGTACAGTGTGTACATATACTTGAACATGTACATGTATACCCATGTACATGTACATGTACATGTGTACCCATGTACATGTGTGTCTAGTTCAGTGACGGCGTGAAGTTGTCGGTCTTCCTCTTTTGCAGTGGTGGCCTTCAGTTTTCTTGTATTTTACCAGCTGATATGCTGTTTGGAAAAACAGGTTGCAGTCTTGGAAGCCACAAAGATGACCCGGGTTTTGTCATTATCTGGAATTAGCCCCATAAATGCGGCCAATTTACTGGACTGCCTCCGTAAATAAAGGTTACACTGCCACCATGTACAAAAAACATGTCGAACTTTGACAAATATTGATTTTCACATTTAGGCTTAGTTTGTAGTTTATTTTTGCTTTAGAAGCATACTCACCCTCTTTATAGGCTAATCAGAAAGTGCTGCCTTTTTCAGGTGTCTATTTTTCGTGAAATTTCCAGATTCGTTTGCACACGTACGTTTGCGTATCAAAATTTCCACATGAAATTTTACAAAAAATAGACAGCTGAAAAGGCAGCACTTTCTAATTAGCCTATAAAGGGGGTGAGTATGCATGCTTCTAAAGCAAAAATGAACTTCAAACTAAGTCTAAATGTGAAAATCAAAATTTGACAAAGTTCGACATGTTTATGTATATGGTGGCAGTGTGGCCTTTATTTACGGAGGCAGTCCAGTAAATTGGCCACATTTATGGGGCTATTTCTGGATGAGGTGGATGACATGTGACATACGAGGTTGTGCCTGTCACGTGAGGTAGCTGAGAAAAACATTCCCTCGTACCCCCTGCCCTGTTTGCAGGCAGGGGTACGAGCGAAAGAAAAACATCAGGTTTGGGCAGTCATCACATCACAGGCTGCGGTCCTCATAGTCTTGGAGTCCAGTGGTTGAATAGTCCAGTTTTTATTGCGATTGGTAATCGACATCCGCGGCGTGCTATAGAGCCGATCTAGTACACTGGTACCCTGCTACCTCTGCACGGCCTAACCACTAGATACGCCCGGCATCCAAGTTTATTGAAAAACCACCCCCCTCTCATGCCACAGTGGGTCTATATATATACACGTACATGACGTACATGTACAGTACATACAGGGGACCAAGTTGGAAAAGAAACACGCATCGCGATATCGGAACGCTTGCGCGTTGTTCAGGCAAGTCAAAAGATCTATCTTTCTTTGGTTTTTTTTTCCTTTTTCCCATGGAAAGTGAATTTCGATTTTCAATTATTAAGCTTGACCCACCCACCCACAATTTGGAAAAAAGATCGAAATTTTAAAACATTGAAAATTCTGAATGGCCCCTAAACTTGCCAAAAGTGATATCAAGAATTGTTCCTGAAAAAAATGCTTTCCCGTACATTTACCCCAGAATAGGTACGTTGGGTGTACATCTAGTTATTTGGAATAGTTTGCCAACCTTGGGAGTATTTAACGAACTGGGTTATTGCTTATTGTAGGTGGGCCAAGAGATTGAGGTCCGTCCCGGCATCGTGTCCAAAGACAGCGAGGGCAAGCTGCAGTGCAGACCCATCTTCTCCAAGATTATCTCGCTCTTTGCTGAGAAGAATGACCTCCAGTATGCCGTCCCCGGCGGGCTCATTGGTAAGTCAATCTTCTCAAAGTCCCACCTAACCCCAACCCTAACACCCACTTCAATTTTTTTTTTCGGCCACTTTTCCAAATCCAAAGGAATATATTTCAGTTGAAGATAATCAGAAAGCTGTTGAATTTAATAACTTGAACCGAAGGACTTAAGGTTATACTGCCCTGAGCATCGAAGTTCAACAGATGTTGCCCAGTCTTGGCTTTTGATGAATTGGACCTAACCTTAACATTAACCCTACGGTGTGAAAAATCATGTTAAAATTTGAGGAGTCGAGACTGTTAGGGTTAGTAAAGTTGAACTCAAACTCCCAAGGCAATACGACGATGAACTAGTGGTGTGCTTGAAAGACGGTCTTATCAAAACTCAGGATGACAAAAAAAAAAGGCAACCTGGTAAATTCCTTCTATTGTCAGGAACTCTAGTCCTTAACAAAACTGAACAGTGTGATTACTGGCAGTGTCTGAATGGCTTTATAGCTTTACGGTTTTAACTGCAACTTTTGCGAACGTCATCTGTCACGCCTTAAAATGCACATAAACATGGAATCTATTTTGGTTGTCCATGGATGAAGCCTGCTGAATAGCTTCACACAGTAAAGCTATAAAGCTCTTCAGACAACTTCCAGGATTTGCATTTTGGGGTTAGGGTTTCTTTTAAGTTTTCCCGTACTAGCCCTAAATGCACACCACTAGACCTAACTCCCCAATCTTTAAATCTGTTGTCCTGATGGTCCTTGCTTTGTTGCCTGCTTGCCCCAGGTGTGGGTACCAAGATTGACCCGACCCTCTGCCGAGCCGATCGTCTCGTGGGCCAGGTCTTGGGAGCTGTCGGAGCTCTACCGGACATCTATACAGAGCTGGAAATCTCCTACTTCCTCCTGAGACGTCTGCTGGGAGTACGGACCGAGGGAGACAAGAAAGGTGCTAAGGTACGAGACCGGGAACAGAGCCATGGAATCGCCTTGCAGAGAAGTTGTTGAGCAGTTTTCATAAGCATCTATTCAAAATATGACTCGACAACTTTTGAATTGAAAATGGTTTCCTAGAATATTGTTTTCTCAGAATAAACAGCATTCACAGAGCTTAAAACTATCAGGTTAGTTGTTAAGCACTCGTCTTTAGATTTTGAGCACTTTTGCTGCTTCAGATGAAAAAAACGCACAAATGACCAGTGATCTACCCTAAGTTTAAATTCCCCTCGGATATTAAACATGTACAGATGGTTATTCCTAGTATGGAAACCCGGTGAAGAAAAATTGTTCCCATAATTAACTTATCCGTACAATGCTTGAATCTGTTTCATACTCATTAAAATGGGTAGAAGTGTGGTACACGTACCTCTTTCTGAAAATACAGTAAGTGAAAAAATGCATGGAGAAGTAATTGAATCGGACTTTGGGCTAAAAACTTACCACCGTCTGTGTGTTTGTGTACCCACAGAGAGTATGTGGGTCCAAGGACAAACTCAGTAGGGAACTAGTCACCAGCAATATGCAGCACATGACATTCTGCGCCAAGTTCGAGCAAGGACCATTTCGACTAGTGATTGATTTGTAACGTTCCTTTAACAGGCCTGCGCACAAATAGCAACGTGGGAACATCTCCAGTCAAATGCGACTATTAGTTACCAGCGATGCAACCAGCCCCAGTAGGTTGGTTCCAAATAGTCGACTAGCGTAGTCAACCATCATCGACTAGACAGAGTTCGGGCTAACTTTAGTTAAACCATGGTTAACCAATGGTCAACAATGTTTCTTGCGCGAACCAGCCCCTGGCTGGTACAGTCGACTCTCGTTATTACGAGGTTCTCCGGACTTAGTTAATTTCCTTGTATTATCCGGAAGCTCGTCGTAATGCGGAGAGCTATTTTCCACACGATCATGTGCACAAACTGTATAAGAATCTGTGTAATGTTCCTTGTTTACAGGTGCAAAAGCTGAGCAAAGGGGAGGCCCTCATGGTCAACATTGGCTCTCTGTCCACTGGTAGCCGTGTCCTAGCGGTCAGGGCCGATTTGGCTAAGATCGTACTGACCAATCCCGTCTGCACGGAGATCGGTGAGAAGATTGCACTCAGCAGACGTGTCGAGAAACACTGGAGGTAAGCAGTTGCTGGTCCTAGAGTAAAGATGCGACTTTGCGTTTAATTTTGTAAACATTAAGCAAATTTATTAAGAAACGTTTAAATGCATGTTTAGTTATTTCACAAAAGCTGACGTTTGCCCATGATGTCTGTAGACCGGCATGATTGCATAATAAATCAACAATGAATGACATAACAAATATCAGTAGGTCATTGAAAAAGTAAAAACTGTTTTATGTCGGGTACTTGTAGCCAACTCTACAAATTACTAAGTAACTTCTCGGACGATAGAAAAGAAAGGTTTTGAATGTCATTTGCGGTGGATTTTAGAAATGAAAACAAGGCCAAATGGGAAAAACAAAAGCATATTTACTTTGTTTATGACAGAGTTTGTGCTTGAAAACGTAAATTATTTCAGATAAAAACAGTTCCCCAACATAAGCTTAGATTTCTTTTTTTTTTGCTCTTTAGTTTGTAATTTAAAGCTTTTTTTTTAAATAACCAAATTTTCCAATAAGGAGTTTTTAGAACTGAGACGACGATTTGTGCAATGAAATTTGAAAACCTGTAACTCTACTCTCCGAGACCCTCAAGTATACTACAGTTTTATTTGACAGATGTATTACATTTACATTTGTTGTTCGTTTCCTTTAGATTGATTGGCTGGGGACAAATCCGTAAGGGGATCACAATCAAGCCGACGGAATCATGAGATGCTGCCACGTAGGTCCACACTTAATCCTCATTGCCCCCTAGATTGCTCATACATCGTCGCCATCTTGGTCTTGCACCCAGAAGTGTACTATTAAAATAGACTGACAAATTCGTCATCATGTCAAATGCACCAGCCTATGTCTGGAATTGCATCTGAAGTACAGCGATGGCTACAACGTTTAAAGAATTATTGATTAAAGGGAAAATACAACATTTGCAAACATTGAAGAATAAAACTACCACGTTTTTACGAAATACCTTACTAGAATGTTGGTAAATGACAATCTTAAGCATCCTGTAAAATTATGGCACCTGGTGTCAAGTCATTTTCAAGAAAATGGTATTTTTGTATACATTTCCAACGGTGGTTGGCCGACCACCGTTGGAGAAACCTAACTATTTTTCAACTACTGCTCCTAATTTAATTTCAGTCCAAATGTTGTTTGCTATTGGTTACATGTTTATGAACGGGTGCAGGCCAGCTAGACTGGTTCCCTTACCTTACAATTTTCCGACATCTATAAATTGATCCATTTTATCTTTAGTGGAGTCAGGGAACCAGACGACTTTAACGTTTTTGTTTTTCTTGATTTTTCCAGCATTTTCGAACACAAAACTTCAAACATGTCAGTTAAACAATATTTGATCTATTATACTAACCCCTCAAATACTTCATTTCTGAAAATTACAGCAAAAGCCAATGATGTACATTCCCTTTAAGCAGTCCTTTTTGTGTTGTACATTCTCAGTAACAAAAGATGTAGCTATTCATATTTCAAATTGAAGTAGAAGATGCCCCGAAATTCTCTGAAAAAAGCACCCTAACCCACCTGCTATCTGAACAGTCACAGACAGTCAAAAAATCAATCCTCTTCCCCTGCAATGCCTTTTACACAGGCTAGTCACCAACACTCGGATCATATTTCAAGCAAGCACTGTGACTAGTCAAATTCAGTCAACAGACAAAAACAGGCAAGAAGTAGGCACAGCTGGCTTATCAATCACCTACAGTCAAAGCATAGCTATATCAAGTTTAACACAAACAGTCACAGCCAGTCAATCCTGCTTTATGTAGGCTGGGAGCTCTGAATTGTTGAAAACAGTCACTTGATTGATTTTGACTGATAGGACAACTTGGCACAGAATGCATATTTGCATAGGAGGGTTAAATATTAATTTAAGACACATGTTTCTGAATTACAAAACAGTAGATGCCTATTATTCTTTGTAACAGACAAAAGACAAAATCTGAACCCCCTTTCTGAATCCGATTTTTGTACATTAACTTCCAATCACTTTCGAAAGCAGAAGTATTGGGGGGGGGGGACTTAACATAAAATTTGAAGACAGAGTATAGACAGTAGTACTTGTTAGTGTATACACCTCAATACTCATTTATTCATTAGTGGCTTTGAAAGGTTCTACTCATCAACACGTATCGACAAAGCAACTTGTCAGGATACTTTACATTTCCTAGACTGTAAATTATTACTCTATCCCCGTTCTAAGTTTCTTATTATATTACAAGGTTGTTTTTTGGCAATCCAATATGAACATACTTCTAAAGCCACCCCAGATGGTTTTGACATAATGAGATCATGAGTGCATTTGTGCAGACAACATAACCTGAGAATGGTATGGTATTGCTATTCTTTTTCTTTTTCTTTTGTGCATTTGAAAACATCTGCCACTTCCACGTCAGTGCGTATTAAATTTCCACATCTTCGTGTTGCGGATGCACTTTAATTTAATAACCCCAACCCTGCTGAATCCAACAGGATCCAACTATATCATATACCCTATGGAGCCTGTTGGATTGAGCAGTTAACCCCTTGTGTACATTCCTGATGCAAAATGTTGGATTCAGCAGGCAATTGAACCGCATTTTAACGCGATGTTGGACTCCGTTGGATTCAACAGACAACTGAAAATAAGGCACAGTGGATCGAGAAAGAAACTCCGGTTAGACTCTGTTGGATTTAGCAGGGTAGTCCTGAGGAACTACTAGGGGATTAGGGTTATGAGTTGACACAGTTTTGTCATGACCCTTATTAAAATAAATGGATGAGTCGATCAGTACATGAAATGGAATACACGTCTCTCCTTACTATTGCCAAAATGGTGAAGTTTTGCTATATTTGAGTACGAACACGGCTTCTTCTAGTATGTTATTCTAATAGCTCTATTGGTAGTTCATGATATATTTCTGTTTTAATCATGCAAATGATTTGATGTTCTTTTTTGAGGAGAATGTTGGATTCTTCAGGGCATTTCTTGTGATTTAGTTTAAAAAGGTTAAAAGAAGTACTAACTTCGGTCTGTCTTGTATCCAACGAATTGAAATTAATTCACTCGCTAACAGATGACTGTATCAGCGTGTGTCACTCATTTTAGGGCTGTCTATCTTCGAATAATTTAATATTTAAGTACTCGAAACTGCGTTTAACTGAAATTTCGGATATTCGATACTGCCAGCTGCAACTACATGCCGCAGTGGTCAAAAGTTGCACGCAGAGCTCGCCAGTTAAAGCTACAGTCCATCATTTGCAGCTATCCAAAAAGTAACTGACGTAATTATTGTTGAAAAACATACTTGGTTTAAAGATAGTAATGGACTAAACTCCCTGTGAAATTATTCTTTCTGGCAAGCTGTCATTCTGAAGAAATCAATGAAAGAAGGCCATTTCCAACGATGTTTCTAAAGATGCATTCTTGGACATTTCCGTTAGTAGGTTGTATTTAATTCGTCAAAGCGCGCGCAAGCATTGACACGCGCTCGGTTGCTATAATTCCTTGGTTCAGTGCGGGACATCATGTAGCTGCAATCGGCTCGGTGAGAACGTGTCTCGGACGCTGAATTCAGGCCAACTTCAAAACATAACTCAGCAACTTTTGGTTTGAAATCGAGATCCTAGAATATTTTTTTTCTCGGAATATACAGCATTCACTGAGCTGAAACTTCATCAGGTTAGTTGTTCAGCACCCTTTTTTAGATTTTGAGCACGTTTGTTGCTTCAAACTAACATAATGCACAAATTACAAATGATGGAAGCTACCTTTTAAAACTTTTGTGCGGTGATCGATATGGGGCACTGGAGTGTTTTGGTGTGAGTACTTTACAACTATCAAGGGCTTCAAAACACAAAAAAATGGTACCTGACAATAAATCACCCCAACTTTACTAAACAATAACATCACAGTCGTGTGGTACGTAGTATTTTGGTTTTCGCATATTCAAACCGGCACAAAGCTATTCGAATATCGGGTTGATGATAGAAAATTCAAGTATTTGGCAAATTGGGGACAGCCCTTACCCATTTTATGTTGTGAAAGTCATTTTGCTTTTACTTTTGATGGAATTCTTGAGCAAAATGGAGACCAGTTAGGCTTATCTTTTTCTTTTACTCAACTGTCGATTTATTTTATCATGATTCGTTCATTCAGCCGCCTAATCTCCTCTTAACATTTTCTGTCTCTACATCTCTATATCTCACAACATTGAGGAATGAAATAATAAATTAGCCCAAGATATTTTACAAGACTTGTTGATGATATACACATCAAATAAATATTTGGTGATACAAATGGTAAAAATGTTGTACTTTGACCTTTATTTGACCTTTGAACCTACTTTGACCTTATTTAGTATGATGCGTAAATAATAATTTTCGATTGATATCACGTTACCCATCTCCATTATGATTATCACGATGAGTATTCCCAAAACGTAGAGTGTGGACTTTCGTCATTGATTGCTACAGTAGTCGTAAATCGGGCACAATTAGGTCCCCAGCACTGTCACCTTAGTTCTAGTGACAGCACGTTCTGTTTGTTTAGTCTTATCTGGTGAACTTCTCGACAAGCAAATCAAACACAATACCTGTACGTAATAGCCCCTATACAATAAACTGTTTACATCTGAATCTGGGACTCCCATGCATTATTGTTCATTGTGCGCTATACTTTACAAATACTCCCTGACAACAGGATTCAAAATTTGGCATCTCTGCATTAGGTTTGTATACTCCTTGGCTGTTGACACCAGACTATGTTATCTTATCTACAGGTCATTTCTGTTCTTCTTCCCAAACTCTGTGATGTGTGTCTGTATGAGAACGGCAGCTAGCCAAAAGTTCATTCTAATGATCAGTAATATGCCCATTTGGACATAGTAAAAGACTGTGTGCATATTGAGTATTATTGTGGCTTAGGCTTCCATATTTGCAATTGGAACACTACAGTGGCTAGTCGTAGCCATACACAATAGTGTCCAGTTTTAGCATTATGGAGCGCACTGGTCCAATGGTTACAGTGCCCCACTCATGTGCAATGGTATGTGGGTTTAAACCCTGACTGGGAAACTCGATCCTTGTGTTCTTGGGCAAGACACTTTACCACAAGTGCCTGTCTCCACCCAGGAGTCCAAGTGGGTACCTGTTAGGGGCAGAGACAAGAGGGCGCCGATCTCGATCCACTGCAGTAAAGTGGTCTCGTGGCCCGATGAACAAGGGTCATAATTGTTGTGAAGCACTTTGAGACTTTGGTATGAAGTTGTTTGTTATATCAGAATTTTGTATTAAGAGGAACATCGGGCCCATTCATTGTGCACATAACTGCACAGTCGAGATCAAGGCTTCATGTTTGCTATACCCAGATTTGTATTAACAGTGTTTGTACTAACCAGAGTCGACTGTATAAGCACCATATCATCGTTATTGTTATTGCGAAGTTGAAGGAAGGGTCATGCACACTTTTACATTGGTGTCCAAATCTGCAAGAGGATACAAGGTGATCTTGTTTACACAGCGATTCAAATTATCGATAACAAGTGTACATATCAAACAACCACCTGTTGTATAAAACCGAATCAACTGTGATTGCTCGACATCAAAGAAATTATTAGAAATGCATACACCATAAATAATAGACATTTGATATTACTACAATAGATCGTTTATCCTACTTCCTATTTTCCTAAATTTAAGTTTACTTAAAGTAAACTTAAATTTTTGTCATGCTGTTATACTATCATTTTACAAGTTAGTAGTTTCTTTCAAGCTAATAACGTGCAATCCCTCGAAACACACCTTTGTGTCCCATTTAACCTTATTTACATTTTTAGTTCTGCCATTTTCATGGGTATTTTGGTGTCTTGTTGGTTTTTATGCTTATGCAAATTTTCATATTCATGAGCAAAAGTTTTCAGGCCGAAACCTCAATGTTACAGCTAATTCAGCACCCAAAAATGCCTGATTTTTTTTTTTATTTTTCGTTGTCCTAAATGTTCTTGTCTTTGGTGATTCGTTGTTGTGTCAGTACATGGCAGTAAGCCATACAGCAAACCTCTCCCATAAATAGTTGCAGCGAGCTCATTTTTTGGTTCACAATTTGAACAGAAAACCCCTAAACTGCACAGTGTCTTCCTGAAATGACATCAAAGCGTGGACATTTTCCAATGTTTAAAAAAAGAGTACTTTCAATAAAATTACCCAAAAAGGGATGTTAATGGTTTTCATACATTTAAGAGGAGTAGAAAGTTGAACAAAATTTGTTCCTAAGAAACAGTCAGATTTTTTTTTTTTTATAATTCAAAAACAAAGCTACTGACCAGTCATATTTACAGGTTGCTGAAATTCCCTTTAATTCATTTATTTTCCCTCAAACTTCTGTCAACAAAAATTAACATTTTCCCCCATTCTCGCCATTCATCCATCAGATCGTTTTTTCCATTTCGGTCAGCTCTGGGAAAGCCTCATTTGAATAGGAAACTTTCTTTTCGTCTTTTTCATCAAGCGACTGGGCTTTCTTCTTTCTTTTCCTGAAAAGAAATAACGGAAAGAAAATAAGTCACTTTTCCAATAAGATTTGTTTGCTTAGTTGTCCAAAACCTATTAATAAAAATGTAGTTTACAAATGAGTTCTAAACTAACAGTATGTTTATTTATTGGTTTTGCTTTGTTTTGTTTGTTGGGGTTTTTGTGGAGAAAGAATCAAGTATAAGTGACGCGTTCTGGAAAAATGAGACAGAACTGGACATGCAGAGGTCAAAATAAGGGGTTTGCTGGAATAAAATTCTCCTTGTAGTAATCATGGGCCACGTTTGGGCTAGGACCATTAGTCGACTAGTGGTTGATTTGTGAAGTACCTTACGCCAGCGCACTAATAGCAACGTGCGAATGTCTCTCAAAATGTCATCGCAAAACTTCTGGATCCTGGCTTTCTGCTGTATGTTATGAATGCGCGGCTATTGGTTACCAGTGATGCAACCAGCCCCAGTAGATTGGTTGCAAATAGTCGCATCATTGACTAGACAGAGTTCGGGCAAGCGTTAGTCGAACTATGGTTAACCATAGGCCAACTAAAGTCCTTGCACGAACTTGCCCTTTGTTGCACTTCAATCGGACATTTCTTTGTCAAGTTATGACTGTTTTAAAGTTTCCACTTATCGACATGTCAGAAAAGTAAAATACTGAGGAAAAAAGGTCTTTAAAGTGGCAAGTTTTGTAGTTGTGATGAAATGAAAAATGCCTGTTTTCCTGTAAAAACAACAACAACACTTTTTCCTGCAATGTTTACCCATGTCTTTAATATACATATGTGTAGTAGACGTTCCAATAATAACAAATATGACCAAAAACATCGCCCCCTTTCCTTGTTTTTTGCATTCTTTTTATACTGTGCTCAGTTCCGTCTCATTTTGCCAGAACGCCTCACATATTTGCAGTTGTGTAAACAGGATGAATGACAAAAGTCAAATGCAATATTAGTACATGGTGGAGGGTTTTCATTCAGCCATGAAGCACTCCATAAAGAACTTCGAGGTACAGTGTTCATGGTCATGATACTGATAAAACTCTTGTGCAATTACTTAATAGGCCATGTCACCTGTGCTGCAAGCCACCCAGGCATCTTTCTCATGCTATTTCCCCCATACTGTAGAGTAAACATCAGTACTTTAAAACCACCCATTGTTTTTACGCAGTGCACAGTACGTCGTTTCAGCAAGTGTCACGCCTCTGTGGTGTGTCACATGTCTCAGAGTCGATTCCCACGCTCACACAGACAATCGTAACCACACGCTTAATTGTTCTACAAAATACATTTTGGGGTTGTTTTCGTGTTTTGGGTTCAGGGTTCCAGCAATTTTGGTTCTGCGCACAGACCATATAGCGCCAATGCAGCTTGATTCTGTGTGAATGACAGCAGTGGTTCAATCAAACATGTTTCTGGTTATGTTATGATCAGAAAAACAACCCCAAATGCCTGGACCAAAAGCGACACCCTCGTCCCCAGGGCCAGCCAAGGTTACACCATGATGGCCATTGCCGCTCGCACCATCGCACTCCCAGCTTTTGTGTGATCTTGGCATCCGTGCCGTTTTGCTGAAAGTCCGCATCCCGTGACAAAAAAAAAAATTGTAAACAAATTTGACATGGTCGTCTATGCAGTAAGTTGCATTCTAAAAATACTGTTATGAAGAACAATTCTGTCCTCTTCATCAGACTCGAGACAATTTTGAAAATATGTCAAGTTCGGATTTTTTCCCCCCACATCTTACCCTGTTGATGAATTGGTAGGGACTCATCCATTTAAACCTGTGGATATGTGATACAGTGAAAAAAATGGGCGATAGTGAAATGGAGTGAGTTGATAGTGCATGACATATTTGGTGACTCATTTTTCTGTATAATGATAAATTGACAAAACTTCATGAGCGAATGTTTAATGTTGTTAAATTGATATGTATGCTTTACCAAGTGCTGAGATCAAGTGGTTTTTAGTTGCTCTACTCAAGTTCAACAACATATTCACACACAAGAATTGGTACTAAAAAAATTTCAATTTGTGTTTTTGATTTAAAACCGAGAATCTCTTTTTTTTTAGTCCTCCCTAATGTGGATGTTTTCAACCCTCTCCAAAAAATACGCTTTTATCGGAGACTGCTTTTGTGCCTATTCACACCAAAAAATATGACTGATTATCGTCTGGCCGCAAATACAATCAAAATTTGTTCAGTAAATATTCAATAACTAAACGTGGAGGGAAGAACTTTTGTGTTGCTAGAACAATAACATTAAACTTGAAAAATAGCACAAGAAAAAGAACTTTTTCAAATAAGTTATCAAATCTGCTAGAAAATGCATGTTAGTAAACACGCACACCTTTCAAATTGGTCCAACTTGTATTTAATTTCAAATACACTGAGTTCATACGTTTTATGTGCTCTTAAAATAGTAACTATACATTGTGAGTAAAAAAAAAACGAAACCCAAATGTTGGGACCATTGTTTTGGTGAAGTTCTATATGTAGCACTTTTAAAAATCTAGGATACGAAAGCCCAATTCATAAGCTTTATTTTAGTACAAGAATCATTCAAATCACTTATGTACTTTTCAAGTTACGGAGTTTTAAACACAACCGCCGTTTTAAGGTTGTGTCCACAGATCACAAAAAGTTCAGTGTTCTTTCAGCAAAACGAAACAAATCACATAAGGATGTGCGTGAATTGTTTTCGTTTTGCTGAAAGAACACTGAACTTGTTTGTGATCCGTGGACAGAACTTTAAAACGGTTCTAGTGTTTAAAACTCCGTAACTTGAAAAGTACATAAGTGATGTGAATGATTCTTATACTAAAAGAAAGCTTATGAATTAGGCTTTCGTATCCTAGATTTTGAAAGCGCTACATGAAGAACTTCACTAAAACAATGGTCCCGACATTTGGGTTTCGTTTTTTTTTTACTCGCCCTGTATTTGTTATTTCAATTATTTGGAGACCCATGAAGTCGATGAGTAAACGGGATAAAAATGTGTGTAAAGTTGAGATAAAGTGGGCGAATAAGGAATAAAATTGGCGTGTGATTGATGTTGGATTGAAAGTGAATAATGTATCACAGGAGGATTCCCAGGAATAATGCTAGTTTCTGTCAGAACGTCACTCAATAATTGACAAGTCAATTTTCACAAGTTGTATCTGCAAGCTATTTTTCAAGTAAACAAACATTAAAGATTGGGTGTTATTTTTAAACTGATCTTACTTTCCGAACTGTTCGGCCTCTTCCACCGTCTCCGGCAGGCATTTGCCTCTAGTCTCGGGCAGGAGGAATGCCAAGAGACCGGCCAGGATCGACGGAGCTCCGAACAGGAGCAGCGGGAACGGTGCCCAGACGTCATCCAGTAGGAGGATGAGAGGGGCAATGATGCCACCGATTCTTGACGCCATGGAGCACACGCCCATCCCCACCGTCCTAGAAAAAAAGTTCAATAGTGTTGTGGTCAACTTTTTATGTGACCACTCACACAATGCTTATGCGATAGAACATCAGATTTGGTTAACTGCCCCGTGAATGAGGACAAACTCTCAGTGCTTTGATATTGCACACACAGTTGCATAGTTTTCATGACAAGTGAAGTAGCATGTAAAAAAAAAAGGACAGGTCATTGGGGCAATGAATTTCCAATAGGTATCAAAAAGGTCTCTGGAAGGTCTCGGTGTGAGTTTGACTCTGAAAACACTGTTTGACATAAAGATGAATGACATCCTAAAAGTAAACATAGTTGTATAAATTTCCCCTTTTTTCAAATAATTAAACTCTATGTACTTTTTCATATGTCTCTAGTAGTGTATACTGCGTATTTGACCTCGTTTTCCGGTGGAGGATCATGATCCTCATCGAGGATCATATCGGTAACCCCGACGAGGATCATAAAACGGGGCGTGTCTGTGGCGTAGTGACGTCATGGATCGATGGACAAATCGATGAAGTGGGGATTAGCGCTGAATGAGTATTATATTCGACGATAATGGAACAAAACGCGTTTAAGTGAATTATTGTATATATTTACTTTTATATTTTCTATGTAGGCCTATTTTGTAATTTGAAGCGTCAGTATAAACGAAAGAATAGAGGAACTCAATTCACGGAGGAATTTTTTTTTGTGTTTCATATAAATGTGTACGTATACCATAAATATGTTTATTTTTCCCGCAAAGCAAAACCAAAGCAGAGCATGAGAAGAAACAAGAGATAACACTGAAGCAGCCCACAAGACGTACTACACGCTTCAACACAAACAGTAACTCAATATCAAAACATAGAAAAAGGACACACAGAACAAACACGGCCACGTTAACACCAAAGCTTAAATCATAAAGTCCGAATCTAAAAACCTAACTTAACAATCATCCAACTGCAAACACAAAAGGACTGAAACATAATATTAAAAACCACGTGCATAAAAATTATATCTTTAAACAATAAAAATACACACAACTTAATAAAAGACGACTCGGGGTGCCTAAAACCAACCGGAACTCACCAGAACATTCCTTGAGTGGTCAACGGGCGATATACAGTTTTCAAGTATTTTATTCATAACCACAGTAAACATACACTATTAAATTAAAAGCAAGCCAAACTTAAAATGTACATATTATTAAACCAAATAATACATGTAATAATAAATAAATAAATAAAAATGAAATAATTGAATATACAATGCACACACATTGACAGATTAATTCGGTTCAGTTCGCAGTGTAACAAATGATGAAAGCCGATTTATTATTCAGTCTGCCCTCAAAACTTTACTTTTCCATGTTTCGTTTTCGAACGAACGAAGGTAACAAAAAATAATAACAAAATATAAACAAAATACGGCACTTTGCCGTGTTGCCAGAACACATTTCAATGACTCGCATAAAAAGAATTATTTGCAATTGTATGTTGACTTCCCGCATCCGTATTTGTAGTTTCGTATTTTTAACGATTCATTACAATTACGTGTATTGTAAATATGCGGTCCTCCGTCCGTATTTTAACAATTTCAAGGAAATAATTATTCAAAAATTGTTTGAAAATGCGCACAAACGCATGATCATCATCTACATTTTTTTTTTTTGGAGCAACTTGAGTTCCAGTTAAATTATTGTAATAAAAGACAGGTAGCCTAAATGTATACACTTCCGGCATCACTTTAAATTAGACGTTTCGTAATTATTGAGCGCTTTAGAAAAGTTGTTCCTGAAAAAAAAAAAAAAGCTCGTGACTAACAGAACTATAAGATTAACCAAGCTTGCGATAATTCCGACGATCAATTAATATTGTTTCAACAAGCTGTGGGACTTGACAAATGTACACACTTTTGTTTGTTTTAGTAGTTTGGAAAACAACGCTGAAGAAATTCGTCAGTAAATGACATAAAAAATTCGAAATACGTTATTATGTACAACTATAATTCTACAAGTCGAGATACGAGGTGGATACACCGTCTGAGGCTACTTTTCTCTTCGGATAGAGATAGCTGAAAGCAGTTTTCACTTGCTCGTACGTGTACATGCCGTCGTGTTGCATCCTGAATCCTCGGTTGACTCCTCCGCTAGCTGTCTGGGATGTTATGACCTCCATATACTGTTGCTTAGTGATGTTGTTATTGGCCTTGTTGAGCCCTTTGCAGCTGATCTTATTCTTGGATCCAAAGCAGTAGTAGGTCTTACTGCAAAGAGCGATAATCCCATCTCCTTCCCACTCCACCTTGAATAATCCAGGAGTCCGCTTATCGTAGGCGCGGTGAGCGGCGGTGTCGTCGCGGGGAAACCACTGGTGTTTCTCTCTCACGTACTGCTCCTTCATCTCCTCCTTGATGACATCGTCTAAGGTATTCCCCGAGATGGCGAGATAAGCGGAATCCGTGTCCATCTCGCACATCTGAAAGTCGGACGGGTGGACAAACTTCAGTAAGAAGTCATAGTAGAATTCCAGCATGCGTAATTTCGCGAACTGATAGACAAAGAAGCCGATTTGGAGCGGGAGGTTGAGGCGGATCATCTTCTTAGCCATGTCCACTTCGTACACGTCGTCATCAAGCGCATGAAGCGCACGAAAATGAGGTTTATTGACGTACCGAGGAGCATCTGCATCGTTGCACACGCGGACGTTCATGTGCCGCTCCTGATTGGTGACCGTCTTCCCGTAGGCTGAGTTCCCCAGGAGCTTCATAGTGTCGGCTAGGATGGCTTTACTCGGGTCCGAATCTCCAGCTCTCCTCGCGTCACTCACCGCATCGCCGAACGCCTCGAAACACTTATTCTTTTTAAACTGGATGACTTCGTGTACGCGGAGGACCTCCAGACCATGAATGAGATACCACTGGAGGAGAGGAGTGGCCAACAAGATGCGCTTGCCAAACATGCTACCGATCAAACTGCGCCGTGGTATATTCATGATTCCTTCTCGCTCGGCATAACTCCGCATATGTTCACCGATGTCGTTTCTGCTAATGTCTACATTCTTGAAAACGGGTGGCATTTCAGCGAAGTGATCCCTCAATGCCTCAGGTACTTGGATATCACACTCGATCAGACCGAACATGGACCCATCCATGACTGCTTCGATGATCTCCCGTTGCGTCATTTTTGTCTTACCGTAGTGAGGCAGTCTTGTAGTCCGAAGAAAGTCTCTCGCTGTCTGATCATTTGCCTGTAGTTGACGCCATTCACACTCCCACATTTCGACCAGGTTGTACCCCTGATGACGAATATATGCAGAAGTCTCTTCTGTCTGACGCCTGAGATCGTCTCTGCTGACTTTTCTGACTTTGTTGAAGTCATTGGGATTCAAGTGACATGGATGCCCGTGCCAGTAACAACCGTGGAACTGGTAGACTGTGTTGGTGTCGCTGCAGTAGCCATCCACCGGGATCATTCGGTCACCCACACGCTTCTCCGTGCTGTTGAATTGATGCCGAATATGGACATCTTCGCAATGGGCCACCCAGTCTAGCCACTCTGTGGCCATAACACCGAATTTGTGGCTCCTGATTGGTTTGAAGTCTTGATCGGCCCGTCTCCTTATACACGTGCCCACCGGCATCTCTTGCATCAGAGACCATAAGTACAGGGCATTGGCGTCAAATCCTACGATGTTTTGACACAGTTTGGCGCCTCCCCGGATGAACGTTTTCCCTTTCTCGTGGTATCGATGGAAGACGAGAGACGGGCCACCCACGATGTTGTCTTTGAGTTTGTAATAAAGGTCTTTGTGCCCTTCGTCGATGAGGCTGAAGAAGATGTCTTTCGGCAACGTAAGGAAAAGGTAGTGTAGTGACAGACCCGGGACAGAGATGGCGCATTTAAACATGTCCATCTGCCGCTGTCTGTAGAATGCAAACATCTTGTCTACCGCATCGAGAAAGGGAACCACGTCAAGATTATTGTACCATACGAGAAAGTCTCGTACATTGGACATACCGTGCTCCTTCCACACGCTCTGGCAGTACTGGTATTCCTCCTCGGATATGTTACCTCCCTTCAACTTGCTGTAGAAGGCCTGATGGGGTGGAAGTGACCCGACTTCAAGTTTGTCCAGATCATCTACCCACTCGTACGGGAAAAAGCCTTTGGTCTGTGGGCAGTCGTACGCCTTTAAGAATTTCGCGTAGCTGTATCCGGGAGCAAGATAATTCGTAATGTCGAGAAACTTTAACTTTTCGGTTTTGAGGGCCATGTATGTACTTGTTCTTTTGATGATCAATTTTAGAGGATCTGTTTCTTGAAGTACCGGGTACAGATAACGCTTGATGACGTTGATATCGTACTTCCCAGAGTTGAATCCCAGTACCGGTAACTCTTGAAGATATTCGTCTAACTGCTCCCTGAGTTTGTTGATGTGCTTGTGCAGTTTGCTCTGCGGCGTTGACTCACTTTTCATCGCCTCATCAATCGTCTCGCTTCTCATTGCCTCAATCATCTCATCCAACTGCTCGAAAATGACTTCATATTTCCCCAGAAGTATCTCGTACGCAGCTAGACTGATGGTATGTAAGTAGTCGACCATGTCTGATACCAGTTCACGCGGGTTGCCGTTACTGACAAAACACCGTGGTGCCTCGTAGTCCGGAATATTACTGGCTATGCTGCAACTGAGTAACTCGTGACGTGCTTCCCATCGCAGTTTTGCGTCTCGCTGGCGCATTGAGGGAGATACGGATTGGAAGTAGCATTCGTAATCGAACGTGGCCCTGTAGGGGTAATATTTCATGTCCTCCTCTACATCTATGCCGACCTCGGATAACTTGTCAAAGATTGTTAAAGGCAGTTGGTAAGAACCCCCGCTGAATTTATGTTTAACGTTGACGTCACAAGTGAGTTCGTGACGTAGGAGATCGGTAGACCTGGTAAACACGGTGTTGCACTTGGAGCAGGCGTACGATCGGCTGTACTTGCTGAGATCAGAAATATAGGAAAAGT